GCGATTGGGTAGCATTATCAGCCTTCACACCATAACTGTATGACTTATATCCTGGAGTATGCAAAGCATATTAGGCAAACTGAGTACTAACAACAGTTTCATTATTGATGTAATTTTATTAGTGTAGGAAATATACATACGTATATACCGTAAAGTGGTCATCCTTACAATCACAGGATAGTCTTCGTCTGTGGGGGAGTAGTTGCATTGTGTTCAGTATCGTAGTACCCATGTATCTCAGCCGACTTTATTACATTACAAGCATGAACACTATACACACTACAATGGATATGCATGTAACAGATATTATCGGAAAATCGGCAAGTAAGAAGGATACGTCTAAACTGTTTTCTCAAAACGCCTTTCATCATCCATACCTAAGATCTCAAACACGCCAGACAATTAATCGACACGAATATATATGCATTACACCAAAACATGTTTTTCTTGAAAATCATGAGTAATCCTCAGTACAATTCTATAATGGAAAGCAGTAATACTGTGGTGAGAGCTGGCTGCTAGCCAAAGTTAGTAGACAGTAATTCACGTCAATGTTTATGTCCCCAATATTGGTGGTGAGAAAATGAGAACAAAGGCTTTGCGTAGGCGGATACAGTTAGCATATAGATGATCTGACACAGCCACAAAGAGATGCAAGATTAACTTTCTCTGAGAAACAACCAATCAAAAGACTGTATTTTCTACTAACAATAGTCTACAATCATGTACATAAAAATCTATAAATATCTATTGATTTTCTCAATAAACGATCTGTTGCCTGGCCCTTGTCTCTTCTATCGTTAAACTACTAGTAATAATAAGCATTGTACTCACCAAAAATGCTTCTGATAATAAGCGTGAATTTTGTTCCTCCATACTGTACAATATACGATTAGCATTATATCGTCGACGATCTGATCCACCAGATTTGAATGACAAGACTAATGGATAAACCATTGACTGAGGATATCGTCTACCAACAGAAATTAACAAGTCAACAATAATATTGGCAACATATTCTATCGGTGTATCAATACGCGCCAGTAATTGTTGTATAACAAGTAACCAATTATCTAGTCGAATTTTTGTTAAACCTTCACGGATTACTTCACGTATTTCAAATAAATGACCAAATTTAAACAATAGATTGATTAAACGTAAACTATCCTGTAAAAAGAGACAGAGAGAGAGAAAAGAAAAAGCTGAGGTGAAAAAATATGAGGAGTATGTTCACAATTTTAAATAAGCATATGCATTGAACAGGAATGTAGAGTCTTCTGAACACCTTGAAGAGCTGCAATATTCAAATGTTTGGCATGCGATTCGCTCCCATCAAATGTAGGATGGTGCTGCAGGGCTGGACTGGACTACAGTCAAGTCCAGCTACTAGCTTAGAAATAGGGAGTGGAGTGGTAGATCGTGTTGACCACTTCACTTATTTAGGAAGTTGTATCAGCCAGTGCCAACGGGTTGATTGCTGACGAAATCTCAGCACGGATACAGAAGGCCAGTTTACGCCATCTCTGGTGTAGACGTGATATCCGGCTACCAACTAAAAGAAGTATGTAATGCTCAGCAGTCCGATCCATTCTCCTATATGGCTATGAAACCCGGCCATTGAGAGTAGAAGACATGAAAAGCTTGGCTGGCTAGCTGTCTCTTTTGATCATAGGTGTCTGCGTTCTATCCACCAGTGTGTGTTAGGTGGTAGTACATTAGGGTGCGCAATATTGAGATGAGGCATCGGTGGTCGAGTGCTAGGTAGGTAAGGAGGGGAAATCAGTCGAAGAGGTTCTAAAGTTACACCGATTCAGATGATTAGGACATGTATTTCACATACCTAGCCTAGCCATACATCGCCTCCCTCGCCCGACGGGCAATGTTAGCTGACTGATATAGGATGGATCAGGTTGGAAAAGAACCAGTGGTAGTCAAACCAAAACATGGCTTCATCAGTCAATGAAATTCACAGCAGTTAGTTTAAGCCACGTAGGAAGATGTAGACTTCCTGGTTGGGGTCCTCGGGACGGTAAACACCATCGAAGGTTGGAGACAATAGGTGATATGGTTCAAAATCGTTCTCAATGGCTGCTGCAGATGCATCCACTACTTGTGACTTATAATACCCAATAAAACTATATTGTTCTTCTATAGTACTATTCCTTTTGCCTAATATCTCTCTTTACTATCTCTATTTCACGTTTCTTTTTACTTTAATCTTCTCTGGCTTTGTGTGCTGAGTGAAGTGTAGCGACTCGAACTGCTGCACATCGGTGCAAAGTTCTATGTTGAAACCATCAGTCAGTCATTGAACAGGAAATATTCGATTCCTGTTAACAAATTCGCTGTTGTAAATAGAGACACGCATTGAAATTTGTCTTGAGGGTAAACACATGACGTTTTGTGTGAGTCGGTAAGTCCAGCGCAGAGTGAGAATGCAATCAATAACATCACTCTCGCCTGCTAGGGATGTAGTTGGTTGATTCCATATAGGACGAAACATATCTCCTGGATTTCAATGCTAGCAACCATCAACCAGTGTTTTACGGTACGATGCTTTGCAGATTCACGCTAAACTCAGCAAAGATTTAATATGCGCTTCACAATCTAGGTTTCATCATCAGCACTGTTTGACGGTCAACTTCACAAGTAATACCTGTGGAATATGAAAACAGTTTTTACTACACGGTACATACTACTGACTGACTGACTGGCCGCATGATAAGGACAGTTGGAAACCACTGTCATCAAGCAACAGAACTTGCTAGGATAAATCAAAGTAATTTTAAACTCCATTATGGATAAGATTTTATTTTGATAAATCAAACAGTGTTGTACAGTAATATTAACTGATGAAAACGCCTAAAGCACAAACTATTGCTGCTCATAATCATATCCAGTCAATCACTCACTCACACAACTTTCTTGCTTCATTTATATACATGAGTTAAAATGGATGATTAGACATTTGAATAAAAATCAATATACGATAATGTACTTTCAGAAATAATAATATGAGTGTTATCAATCAAATACAATCAGATGGGAAATAAGACGAGTGTTTTTATAGTCAAAATAAATGAGTAACTTGTTAGAATGTTGTGATGTATGTGAATTGAATTGAAGTAGAATTTTTAGATTATTTATTATTCTCCTCTGATTTGACTGACTAGTGGTAATAATATCTTCCATATCTCCAGTATTTGCATTGAGTCATTTCTGTTGCATGTGTTGGGTGTAGATTCAATGAACCAGGATTCAATAATCAATCTCTCTCTCCACGTACATAGATGACTTCTTAGAATCTTAACCCTTTCCCACCCTATTGTGTGGTTGTGTGTTAATGCATGTAGTGCAATTGCTGAGCACCACCGCCAGTCAAATCAGAAGAAGATAATAAATAATCTAAAAATTCTACTTCAATTCAATTCACATACATCACAACATTCTAACAAGTTACTCATTTATTTTGACTATAAAAACACTCGTCTTATTTCCCATCTGATTGTATTTGATTGATAGTACTCATATTATTATTTCTGAATGTACATTATCTTATCTCATATTGATTTTTATTCAAATGTCTAATCATCAATTCCATACATGTATATAAATGAAGGAAAAAGTTGTGTGAGTGAGTGACTTCATATGATTATGAACAATAATTTGTGCTCGAAACGTCATCAGTTAATATTACTGTGTAACACTGTGTGACTTATCAAAATAAAATCTTATCCATAATGGAGTTACACTCTACCACAGTGCCCAAGTTTTATACTTATATCAATAATTTTAAACTGTTGTACAACTATAGTGGATATTAACTAGTGTAATGTGTCTAGTCCTTTGTTTGGTGCAGCCCAAGGTACCAACAGTTCCTAAAAAGGCCTTATTCTCACAAATTCAGTTCCTCGGGGATAACATCAGCGAGATACTAACACACGACACCTTAGGAATGCGACAAAAAGAGCATTCTCTGCTGCTGAATTACGCTGTATCTTCAAAACCACCCCTATTTTGCATTCGGAAGTAAAAGCTAGACTGCCTAATTCCGCCTCTTCTATGTGTATCTACCAATTTGACTGCTCCTATGGAGTGAGCCAGTCACTTCCATAGACCGTACAATTAGGCGCGTTTCTCGTCGGATTTGCGAACATCATCCTGCATAGTGGTTAATTAAAGGACAAACAAAATCTATTCGCAGTGCTATTCTACCTCATCTTGGGGATACAGAACACAAGAATGATGTTAACGAGACGGCTGTCAAAGTCATCTACCGCATACCAACAAATCTTAACATCGCCTTCACAGTTCGTTTACTAAACATTGCTGAGGTCGTTGGGATCTACATTAAGAAGCCTAATTTATGTGTCCAAAAGAAGCTAGTTCAGACACTGTCCTTACCCCGCTGGCCATCTAGATACGAATGATCCTCAATTTGTTGTGGAAATTCCCTAAATGTAACTTGGTATTCTATCTGTTATTATATTTTTCTTATTATTATAATTTATGCATCTTTAATGAACTGTAATTCCATTGCGATCATACTTGACAAATCGATATTATTTGGACAAAAAAACACAACACCAATATTGTTATTGACTACCATTCTAGAATATTCTATGTACATAAGCATATGTATAACTGTAGAGCCAGAAGAGGAAATTATCGAAAAGGATATTCTTTGCTCAGTTATTTTAATCTTTTTTTTATAGATGTCTGAATTTTATAGGTCAACTTTGCAATGTGGCCAACACAGAGTATAGATAGCTCGCCATCACAATGCACTCACAATTGTTCACTGATAGAATTCAGTCTACCCCAAACAGAAAACTAAACGCATGACACTATTTAGTGAGTGTTTCCAATGAAAATTCCACGCCTGTTTTTAGAAAATCGCAAAAAATCTTGTCATTTTTCACGTTGATGTAACACAGGTGTGAAACGAGACCCTACCTGTAGGTTAGCTGTTGGTGATAAGCTGATAGAATTGACAAAACCTCGAACAGATGGAGCAGCATGCAACTCCATACATCGTTGTAAATCAGCTTTTGCACGAACCAACTCTGCTATTGGTTGTGGTAATGATGGGACATTACCGCCACCACCTCCACCAGGTAAATTCAAAGCATTCGAACCATGGCTACCAGCAGCGGGGGATGAGAAATTACATCGAGATGATCGTAGATTTTGATTTTCGATACCACCAACCTAAAAAATAAAAAATAAGAAAGCAGAGATAATTATTTCCATTATCAATCCTATTTGGTAAGGTAACAACATAGTGGTTATGGCTTTATCTAACTCAGTTCAGCATTACAGTAACAACAAATATGAAAAACACCAGTAATGAGATAATATGCTACTGATTGGATAACAAGTAGTGTAACGACAGAAGACAAGGGTCAGGCAACAGATCCCTTATTGAGAAAGTCAACATGTATTTATAGATTTTTATGCACGTTATTATTAGCAGGGAGGTAGCATCTTCTGATTGGTTATTTTCCTGCTGAAGGTTATTCTGTCATCTCTTTGTTGCCGTTTCTTAAACAGTCCGTTGATGTATCTGCTAATCGTATCCACCCACGCTAAGCCTGCTGTGATTGGTTGTTGAATAAGTCTTTGTTCTTGTTTTTTTCTCATGACCAAGATACGGGACGTAAATACTGACGTAAACTGCTGTCTACCGATTTCGGCTAGCAGAAAGCTCTCACCACAGTAGAAATTGCCAACTAGCTAGACTGCAGTGATCTAAGAAAACACATTAGGTGACAGTTTCACATTAATTTAAGGGTAGAGCACATCAGAGAGGCGTACCCACACCCCAATTGGATTTCATTCAGAGTGGGAGAGAATCAGTTCAAAACAAGTTCGTTATATCTGTAAACTAATTTTCAACATACTGTCAAAAATATACCGTGACTAGATAAGATAAATATGAATAATTTCCAGTTACAGAGAATCCTCTTAAGCATTATATTCATTATTTACTACTTGGTGTGTAGTAATACTTCATATTTTATCATATTCTTTCAGACGGAGAGTTTAATACTTTCATAAGCTCTATAAAAGTTAACAGTGATTTTTCTATTATTTTATTATTGTTCCCTTGGGTTCCTAGTAGAACATAGGGCTTCAACTGCACGTCTCCACTTGTTTCTGTCTTCTGCTGTACTTTTCACCTGCATCCATGTTAATCCACACTGTTTCAATTCCTCTTCACACGATCTCCTCCATGTCACCCTTGGACGCTTCCCTTTCGGGTTCCACTCGAGCAATGGCCTGACGCGCGATGTCACCCAGCGACCTCCTCAGCGAGTGTCCAATCCACCTCCACTTTCTCCTGCATATTTGTTGAGCGATTGGTTCTTGTTTTCTTTCTTCCCATAGTTTCTTGTTGGTGATTCTTTCCGGCGGTCATCTGATCTTCAGTATAGAGAGAAGACAGCTGTTGATAAAGGTCTGCAACAGGCTGTTGGAAATATTCTTTGTGACTTGCCAAGTTTCTGATCCGTATAGAAGAACTGACGGACTTGACGTTTGTATTGAAAATCCGAATTTTGTTGTTGATGCAGGCTGAGTGACGAAGATTTCCAGATTGGTTTCAGGTTGATGAATGTGTTTCTCGCCTTCCCGATTCTCGATTTGACATCCTCGTCCGTTCCTCCTGTAGTTGAGACAATGCTCCCTGGATAAGTGAAAGAAGTAACCTCTTTCAAATCCCTCCAGTTGATGGTGATTGGCGCTGGATGTTGCTGTTGTTGTTGGTTGGTTATTTTCATAACCTCCGTCTTGTCTATGTTCACCTGGAGTCCTGTCTTTGCTGCTTCTTCAACCAGTTTGTCGGTTTTCGCTTGTAAGTCTTCGATCTTGTGTGACATCAAACATAAATCATCCACGCGCGAAATCCAGGTCTTCTAGGTTCTTCACATCGGTCCAGGATATCCATGTCTTCTCGTTTCCCACTGTCTGACGCATAATCCAGTCCAGTACAATTAGGAAGATCATTGGTGATAATAAGCATCCTTGTCTGACTCCTGTGTTTACTACACTCAAGAAAAATTCACCATCGAGTGCATTTACCTACCCTGAGTGAGCTAGAGATTCTACTGTGTGACACTTAATGAGAATATCTAGCTACCTATCTCCAGAAAACTCTACAAGAATAAAACCAGGTTTCGAAACTTGATATGACTGATGGTTGATAGTCAATTGCCACAAAAAAAGAAGCCAATGAACAACATCGCATACAATTATTTCCCTTGCTAAACTTGAATAGAGCAAATGACTGACTGACTGGTTTCAACGTAGAACTCTGCACCGATGTGCAGCAGTTCCACTTGCCACACTTCCTCCTTATATTGCACAAAGCAAAAGAATAGAGTAAAGATAGATAATAAACAGAGATATGTAAGAACAATAGTTTTATTCGATATTATAAATCATAAGGAGTGAATGCATCTGCGCTGTCAATGACAACGATTTTGAACCATATCACCCACCAATTGTCTCTAGCCACCATTGGTTCTCACCATCCCGAAGATTCCGACCAAACAGCCAGGCAGTCTACACCTCCGTATTTGGATGGCGCGCAAACTAACTGCTGCAGATTTCATTGGCTGCTGAAGCCACCACTAGCTAACTCTTTTCCAAGCTCATGCATCTTATGTCAGTCAGCTAACTTTGCCAATCGAGTAAGACGATTGTTAGTAATACATGTTCTAACCAACTCAGTCGGTCTAGCTTCATAACTGCCGCGTCGACTGATTTCCCTTCCTTACCTACCTAGCACTCGACCACCGATGCCTCACCTCAATATTACCCACCCTAATATACCACCACCTTACACGGGTGATAGGGTGCAGACAGCTATGATCAAAAAAGACAGCTAGCCAGGCTTTTCGTATCTTCCACTTTCAATGGCCATGTCTCACTCGCAGCCATAAAGAGGGACAGAGCGAACTGCTCAGTAGTACACACACCCTTTGATCGACAGCCAGCCAGATATCACATCTATCAAGCCAGAGATGGTGTAAGTTGGCATATGCCGAATGAGCCTTCTGTATGCGTACCAAGATTTCGTCAGCGAACAACCCCACTGGCATTGGCTGATGCAAATTCCCACCACTTCATCACCTCTCCCCGTATCTTTAAGCTGAGAGTCAATGTAGTCCAATCCAGTCCTGTAGCAAACATGCACCATCTTACATTTGACAGCAAGAACGAATCGCTCGCACGTCAAACATTCGAAGATTGCTCACACTGTTCAAGGTGTTCAAAAGAATAGAGAAAATAAGACCAACATACTTAGATCAATTTGTTGTCGCTTGATTTACAAGTCAGTGGTGGGTGAGCTCAAAAAGACAGAACATGAAGAGTATGAGGCTACCAACTTCATCCTATAAAAACAAAATAAACACCACCACCCCCTACTGTTAACTAACTACAAACCTTGAAGCTACATGATGTTCTACCACACTTGTAATGCGAAGGTACGCGGACGGAAAAAAAGAAACCAAGACATTCTCTCTCTCTGAATAAACTTACCTTATTCAACTCTAATTCAGCTCGTTCTAAACACGCTTTCAGTGTGTCTAAATGATTGAATACAGCATAATTAGCCATAGCCCATGATTGCCAGGCATTATGATTATCTGGTGCATATAATGTAGCTGTTTGATAACACTGTATAACAAATGCTTGACATTCTTCCCATGTTTGTGTAATATTTGCATTATGCACAGTATTATTATTGTTATTATTATTACGATTATTTGATTCATGCATATCAATAACAGTATCATTTGTATTAACGGATAAATATGGATCATTACTGTTATTAACTTTTGTTAGTTTACGAGCAGCTGCTACAGAATACTGTAAACCATTACTATTATTATTATTATTATGCGTAGTAGCTGTAATGAATAAAGAAGATGACGAGGATGAGGATGCTGCTGCCGGTGGTGGTGGTATAGTTAACGAATGATTGTCTGTTTGATGGCCTGTACCACTACTCCCAGGCGGTGAACGTGTATACAACTCGGAATACCATAAGCCTAATTTTAGACAACATCTAAAAAAAAAAAAACAAAAATAGAAATTGAATAATAATAATAATAATATAAATTTGCTTTATTCCAAAACAGTACTTGTGATACAGAATGGAATTCTCAGCATTTGTACTACAGTACTGTATCCAGTTAGTACATTATCAATAAATAAAATTCTACATAGATTATGGGTAGTCTCAGTTAATTTTGACTACAAAACATATTAGCATATCGGCAGCAGTAAAGCCAAAAGTGAACAGAATGTTTGAAGGTGTTTAGAAAAGTAGATACTAGCATATTTACTGGCGTAAGCGGTAACAACAAAAAGGTCGAGATATACAGAGTGTGAAAGAGTAGAGTTTGCAAGGAAGAGAGAAACAAAGCAGCACATAACAAAACAAAAAAAGAGAGAGAAAAGGAAAAGAAAGAAAGAAAACGTTGTACCTATAAATGATATGAGTTGGAAAGACGAGATCCAATTGTTCTACTGACTATTTAATAAGTTATAAGTTTCACGCCTAATGCTTTCTTTATCGCACAGTACACGAGCTAAGTAGGGTATGGTTGAGTTTTTGTACTTGCTAATGCGAGCATTTAGTTTTCTATATAGGCTTTTGGTCCTGCCTGATGAGATACAAGGGGGGAGTTGTGAATGAAGAGGGTGGTGTGAGTTAGATAGAATGGATTTAGCCCATTTTTCACATGAGTTCAAGTGCCTGTCAACCAGAATATTTAACAAGCTGGTTAAGTGGCACATTGCTTATTTACCCTGCTGACAACCTTTAACAATCTACGTAATAAGATATAGTCCTTCTTCAGTAGCCCTGGAAAAACTAAGGGGGAACAATAGAAATAATAGGCAGGATGCAAAAGTTAACGAATCGTAAGAATAAGGGTTGGGCTATTCCAGAATGTCTTAACTTCTTGATGTAGAAGGTAAGACGGAATATTTTCTTAGAAAAGCAACAAATAATAAAAAGGAAAATTAACCATTTAATTTTAGGTTTTTAAATATTCCCAACTATTTAATATTAGAACAAGAAAATATTGTTTTCAATGAGATCTTCTTCAACACGCTTTACTCTAATTTACATAGATTAATATTTAAAACAGTTAGTTCCCTTTATGAATTTAGACAAAGCAATAAGAAGGAAGAAGTGATTTCTCTAAATCGTGTGTAATGTGTATTTGCACAACACTTATTTCGAACAATCTGATCACACTCTGATGAGAATACCTAGCTACCTACCTCCATTAATATATACACAACTGCAATTCAAGGGCGATAGACCAAGTGAAATAATTACGAAGAAATTAAGAAAATCAGTTCAAAGAACTTTTAATGCTAGCGAACTTCACGTCTTATTCTCTACACAACCGATGGTGATTCCTCGATTGAAAGATGAAGTACCTAGACTAGCCACTTCAAATTGTATCTATCAATTCAACTGCGCTTGTGGAGCAAGTTATATCGGCCGTTGCTCTAGGCACTTGATTATTCGTGCTTGCTCGAGAACATCTCCAAGTATGACTAAGCAAAAGTGTAGTAAAAACCATTAACAGTTCCATATTGGCCCATCTGGTCCAAACTAGCCAAAAAGGCAGCATTGAAGAATCCTTCTGTATCATCTATCGAGTACCAAATAAATTGTCAAAAACATCCAGGTACAACATGATCCAAACAGTTGAGGCTATCGCAATTCGTGTGAAACATCCAGTGCTTTGTGTGCAAAATAAGCAAGTCCAGCCACTACTACTGCCCTGGCGGGTCTTCAGCAGAGAATATAAATTCATGAGTTTTTATTATTATCTTTCCTAATTTGTCTGTCTGATATTCAGTGTGTATTGTTACGTTGATGTCACTGAACTGTAATCCATTGATATTATTGTTATTGATTCGATGTTATTTAAACAACAATAATGTTGTTAATAATAACACTGATTCATTCACTATTATGTATGCATATATAACTGTAGAACCTGATGAAGGAGTTATCGAAAAGAGTATTCTTTGTTCAGTAACCATTGTTTTGACAATTTTAATGGGCATTTTTAATCAATCAATAAAGAGTTAAGAGGTGAGAAAATAGACTACTTAGGTCAAGTTAAAAGGACCTATTGAAGGTCAAAATAAACAGTAACGATCACTAATCCAAATAACAGAGGTAATAGTATATCTACCCTGGCTAGGATAAAAGCAAAGTTTGCCAAGAAAGGTTTAGTGTGATGACGAATTGTTGCTTTGAACGCATAAAGTTGGCTTAAACTTTCCAATTGTCGGTTAGGGGGATTCCACAAACTTTAGGATACGTCCCCAAACACGTTTTATAGATAGCTTTAAAAGAGGTGTAAACATCAATTTTAAACCCTGCCTCCCTAATAGTTTTCCAATGGTTCTCTAACCGATGTCAGCTCATGATGAAATCCTGAAATCAATCAACTCCCTGCAAACCAATACTTGAATGTTCATCTTTTCATTACTGTCAGACATACTTAGTATAACATGAAAAGACATTACAAAGTGATGCTACTAAGATGTGACGTGTTTAGGGAACTTTTAGATGGCAAATCATATCAAGGACAACAATCTATTTTTCTATAAATCAACCAATCCCATTATCGGAGTCAAATTTAAATTATCAAGTACTGGTTTTTGTAGGGATTTAGTTTGATCGGTTGGAGGATTTCATCATGAGCTGACACCAGTTAGAGAACCACTGGAAAACCAGCTGTTTCGTCCTAGTTTGGGACTCTTCATCAGTACGCACACACTGGGGGTTCGAGCTCACCTTGTAACCAGAAGATCTTGGGTGCGTACTGATGAAGAGTCATCACTTGGGACGAAACAGCTGTCCAGTACTCCCAGCTGGTTTTCCAATGGTTCTCTAACTGATGTCAGCTCATGATGAAATCCTCCAACCAAATTTCAATTAAACACACATTTTAAACAACCAGACAAAATCCCATTCAATGTTTCAATTGATAATCTGAATGATAATCACATTTAAATAATGCTAATTTTAAAAAAAGTTAAAAAAAGAAGTATCGAATGGACGGACAACAGGATAATATAACAATAAAGACACATACTTGGCCAATAGTTTTCTTAACTCTTCATTATTATTATTTCCATGATTAGTGAGATTTTTCAAATCCCAACTATCAAATATTTCATTTGTATTGATTAAATTTGGAGACCAAAATGTTTGTTGTTGTTGTTGCTGTTGTTGTCCAATAGTTGTATTCATCAATCCACACCCATTGACTGCATCCCCACCACCACCACTGCCAACAACACCACCAGCTTTAAGTAATGGTTCTAAAACTTGTGTTTTCAATACACACAATCGACTAACAGCTTCTTCATGTGCTCCAACTGCCCATAATAATTTAGAATAGGCAAATACAATAGCTGGATCACGACTTGGAATTGGCTCACTCGGTGGTATACCAGCTGGATCTAAACCTAGGAGATTTTCTAATACTTGACGTGATAGAATCTGTGTAAGTGAATTTCAGGAGAAGAAAAAATAAAGGTAATAATAATGATGTTAATTGACAAAAAGTAACATGTTATTCTAATAACATAGAGAGGCACGTCGGTGGGGCTTAATAGTAGGATGCTCATCAAGCAACATGTGAGGTGCTGGTTCGATTATCGACAAATCGAATCCTGAATTTCACATATCGATCGCTTACAAGCCAGACGCCAGGTAGCAGCACACATTCTACCTCGTAGAAAGAATATTACTGCTAGAAGCATTCACTACTATTATTATTAATTATTAATCCCATGGGTTTCTAGTGGAACATACACCTTGAACAACACATCTCCACTTCCTTCTATTCTCTGCCGTCCTCTTCAACTGGCTGACCCCACGAATGCCCATAATCTCTCATCTCCTCCTCCTCCTCCATGTCATCCTCGCACTGACGACCTACCCGTCGTTTCCCATTGTTCACTCGAGCAATGGCCTGCATTGCGCGCGACGTCATTAGAAGGCCTCCTCAGTGGTGTATGCCCGACCCATCTCCACTTACTTCTACATATATGTTGAGTGATCGGCTCTTGGTTAGTTTGTTCCCAGTCAGAGTTTCTTGTTGCTAATTCTTTCTGGCCGGTCGGCCAGCCATTTGATCTTCATTATGGAGCCAGAGAAGTGGGCAACTGTTGATGGAAGTCTGCAATAACCTGTTGGAAATTCTTTTAGTGACACGCAGTACAAGTTTCTCACCCGTGCAGAAGAGGTGACTGACTTGACATCTGTGTTAAAAATCCGAATCTTGTTTCTTATGCTGAGTGAAGGCAGAAGATTTCCAAACTGGTTTCAGGTTGATGAAGGTGTATCTTGCCTTTCCAATTCAGGAAAGTTGCATAAGTTATAATAATAAGCATAAAAATGTAATACTGCACTAAGTAGAATATCGAATAAAATTAAGGAAATCTCTACAACAAATTTGGGATCATTAAAACCTCGATGGTCAGCGGGGTAAGGAAAGAGTCTGAACCAATTTCTTCTTTTAGGATTCATAGTTTAGGCTTCTTAATGTAGATGCCAACAGCCAGCTTCATCAATATGTGATAGACGAACTGTTGAGGTAAAATTAAGCTTAGTTGGTATACGGTAGATGACTTTGAAAGCAGGCTTGTTTACATCAATTTTGTGTTCTGTATCTACGAGATGAGAAAGTACAGAATTATGAATGGATTTTGTTTGTCCCTTACTTAACCAACCACCATACACGATGGTGTTCGGAAATCCAATGATAAACACGCCTAATTGTACGGCGTATGTAACTGGCTCACTCCACAGGAGCAGTCAAATTGGTAGATACACATAAAAGACGTGTGTTTATTGTCGAATTTCCGAACACCTTCCTGCATAGTGGTTAAGTAAGGGAGAAAAAAGTCCATTCATAGTTCTATACTTTCTCATCTCGTAAATACAGAACACAAGATTGATGTTAACCAGGCAGCTTTCAATGTCAACTACCGCATAGCAACTTATCATAACTTCACCTTAAGAGTTGGTCTACTACATATTTATTGCTGAGGCTGGCTGTTGGAATTTACAGTAAGAAGCCTAATCTATGTATCCAAAAGAAGAAATTGGTTCAGACAGTGTCCTTATCCGGCTGACTGGACATCAAGGTTTCAACGATCCTCAGTTTGTTGTGGAAATTTCCTTAATTTTATTTGTTATTCTATGGTGAGAGCTGGCTGCGAACAAGTCAATGTTCACGTCCCGAATCAAGGTCATGAGAAAACAAACAATAACAAAGCTTAACCTTGAGAAAATCACCAGCCAATCACAGTGGAGTTAAAGTGCGGAAATATGATTCAAAGATATATGACTTGATTTTCTGAGAAACGGCCACAAAAGCAATAACCGAATAAACCTTCAGCAAGAAGACAACCAATCAGAAGAGGTTGCTTCTCAGCTAATAATAACTCCGATAATAATGTACATAAAAATAAATACCTCTTGATTTTCTCAATAAAGTATCTGTTGCCTGGCTCTTGTCTTCTGTCGTTACAATTCTATTAGCTATTACATTTTTATGCTTATTACTATAACTTATGCATCTTTCTTGAACTGTGGTAATTCCATTGTGATCTTAACAAATCGATATTATTTAAAACACACCAATATTGTTAATGACAACCATTCTAGAATATTCTATGTATTATTTGCTCAATTTGTCGGTTTTTTTCTAGATGTCTTAATGAATGTTTTCCCTACATCAAAATGCAAAGAATGAAAAAAGCCCTAGCATAAGAGTAGAAACAGAATCAATAATACTGAATAATACACACACACACACTTACAAAACGACCACTTCGACGACAAAGTCCAGCAAAACGTAACCATGATTTACGATCTTCAAATGGTTCTAGTACTAAACTTCTCAGTTGAATAATTTGACTCCAATCTTCTACAACAGTATTACAACCAAGTAGACGTGATTGCCATGCTTCACGAAGAATTGGACGTTGTTCTGGCATTAATTTATACTGTATAACCTCTTCAGCTTCAGATAACAATTGAGTTCCAACTAAATCCTAAAAATTAATGGAGAATTAATATAAAAATATACATATATGCCGGTTATAATCTAATCACAAACTTCTTCAAACTGCAAAAGCAATGGCAATTCACTTGTTAAGTCCTGAACTCTGCATACAGAAGAAGTTCGTTCAATCACTACACTTGTAATGGATGTAGTCTATCTTAATAACAGACAGGTAAATTCTATTTCTTTCTTTCTGTCTCTTCATTAGTATTATTTTGTCTTTTCAATTGTAGTATTTTACATTTTCAACTTTCCTGTTTTCTACCCCTACCTGATTTAATTTCTACACCTCATTACCACTGTTACTGACTTGACCAAAGCTCAATTTCTAGTCATTTTCGTTCTTTTTCATCCCTTCACGTTCCCAGTGGAACATAGGGCTTGCTAGCCTCCGCCCAACCTTTCCTCTTTACCAGTCTTATTACTGGCTTAGCAAGGTAACGGAGTGCGTCCAGTCGCCGGGGATCTAACCCCGAACCACATGTGGCGAGGTTGGCGAGCATTCTACCGCTGTGCCACAAACACACAATCATTTGTGTTACGTCATCCAATTTATTTCCTCAGTTTTAGTCCTAATTTAAATGTGTATCTACCTATTTAACTGCTCATGTGAAGTGAGTCAGTTACATAGGCCGCACAATTAGGCGTGTTTATCGTCGAATTTCCGAACATCATCCTGCATAGTGGTTAAGTAAAGGACAAACAAAATCCATTCATAGTTCTGTTCTATCTCATCTTGTGAATACAGAACACAAGATTGATGTTAACGAGGCAGCTTTCAAAGTCATTCATCGCATACCAACAAATCTTAATTTCGCCTTAAGAGTTCGTTTACTTAATATTGCTGAGGCTGACTGTTGGGATACACATTAAGAAGCCTAATTTATGTGTTCAAAAGAGGCTAGTTCAGACATTGTCCTTAACCCTACTGGCCATCTAGGTTCAAATAATCCTCAATTTTTGTGGAAATTTTCCTAATTTTAGTTGATATTCTATTCGCTACTACATTATTATTATTATTATTTAAGCATCTTTAATGAACTGTAATTCCATTGATGTTACTTAACAAATCGATATTATTAAGACAAAAAAACACAAATATTGTTATTGACTACTATTCTAGAATATTCTATGTATATAAATATGTACATATATAATTGTAGAGCCAGAAGAGGAAATTATCGAAAAGGATATTCTTTGCTCAACTTTTGTGTGTTTTAAATGGTATTATTCTCTACCTAACCTTTACTTAGTCTCTACGTGTTAGCTACCTCTGTTGTTTAGTCAATAATATTACGTCATCTAACTTACTAACTCAATCTTACTTTAGTTGCTGTCCAATTTACCTTGTTTCTATATTAGACCATTCTTGTATTACCTAGTTAATTATCTAAACTTGACAAACCTCATGTACAAACACACACATACACACACACAAAATAATTAACTTACAGCATACGCTCGATCATAACTTTCTTCAGCCATTGCTGTTAAATCTGAGTCTAAGACATCACGTGCTTTCATGATAAATTCACAGGCTTTAGCATATTGTCCAGAGTGAATATTTAGCACAGCTCTATAGAATGCCCCATCGAAACTATTATCAGCTGATAACGCCTCAGAATAGCGTTCTACACGATCCCAGGAATTAAGCGCCCATGCTGCACTACAAGCCAACGGGGCCATAAATACACGCATTTGATCGCTAACATTATCCCAACGTTCCCATGCCATATTATTTAATGGAGCCCTTAGAAGAAGAAACACAGAATGAACAGTTATCGTAACGACAAGTAATGAGAATAATAATATGATATATATAGCAACCTAATATGGACGACTAGTAAGAAATCACTGGCTGCTGTCGACCGACACAACGTCATCACGTAACTCGAGATCATCAACACCTCACAAACAGATGCGACTACAACATAACCATATAAATGTAAAGTTTCACAGCTGTTCAGTCTCAGTTAAATTCAGTATAGAACTTTTACAGAAATATTGACAAACAGTCCACTAGGTCAGATATGAATTGGATGATTATTGATACTACTGGTCAGTGTGGTCGATAGATATACATAATGGCAAACTGACAACAGTTAAAATTCACAGAGCATCGAATTCCAACCCAGTGAATGTGAATGATTTATGTCCTCGGCTTGTAACTTGAAAGAATTGAGTAGTAGTAATAGTACTGGGTGATTTTACAAGTGCACACTACTGAAGAGGGCTTGAAATGATAGAAACCCTACTGCAAGCAACGATAACAATCTGAATACTCAATCATAGTTAACTTCCTTAACTCTGAAAGACGTTTTAAATATATAAAATCTATTAATTATAACGATAAAAAGTATTTTAAACGTTAACCATGCTTCAACAAAACTATGTTTCATTCAAGTATTCGTTTGTAAGGATTTGATTGATTGGTTACAGGACTTCATCATGAGCTGACATGGGATAGAGAACCATTGAAAAAATCAGCTGGGATTACTGGACAGCTGTTTCGTCCCAGTTTCGGACTCCTCATCAGGGTTCAAGCCAAAAAAGTTCCGTGCGACTGGCCCTATTTAGGTAGGTTTGGGAAGCCATGACCAGAAGGATACGGAAGATCGGGTGGGAAGACAAATACTCGCTGACGTTGACATTTGCTAGTGATCGCATTATGTCGTGAATTGGCAAACGTTGGAAGTCACGCAATGGCCATTGGATAGGCTCCACGTGCTCGCTAGCGTTGTAACCGGGAGGTCGCGGGTTTGAACCCTGGCGGTGGGTGCATACTGATGAAGAGACCCGAACTAGTCTGACGAAACAGCTGTTCTCTTGACGATGTCAGCTCATGAGGAAATCCTGTAACTAAAAATACTTTTATTCACTATTATTATTCGTCACCTGAGTACTAAGAGTGGAGCATAAGGCATCAGTGACAAATCTCCACTGCTCTCGATTCGCTGTTGTACATTTCAAGTGCTTTCACAACTGCCCACTAACTTGCATTCCCTCTTCATACTGTTTACCGCATATCAAACTCGGAAAGGTCATACACATATACATCCCATTCGAGTCCCACTCGAGAGTATGCAGTGTAATATCATCACTTGAAAGTCTCCATTTCCTTCTACGTGTTCGTTAGCCAACACATTTATGACTGGTTCTAAGACATGGTTAAATTTCAAACGAAAATACCACTACTAATTATTCTTTTCAGTAGTTTATATATATATTATAAATAAATATAACGAAAAGAGTGACACTCACCATTGACCTAAGGCGCGAAGACATCTCATTCGGCCAAGAATCAGAGAACTTTTATCCTTGATACGATCATCTTCTAATTTCCGTTCGTATAAATTTAGAGCACACTTCCAATCGTGTAATTTCTCTCTCCAGATTTCTTCATTCGCCTTCAAGGTGGGCAGGCAGGCATGGGGAGGGGAAAGGGAAATAATTACCACATAAAATATAGTGAGAGACAAGTAATTATATCATGTTTTTATGTAAACTTAGACTCACTGATTTCTCACTAATTGAGAAGAAAACTTGGTCATATAATCTTCTTTGTATGTTTAGCCATTTGTAATAAACCTGATTTGCCTCGAGGTACTATGGTTAATTTGAGCTATATAACCATGCTGCCAATGCGTTCATTTTACTACAATAATAATTGAAATTTCGGTTCTCAAACTTAGTGATAGAAACAATAACCCCTCTCCCCCCAGTAATTTGTCACATTTTATCCCTAGTTATACTGGAAACTGAAACACCTAACGGAATCCTGCGAACACTTCATCAAATCTGCAACCCACTTTCTAGAGAAAATCAATGGCATTCTAATAGATGACTTAAAAATAATGGTATCTTTCAATGTCACAGCATTATGTACCTCACAAATGGACAGAAACTAGCAAAAGAAACCATGGGGCAATTACTCAGCGACGACGATCACACACCACCCTCCCCACTCCCACAACACTCAAAAATGCAATGCGCAAGTTGGATGGAATGCACAGACCTATGCCTAACGACGTACTGTACTTCTAATTTAACGGCCAAATATATGAACAAGTTAGAAGAACACCCATAGGATCGCCCATATCAGGTTTGATTGCAAAAGCAGTAATGCAGAAACTGTAAAACATAATCCTACAGAAAGTCAAACCCAAAATTTGGATACGTTACGTGGAAGAAACATTCGTGATAATCAAAAGAAACGATTTCGACAAAACTTACAACCTAATAAGCAACATCTTCAACGACATCAAATTCACAAGAGAAGAGGAATCAGAGAACCAAATTCCACTTTCAGACGTCTTAGTCAAACGAAAAACCACAGGAAAATCAGAAACGCGAGTTTTTAGAAAATCAACCCACAAAGACCAAATACTCAATTACAATAGCAACAACCCAACAACATACAAAAAGTTGCACACAAACATCATTTAAGAGAGCCATGTCTCATTGTTGCACTCCTACATCAAGAAAAATTACGGAAAAATACCTCCTGGACGTCTTCCAAAAGAATGGATATCCACGGAATTTCATCAAAAGACATCCACACCCGAGACAACCTACCAAAACGAAGGACCCCAAAGAAAGCACAAAGAAAATCATCTTACCATACATAAAGGAGGTCTAAGAAATCACTGCAAGACTCTTCAAACCCTAAGGAATTGATGTCGCACATAAACCAACAAAATCACTTCACCTAGTCAGCTCTGTGTTAACCAAAAGACTCAACAACGAAAGAAGAAAAAAACCAACATCATCTACAGAGAAATTTACAACGACTGCGAAAAACACTACACTGGCCAAAGTGGACGCCCTTTTCGTCTTCGTATCCATGATCGTAAACTAGCCGTCAAGGGACATTAGATTCACTCCCTACCTCATATCGCTGCATACAGACAACCATGAACTTCGATTAGACTGGGACAATGTTCAAATATTAGACAGAGGAAACACCAAAAATGCTAGCCAGAGAATTTTTAGAAGCCTAGTATTCCAGTGAGTCGTCAATTAACAGGCACATTGACATAAACAAAATTTACCAATCGATAAAAATAAGGAAATCTCATACTTTAGATCAAAGGAGCAATCAATAACAATATTCATTCGTTGGTTTCTTGGCGGCCTGTTCAACACCTGGGTTACCTTTCCGTACATCTACATATTTGCATCTAATACATCATGTTTTAATTTTTAATTTTAACAAAATATGATCACAAATCGTATCAAGTACAGTAATGAATTCATTAAGTGTTTTAAACCATATGACTTCCATGCATCTAATAAAACTAAGAGAAAACATCATGGTGGTTGGCAACGTGCTCTCAAACGGACACCTTTATATCGCACAACTATTCCTGTTATTGTCAGTTCAAACTGCCGTTCACTTCACAACATCTCCAGTCTCTCTTATCATCCGATACTTATCACAATACGGCGATAGTTGCATTACAAGAAACATGGCTCCATGATCATTATGACGACAACCTGGTTTCTCTAAATGGTTTCACATTGTTTAGACAAGATCGACTATGCTCTAGAAAAAAAAAGGTGGAGGTGTTGCAGCCTTCATTCATTCTCAGTGGTCAACTTCAAATAATGTATGTTTTTCTTTCTCTAGTGACTTCATTGATTGTATAACAGTCAAATGTCGTCCGAAACACTTATCCAAGTTTAAATACGTCTTCATCTCAAACATTTATGTTACTCCTGGCTGTTCCCTCTCAGATCTATCTGATTTTGCCGATGAATTCACAGCATTCGCTGTTACACATCTTGAAAACTCTTTATCAGTTGTCACAGGAGATTTCAATACCTGCGATTGTTCTTTTCTTGATTCATTAGGTCATGTCAATATTGTCAAATTTCCAACTCGACTTGATAAAACACTGGATCTAGTATTTACTAATGATGCGGAAATATATGAAGCACGGAGACGTGATCCTATAATGAACTCTGATTATTGTATTATTCGGATATTACCCAAGATATATAGTAGATATCACTCTAATATCCTCTCAAATCTCTCCAGAAAAACACAACAAAGATGTTACTCACAAGAAAATGTGCTCAAACTAAGACATATGTTAAATGACACAAACTGGGAACTTTTCACTGAACACACACTGGATGATACCATTTCCAATCTGACTGACTATCTTAAATTCTGCCTTGATGTATGCTGTCCAAAACAGATACTTTTCAAAAGAATGGACCGTTTCTCTTCCCCTCATCTCAAAAAGCTTCGAAGAGAAAAAGAGAGACTGTTTTTTTTAGCTGAAAATTCCACACTGTACCACTAGTACTCTTTCTGGAATAAAGTAAGTACACTAGAGGGCGTGAAAACACACAAAAATAACCAATCACAATCAGGGTCACTCACCAGGAGAGATGACATATATATATATATATATATATATATATGTCAAAGACAGTCAATTCATCTCATATGCATGAGGTAGAACTTACCAGTTTATCTTGTGTACTACGTGTAGCATATAGTAGAACACCGTTAGCTGCTTCTTCTAAATTTAATTTACTATATATAGTTAATAAAGATGATAATGTAGCTGGACTAGGACATGAACGTTTTTCAGATTCCATGAAAAATTCTTGTTCTTTATAATATAATGCTTTAGCATAAGCACGATTTTTTAATGCTCTATCAGCTAAAACACCCAAAGGTAATGGTAAATGAACTCGATGTGATGAACTAGAATGCTATTTAGACAACAACAAAAAACAAGACAAAAAAAAACAGAAATAGTATGAAGCATCTTAAATGAAAGTTAGACGAAGATATCTTACTAAAAAATTATCTTTGCAGTTATCGTGTCATTTCGATAGCGAGCAAAAATCGATTTTGTTCTAAAGGCAACTGGTAAATTATTACGTATAAAAAGCACTTTCACAATTCATAGTTTGGAAGAGTGAGATTGACCAGCCACTTGAACAATATAACAAAACAAAGGGTGCTCTGCTCCGCATACTTCGATGTATCTAGTGAGAAATTGTGACCAGTAGGACACAGCAGGTCGGGTGAGGACAAATACTTGCACGGCGATGACATTGGTTGGTGGCAGTCGCTCTGTTTTATCGTGAATTGGCAGAAGTTGGAATTTGTTTCAGGTTATACCACGGATTGATATCAGTTACAGAACCATTGAAAACCAATACTAGAGTACGCATCCACCACAGGGATTCGAACCCAGGACCTTCCCGTAACAAGGCTAGCGAACTCGTATACCATTCAGCCACTGGGACCCAACTTCTCAATGGGGAGCCCATGAATTCTACCTTCTATCAATTCGAGATTTTAGCGCATCCAACAACCAATGTCATCGGCGGAAACTCCACCACCACTCCCGACTGGATGAACCTCATTGGTGGCGACTCCTGATTAGAACTCCGAGCGACCTCGTCCTTTAGCCAGTCACTACCTAGCATAAACTGGGTGCGTACTGACGATGAATCCCAAACTAGGATGAAACGGTTGTCCAGTACTCACTCCAGTGGTGGCTTTCAATGGTTCTCCAACCGACATTAATCCATGGTCTAACCTGGAATATCTTAGAATTCCCTGGTGATTTCAGTGCTTCTTTTGTCTAAGATTGGTATATTTTCCTCCCGGTCGAATTGATGTCCGTAGTGGTGTCTACACAAAACACTACTAATGATACAGTGTGTAATTTTCAGCATTTTGTAAAATATCCCATCTAATTTTATAGAAAAACTTCAAGAACAATTACAAAAATAGTATTACAGGATTGTTAAAGGCAGTTCTTATTTGGTATTTGTAGTGACAGTAAAATCATAAACATACAAAGAAAATTGTAAATAATAATGACAGTGTTACCAGCCTAAGATTGTCAGTTAACTGAGGAGATAGTGTCACTATAGATTACAAATAGTAGATAATAAAAGAGCCGATTGTTTTGCTAACAACATAGTTATTCACCGATTTCCAGCCTAACATTGTCGCTATCACAAGGAAGACAGGCTGGCCAGATATAGTATCACTGAGTTCCTGTACTAGGTAGTAATAATCTTTCCTACTGACTGGGAAAGTTAAAAATAAACAAGGATTTGACAGTATGCATTTTGACCACTTCTCGCATGCGCTGTTCACATGTCTATCAACTAATGTAGCAACACGCTAACTGACTGACTAAGTTACACACCACTTGCCCTACTACTGACAAGCTTTATTTAGTAACCTCAAAATGACGTAGTCTTTTTTAGTAGCCCAGGAAAGAGTAAGAGGAGGGGGGCAGTAAAATACGATAGGTAAAATACAAGAGTTAACAAATTGTAAAAGTAGAGGTTGAGTGATTCCAGATTATTTTAGCTACTTAATTTAGTTAGTTTAGACAGAACATTTTCTAAACTCTAAACTCGACAGTAATCATTCAGAGAAAAGCATATGCTTCATTTTGGTTTGGGCGGTCAAGGAGTATTCTCAACCGTAAGATAAAGATGCAGCACCAATTCAATGAAGATAGCAGATATTAACAATTATTTTCAAGTTTGATGAACCTCGCTGGTCAGGCAAGAGGACAGTTACTCTCCCGTGATGACTGGAGGTTGCACCGAATAAATAAATAAACCGAATTGGCAGAATTTAGAATTCATGAACTGGCCATTGGATCGATCGAGTCCCAGTGGCTGAATGGTCCACGAGCTCGCTAGCCTTGTAACCAGAAGGTCCTGGATTCGAACCCTGCCGGTGGTGAGCACCTCTGAAGAGTCCCAAACTAGGACGAAACAGCTGTCTGGCCAGTACTCCCAGCTGGTTTTCCAGTGGTTCTCTAACCGATGTCAGTTCATGATGAAATCCTCCAAACCAGTGAAACTAAATCCCTGCAAACCAATAATTGATATTTTCAAGAATTTTATTCATCAAATAGATGAATAAAATTGTTACCCATAAAGTCTACTTACATTATCCATATGTGCCATAAATTCTTCCAAGTTTAAAATAGTTTGACTGACTTCTGGTGATTGATCCGGTATCCGTAGGACACGTTCCAGTGTATTGATTAAATCATCTTGTTGACGATAATTTAATTCAGGCCAACAACTAAGAAATGCAGCATTGAATAGAGTACGTCCAATTCCCGGTGTAATAGCAGTCAGTTGACTACAGGCACGAATCGCAGGACTTGGTGATTCTCTTAATAAAGCCATATTGAATGTTTTTAACCATTGTGTCCAATCATCACGACTAACCATTCGAGAAGCATGCCATGCTCGTTCTAAATTAGTACTTTAAGCAAAAACAGAACATATTAGAAAGTATTGAAGTATTTTCCATAGTTGGGTCGTCGCTTTGAGGAGAAAGAGAAATGTGAACTACTCTTTATCCTCAAAGGAATAAGAAGGATATGTACCAGTAATAAAATCGACGGGGAAATGGAGAGACTCAGACAACTCCTTATAAGAAAATCGATATCCTCCAAGATTCATAGAAAAAAAGCATAAAGATCTGCCCAATAATCCTATAATTGCACACCCCTTCCAAGTTCTATACATCCTATGAATGATTCTATTGACGCAGCCTGTTAAAAGCCTTCGAAAAGTCAGTCAGCCAGTCGATGTGTATTCTTTCGATGAAAGCAAAAATAAGAATGGAGAGGTGGAATGTTCGTACAGTATATAAGCCTGGGAAGGTTGTCCAGGTAGCCAAAGAAATGAGATGTGATATAGAAGTGCGAGGAATCTGTCAGAGTCAAACTGTCAACTGGTGAGTCAGTAATCTACTCCGTTCCCCCACCCAGATGACAAACAGGAACACATTGAGGAAAGAGCTAACATGATGTCACCAGTGACAGGAATACGCTGAACCTATCAGAAGACCCTAGAAGATCTTGATTTCGCAGATGATACAGGTCCAATGTCATACAAACTCGAAGGCTTACAGGCAGGCGATCACCAACAAACTGGCTGAAGAGGCTGGCAGCGAAGACAGAACTCCAAGTGAACATAGAAAAGACGGAGGTGATGAAGATAACCAACGAACAGTAACATCAACAACTACAACCAGCACCAGTCACCATCAACGGGAGAGAGATTTAATAGAGGTTACCTCCATTACTTATCTGGCTAGGAAGCATCGTTTAAACTACAGGCAATCGGAACTGATAAAGATGTCAAGGTGAGTCGGACTCGGAAAGGCAAGATACATCTTCATCAATCTGAAATCTGTTTGAAAATCTTCACCCCCGGCACAAAGAACAAGATTCGCATTTTCAACACCAACGGCAAGTCAGTCAGTGTTTTCTATATGGGTCAGAAACATGGCGGTTGCATTATGAAAAGCATTTTCAACGAGTTGCAGCAGATTTTTATCGACAGCTGCATTCATTGACTCCATGTAGAAGATTAAATGGACAAAACGAATCAGTGGCAAGAAACTGTGGGAACAAACTAACCAAGAACCGATTGCTCAACAAATATGTAGAAGGAAACGGAGATGGATTGGAGACTGAGGAGATCGTCGAATGACATCGCCAGCAAGGTCATTGGCCCTGGAGTGACATTGAGGAGATCATGTGGTGAGGAGAAGGAGATGAAAGATTATGGACAATCGTGGACCCAGCAGAAGAAACCAGCACATACGTTTGTATGTGTATTTGTCAGTGTATAAATTAACAACCAAGGATAAATATAGAAAAAGGAAAGATTTGTTCGTACAAGTGATGAAAAGACTCAAAGGTAAAGGATACATTAAACGAATTTTATTGAAACAGTAGAAAAAAGGGAAAGAGTGTAGGGAGCAAGCATAGCGCAGAAAAGATGAAATGCTCCAAATATAATAGATGAAGCAATGCAATATTCTTACATTTATAGATTTCATCGAACTCGTGAAAAACACACAAAAAACATTTCTAGGTTAAACCACAAAGGACTGATGATGGTCTATCAATATCCATGAGGTCAGTTAGGGGATGACATTGCCAAAATCACAAAGTACCATACTGAATAACGGTTTCGTCGCGGTCTTGGATTCTTCATCAGTACACGGCCGTATAAATTCGCCAGAGATTGAACCAAAAGCCTTTAACAAGTTTTAACAAGAGGAGCCCACCGTTGATCAATAAGGCACTCGGAAGAACTCCAATAATCTACGAATTCAAACTTCACGAGACATGTAGCACCAACAGGATCTCCAGGGGGATTATGCGTACATACTGCTGAGTAGTCCTACAAACCAGGACTAGTTCATTAATATATGTGGCATCACAGTTCATGAGGTACAAATTACTAATTTTTACGGTTGGGTGCCCCTGTATGCGAAACGAAATCTCATCCGTTCACCGAGCCACAGCTCTCACACTATGGGACAGCAACTGAACCTCGGAAATAACCACTTAGAACGTTTTATCACGAAACCCATGAAATATAACCAACATAACCATCCACACTTTCTGCTCCCAATAAAAACGTCTCTAATTGAATCTACAATTCAACGAAGACATCAGCAAAAATGCTGAGAGAACCACCTGTCCAGCTCACTGAAGAAAGCTCTCTCTTCGCGACCGAACTCCGACTAACTTTCTCTACGAATCCAATGATTTCCATGAACGCAAAGTATAAGCTACGACTGTTGGCCGTCCTCATCAGTGTGCACCTTTCAATTCACCTGCTCGTAACGAGCTAGCTATGTATGTCAGCAGTACCCAGAGTTTGCCATCCAAACGTATTATCGAACACTTAACCACAGTCATAGTGTAGTGAGAGCTGTCTGCTAGCCAAAATTGATAGACGGAAATTTACGCCAATGTTTACTTCCCAAATCTTGGTGATGAGGAAAACAAGAACAAAGACTTTGCGTGGGTGGATACGATTCGCAGATATATGGCCTGACCTTCAAAGAAACGGCCACAAAGAGATGACAGAATAACTTTCAGCAAGAAAACAACCAACCAGGAGGCGCTGTTTCTCTGCTAACAATAAAGAAGAATAATGTACATAAAAATACATAAATATCTGTTGATTTCCTCAATAAACGATCTGTTGCCTGGACCTGGTCTTCTGTCGTTACAATGGTTTTATAAATAATAATAATAATAATTTGCTTTATTCCAGAAACAGTACTAGTGGTACTGTGTGGAATTTTCAGCACATATCTACAATATTTGCATCTAATTTTACCGACGTTTAAAATAAGTATTAAACAAACAAAAAAAAACAGGATAAACACAAAATAATTATGAATGCGAAAAAGGTACCAAAGTCTACCAAGGTCTAATGCAGTGTTTGTGGTGGTAGTGTGAGTAATCCTGAATAATACAAAATTTTTTGAGGTGGTGACTATGGCATTCACAAACAATGATTGTCAGTTTAATATTGCCGAAAAGTATAGAGAATAAGAAAAACAACCACAAAACTAATAATTACATGATGGTTCCTCTAGGAATTAAAGGAAATAATAATAAATAATGACACGACAATTTTGTAATACTCATAGTGCTAATATAGTCGGAACCAGTGGATACACAATAGAAGGAATATAGTAAAGTACAAAAAAGGAAGCCAATGTTAATATTTCAGGTTGCTAAGTAAGTTTGAAGAAGGAGTTCACTAAAGAAAACGAAATAAGAGAGAAATAAAAGAGTATGAAATTATGTTGTTAATAACAAAGCAAGTCACAGGTTTCACGCTTAACATTGTCTCTGTCGCTTAAAACACGGGTCAAGTATGGTATCGTTGAGTTCCTGTACTTGGTTGTACGAGCATAGATTCTTTTATACTGATTTCTGGTTTTACTTGATGAGATACAAGGAGAGAGTTGGGAATAGAGGGGGTGTTGGGGGTCTGAGAGTATGATTTTAGACCATTTTTCACATGTATTCAGATGCCTATCAACTAAAGTAGTCACGAGCTGACTGAGGTTAACACCACTAGTCCTACTAACTACTGTCAACATCCTTCTCAGGATGGAATAGTCCTTTTTCAGTAGACCAGGAAAGACTAACGGGGAGCAGTAAAGTAGAATAGGTAGGATACAAGAGTTGACAAATTGTGAAAGTAGAGGTTGGGTGATTCCGGATTGTCTAAGTTTCTTAATGTAGTAGGTAAGACAGAACACTTTCCTAGAAATCATTAGGATATGAGATGTCCAAGTAAGGTCAGAAGATAGAACTAGACCGAGGTATTTTGCATTAGACTTAGTTTCAATTTTAGTCCCCTCAATGCAACAGTCTTCATGAGAACTTACTAATGTTTGTAGATCTCGTTTATGCCTAAGGGAGAAGTCGACAGTCTGGCATTTTGAGGGATTCAGCATGAGACCATTTAGTTTGGACCACTGACTGATGTCCGACAGGAAGCTATTTAATTTGAGACAGTCTGACTGAGACTTAATGGAAAACGGTACAGACAGGTCATCTGCATATTTGACGAAGTTGACTTCATCTGAGAGAGGTAAATCATGTAAGAAGAAGGAAAAGAGAAACGGAGAAAGAACAGCACCCTGAGGAACTCCAGCTTCAGTAAGCAATGGAGAGGAAGATGCACCATTATATAGCGTGTACTGCATCCTATTAGAGAAGTAAGAGTGCAGCCAGTTGATAACCCAGGGCTCAGTTTGTGCAAGGCTAAGCTTGTTTAACAATAGGCCTCTAGGTACAGAGTCGAAAGCAGATGTATAGTCAAGGAACGTACAACGGACAAACTTGGCCCCTTTGTCTAAGAAGGATACAATGTTGTGATGAAACACAGCAGCAGCGTCCAAAGTACTTTTACCCTGTTTGTAAGCAAACTGCTTTGGAACCTTTGAGAAGCTTAGGGAGGGAACAAGTTTTAGTAACAATAGTTTCTCCATTAGTTTCAAAAAAGGGGAGGTTATAGCGATAGGTCTGAACTTAGCATTATTACCAGAGCCTGACTTAGGTACAGGGATGATTTTAATATCTTTCCACAGAGAAGGTACAACATTATTAGAAAAAGAAGTATTAAAAATGTTTGTAAGTGGGTTGCTTAAAATATCAGCACATTTCCTTAGGACAATGGCAGGTATACCATCAGGACCTAGACTCTGGGAAGGTTTAAGAGATTTTAAACATTTAAGAACATCAGAAGTTTTAAAACTATTAAAGTCACTGGTCATGTTATTTGTTACATTGAAGGAAGAAAGTCCCCCCGAAGCTATATTGTGGAACATCTGACCAGAGAATCAGGACACCAAGCAAATCCACAATCCAATTTCAAAGTTATCTACAGAATACGTACGAATCTTACTAAAAGAGTATGAATCACAAGAAACAAATGATAAATTAAATAGTTGAAAATTAATCACTAACTTATTGATTTTTAACAGTTTAATCGCTCCAGGTGCTTCTGAATCTTCTACAGTTTCTTTCTCTTCACGTTTTCGAGTTGATATACTAGTAAATTTAATGTATGCACGATCACTGCTTGTCGGTAGAAATGCTCCTTTCTCAATCTTTGAAAATTTAAGAGAATGAGATATGCATTAAAGTAAATATTGAAAAGATAATTTTGAATAAAAAAACGCAATGTGGAACTACTGTGCTACTACACTGCTACACTGTACTCGACGAGCTGTGCCGAATGAGAATATCGTGTAGATATAGCTCATTCATAGATGTACGGCACTGATGCGTAGTCACATGATGTCTGCTTTGTTTTGCTTGTCTGATATATTTTGCTTTATGTCTATTGATCGTTTTTCCATTATAACTCACAATATATATATGTATAACCTTTGTCACATGACACTGCAACCAATCAGAATCCAGTGGTGTTAAGAAAAACTACCATCTGACAACAACATATTTCACATTCGAAGGGAAAATATACGAACAAAATGAAGGAGTAACATGGGATCGCCTATATCACCAATAATAGCTGACATATTCATGGATTATTGGGAAGAGAATGCCCTTAAACCATTCAGGTCATCAATGAAATGTTGGTGGAGATATGTGGACGATACACTAGTAATAGTGAAAAAAACGATATTGAGAAACTCTTCTCACACATTAAACAGCCATGTCATCTCAATAAAATTCACTATGGAAATAGAGAATGAAATTGGGGAACTGTCTATGTTAGACTCCAAAATACAAAGAATAACAGATGGTAGCATAAAAACGACGCTATATGGAAAAACCACACACTCGGGAAGATTCCTTGATTATCACTCAGCTAATCCACTCACCGTAAAACGAGGATTAATACAAGATCTTGCAGATAAAATACGTAGACTTACAACAACACCAGAGGACCATCGTAAAGAAATAAACGTCCTATTCAAAATGCTACTCGAAAATAACTACCCAAAAGAATTTATAAAAGATAAGAGAAAAAAAGGGTAAAAACGGAGAATAACAAGATGGAAGAATGCAGAAAAACAGTCACAATACCATACAAAACTGGTTCGTCAGAGGCAATTCGAAGAAACCTCAAAAATATTGGGATTCGCACAACGTTGAAACCGACGAATCTAATCAAAAATAAAATAAATCAACTGAAAGATCCCATAAAAATAATGGATAAAAACAACTTCATTTACAAAATATCTTGTGCTGACTGTCCGACTAAATATGTGGGGCAAACGTCCAGATCACTCAAAATAAGAGTGAATGAACATAAACACCTACCCAAAGGTCAACCAACAGGAACACAAGCATACAAGAATCTTGAAAAAAATTCATCGATAGCTGCACATGCATGGGACAAAACCCGCAATATCGATTGGAACAATGTGTGTATTCTAAAAACTAACATGAACAAATGGAAAGAAAGACTTATAACAGAATCGATATTCATTAAAGTCACACCGGATACATGTAACAAGGGTGACTCAGTACAACTATCAACAACTTGGAATATAATTCTGAATGCAAAAAGCATGAATGAGCAAAAAAATTATGAACTATATACATATGAGTACAAATCATAAATGTGTGAACAAAACAATTCTAACAGTGGTGTGAACAGGGGCTGTGATTTCGCTCGAAATATTACCAATAACAAAACTTATCATTGTGTGTAAACTATTGAAATATAATTATACTTTATTTAATTTGGTCCACAATGCTCAAACTTTTTCCTGATATTAACACCACTTGTCTTATTGGTTCATGGGAGTTAGTTATTTTCTATACACCCTTGTATTGTACAGTTAATTCACACTTCCATAAGTTTTACCGCTCACACTCTTGTGCGACAGTTAATTTTTCTTTCTTGGAAAATACATATATCCATTCGTGAACGTGGTGGTCTTCTGAATTTCCTCATCCGCGTCAGGACAAATTAACTACTCAGCAATACCCATCTGTAGGCTACCGTCCATTATATCTCATTAGTGCATATTTACACTCAGTCACACCATTAATAACATATTGGCGACGGAACCATAACAGGCACTCTCAATCAATGGGTGTCTCAGATATCGACTCTACGCTCCACCTACTTCACAATACAAGTGTAACTAGATGTCAGTATCATCATCAGCACATGGTTCACACAATTAGTGTGACTGATATCTAGTTTGTATTATTATTGTAATTTAGTTCCTTTACGTTTCGAGTACAACACAGGGGGCTTCAAAAACACATCTCCACTTTGTTCTATTTTCTGGTGTCTGTCTTCTTCAGCTGGGGCCACAAAAGACTACTACTCATGAAATTGAAAAGTCTTGGAATCAAATACACCTTACTAAACTGGATCTGAGAATTCCACATAGGTAGGAGAGAGAAAGACAGTGAGGACCAACTCAAAACTCTCCACCTGGACAACAGTGCATATAGTGGAGTGCAACAAGACAAAGTACTCAGGCCTCTCTCCCAATTATCTTGTATATCAATAAGTTAACTGTGGTCACTGATTGATTCCTCTATGGTCCTATTGTTATTATCGTTATTATTATTCCCTTGGATTCCGAGTGGAACACAGGGGCTTCAACAACACATCTCCACTTTCTTCCATTCTCTCTGCTATACTCTTCAGCTGGCTGACCAACAGACTGCCCAAAGTCTGTCATGTCCTCCCTCTAACAAACAATCTCCTCCATGTCACCCTCGCACTGACGACAACCCACTCGTCGTTTCCCATTTGGATTCCACTCGACCAATATCCTACATTGGGCGTGATATAATTCGAAGGCCTCCTCCTCATTGGCGTGTGCCTGATCTGATCCATCTCCATTTCTCCTACACATTTGTTGAACAATATGGTTCTTGGTTGTTTCACTGAAGAGTTTCTTCTTGCTAATTCTTTCTTTCTGCCCAGCCGGTGGTCAGCCTACCACCTGCCATTCGACCTTTAATGTAGAGCCAGCGAAATGGGCAGCTGGCTGTTGATAAAAGCCTTCAGCAGGCTGTGTTGGAAATGCCTTTCGTGATGCGCTCGCGAAAAGCTTTCTGACCCATACAGAAGAAATGACTGACTTGAAATTGGTGTTGAACAGAATCCGAATCTTGTTCTTTATTCTGGCTGGCTGGCTGGCTGAGTGAGTGAGAGAGAGCAGAAGATCGCCAACACAACTTGATACATCAGGAGTAGAGTATTCTACAACACTCAACTCCTCTATCATCAAGTAGTAGTAGTGAACACCGCTAAGTCAGTCATATTGTTTTTGTTTTCTTGATTTCTTCAAGCAGATCACACACACACACACACATTGTAAATCTAATCTAGTATGTAAGAATGACAGTCAATCACACATAACATTTCAAGCGCGCGATACAAACGAGTAAACAGATCCTATTGGATTATAATGTGAAAAACTGCTCTCTATCCGATTAATTCAGATGACAATAAACAAACAATAAAGACCAATAAGGAAAAATTTATAATATTTTTGGGCTTTTCAAGGAGGTGTAGGGAAGTAGATTTTGCTTCTATCCCCCATGCCCATGTAGTACACTTACCACCCATGCAATAAAATCAGTCAGTAACATGTTGTAGGCATTGTTTGACTTCTCTTTCGTTACTTCCCTTTCTCATATATTTTCAAATAAAACCGGAACCAGCATATTGTTGTCCCCTAGGTCATAGGTCAAGAAACCAATGCAATGAAGCATTAACATCCATGGGGCATTTAAGTGTGGATTGCACGCCAAAAATGGCACAGTGTTTTCTGTCAGTTAAAATAGAACACAGGAGGGTTTCGTTTAATTCCCTCCAAAAACTCGGTTAACTACAAAAAATCAATTGATAACACTTCCGATCCTTATTTCCAATGGCAGTAACATCTTCGTTAGTAAACAGTTCACGTGAACAAAACATTCGACTTTGAGCAAGATTTCTGTATAATACTCTTTCTAAATATTCTTGTGTACTCTTCTTTATGTCAGGCAGGTGGTGTATGATCCCCTATTATTTGTAAGCAGAGGTAAAAGACAAGTCGAAATATCAGTTAGTTTTCACAAAATGTGTTGCTTAAAATGCTACCCCGCTGACTTTGTGGCCACCAGATGGTCCAATATCGCACTGTCAATGGTTTTCACTACACCTCTACTTGGCCATACTGGGAGATATTCTCGAGCGAGCACGAAAAAATCAAGTTCCTAGAGCAACGGCCAATTTAAATTGCTCCACCAATGGAGAACAGTTGAATTGGTAGATACAATTTGAAGTGGCTAGCTAGTCTAGGCACTTCATCTTTCAGTCGAAGTAGCACCATCGGTCGTGTAGAGAATAAGATGTGTAGTTCGCCAGCATTAAAAGTTCTTTAAACTGATTTTCTTAATTTTCTCGCAATAATCTCACTTAGTATAACGTCCATTAATCGTAGTTGTATGTGTAAGGGAATCTTGATTACAGACAGTGCGCAGTCCTTCTCCGTTTTCTTTGTCATGGGCGATACACCAAGCGAGATAATTACGAAGAAATTAAGAAAATCAGTTTAAAGAACTTTTAATGCTGGCGAACTACACATCTTATTCTCTACACGACCGATGGTGCTACTTCGACTGAAAGATGAAGTGCCTAGACTAGCTAGCCACTTCAAATTGTATCTACCAATTCAACTGTTCTCCATTGGTGGAGCAATTTAAATTGGCCGTTGCTCTAGGAACTTGATTTTTTCGTGCTCGCTCGAGAATATCTCCCAGTATGGCCAAGTAGAGGTGTAGTGAAAACCATTGACAGTGCGATATTGGACCATCTGGTGGCCACAAAGTCAGCGGGGGTAGCATTTTTAGCAACACATTTTGTGAAAACTAACTGATATTTCGACTTGTCTTTTACCTTCTTTACAAATAATAGGGGATCATACACCACCTGCCTGACATAAAGAAGAGTACACAAGAATATTTAGAAAGAGTATTATACAGAAATCTTGCTCAAAGTCGAATGTTTTGTTCACGTGAACTTACTAACGAAGATGTTACTGCCATTGGAAATAAGGATCGGAAGTGTTATCAATTGATTTTTTGTAGTTAACCGAGTTTTTGGAGGGAATTAAACGAAACCCTCCTGTGTTCTATTTTAACTGACAGAAAACACTGTGCCATTTTTGGCGTGCAATCCACACTTAAATGCCCCATGGATGTTAATGCTTCATTGCATTGGTTTCTTGACCTATGACCTAGGGGACAACAATATGCTGGTTCCGGTTTTATTTGAAAATATATGAGAAAGGGAAGTAACGAAAGAGAAGTCAAACAATGCCTACAACATGTTACTGACTGATTTTATTGCATGGGTGGTAAGTGTACTACATGGGCATGGGGGATAGAAGCAAAATCTACTTCCCTACACCTCCTTGAAAAGCCCAAAAATATTATAAATTTTTCCTTATTGGTCTTTATTGTTTGTTTATTGTCATCTGAATTAATCGGATAGAGAGCAGTTTTTCACATTATAATCCAATAGGATCTGTTTACTCGTTTGTATCGCGCGCTTGAAATGTTATGTGTGATTGACTGTCATTCTTACATACAAGATTAGATTTACAATGTGTGTGTGTGTGATCTGCTTGAAGAAATCAAGAAAACAAAAAAAATGTGACTTGGCGGTGTTCACTACTACTACCTTGATGATAGAGGAGTTGAGTGTTGTAGAATACTCTACTCCTGATGTATCAAGTTGTGTTGGCGATCTTCTGCTCTCTCTCACTCACTCAGCCAGCCAGCCAGCCAGAATAAAGAACAAGATTCGGATTCTGTTCAACACCAATTTCAAGTCAGTCATTTCTTCTGTATGGGTCAGAAAGCTTTTCGCGAGCGCATCACGAAAGGCATTTCCAACACAGCCTGCTGAAGACTTTTATCAACAGCGAGCTGCCCATTTCGCTGGCTCTACATTAAAGATCGAATGGCAGGTGGTAGGCCGACCACCAGCAAGAAGAAACTCTTCAGTGAAACAACCAAGAACCATATTGTTCAGCAAATGTGTAGGAGAAATGGAGATGGATCAGATCAGGCACACGCCAATGAGGAGGAGGCCTTCGAAGTATATCGCGCACAATGTAGGATATTGGTCGAGTGAAATCCGAATGGGAAACGACGAGTGGGTCGTCGTCAGTGTGAGGGTGACATGGAGGAGATCGTTTGTAAGGGGAGGAGGGGATGACACACTATGTATGGGCAGTCTGTTGGTCAGGCAGCTGAAGAGTATAGCAGAGAGAATGGAAGAAAGTGGAGATGTGTTGTTGAAGCCCCTGTGTTCCACTCGGAATCCAAGGGAATAATAATAACGATAATAACAATAGGACCATAGAGGAATCAATCAGTGACCACAGTTAACTTATTGATATACAAGATAATTGGGAGAGAGGCCTGAGTACTTTGTCTTGTTGCACTCCACTATATGCACTGTTGTCCAGGTGGAGAGTTTTGAGTTGGTCCTCACTGTCTTTCTCTCTCCTACCTATGTGGAATTCTCAGATCGAGTTTAGTAAGGTGTATTTGATTCCAAGACTTTTCAATTTCATGAGTAGTAGTCTTTTGTGGCCCCAGCTGAAGAAGACAGACACCAGAAAATAGAAGAAAGTGGAGATGTGTTTTTGAAGCCCCCTGTGTTGTACTCGAAACCTATAGGAATTAAATTACAATAATAATACAAACTAGATTTCAGTCACACTAATTGTGTGAACCATTGGCTGATGATGATACTGACATCTAGTTACACTTGTATTGTGAAGTAGGTCGAGCGTAGAGTCGATATTTGAGACACCCATTGATTGAGAGTGCCTGTTATGGTTCCGTCGCCAATATGTTATTATGGTGTGACCCAGTGTAAATATGCAATAATGTGATAATTGGGCACATTAACTACAATCCGGAGATAGATTAGCAATGGACGTAACTATGGTGACAAATTATTACTATTTTTGTCGTTTTTTCGCTTTCCAGGTGGAGCATAGGATACTCAGTGATAACATCTCAATTGCAACAGTTACCTTGACATATCACTTTCATCAACTGACTCTACGAATGCCCGTAAACATTTATTTTCTATACGCATGATCTCCTCCATGCCACCACCCCCATAAGACGCCAAACCTCCACGCCCCTTATTGAAGTTCCCCTCGAAGGTTTTTCTAACGTTTGTGGGGCAAATCAAAGGTTTCCTCATAGTACATTGAATCCATATGAATTTCATTTGGTAAATTTATTGAACAAAGGATTATTGGATGGTACTCTGTCGGAGTTACTCGTTGCTTATTCATTCCAACTGACTTGTTAGGAATGCTTATGGTGACACGTGCACCAAATCGTTGAACCAATTATGGAAACGCTGACTTGACCTCAGTGTTACACAAAATTCAGAAGTTTTTTTGTTTTGTTTTAAGTCTGTCTGTTCTGTCTGGATTCAACATAGAACTTGGCACCGAAGTGCAGCAGTTCGACTTGACACATTCCAAATAGCACACAAAGGTAGAGAAGAAAAGTGAGTGAAGAGAATCAATAGAGTTTTGACAAGTATAAGAGTGAAACAGAATGAGTAATGGTAGAAAGGAATATGAGACCGAATTATTACAGAGACTGAATACATCTGCGTAAGCCATTGACAACGATTTTGAGCCATGTCACCTATTGTCTCCAGCCATTGATTCTTAGAGTACCGGGGGCGGGCCCCAACCCGGAAGTCTGCATCTCCCTACCTGACTCAGTTTAACTGTCAGGGATTTCATGGATTGATGAGGCCATGTTTTTGTTTGGCCACCACTTACTCTTTTCCAACCTGCACCTATATCAGCTAGTAATGCCCGTCCGTCGGGGGAGGCGATGGTTAGGCATGCGCAGCACGTGACCTAACCATCTCAATCTATGTAACTTTATAGCCTCGTCGATTGATTTTCCCTCTTTGCCCAACACTCTACGCCTAACGTCAACATTACTTACCTTATTATACCACCTAACGTGAGAAAGAGATCGTAGACATCTATGATCAAAAACAGTCAACCTTTTCATGTCTTCAATTCGTATTGGCCATGTTTCAGGGCCATAGAGAAGGACGGAGCGAACTGCTGAGCAGTACACACATTCCTTGGTTGATAGTCGGATGTCACGCCTACGCCAGAGATGATGTAAGTTAGCGGAAGTTTGTTTGTTTTAAGTGCTAAGGATCACCACACTGATTTCAGAGTAATGTTAAAGATCTTTTGGAAGAGAAGAGACGTTCAACATCTTAGCAGAAAAGATGAATTAAATGAGTACTACCAGTTAATTCGAATAAGCTGCCGATTTCGTTAGCTTAGAGATGATTTCAGCCTCTTAAGCACTATGTTTTTATTGCTTATACAAAAAGATACAAAGGTGAAACGTATGCATTGGGTCCCAGTGGCTGAATGGTCTACGAGCTTGCCTTGTAACCGGAAGGTCCTGGGTTCAACCGCCTCCGTTGGTTGGTGCGTATTGCTGATGATCCCCAAAAACAGCTGTGTGGCGGTACTCCCAACTGGTTTTCCAATGTTATAAGTATAAAACTTGGGCACTGTGGTAGAGTATAATTCCATAATGGATAAGATTTTATTTTGATAAATCACACAGTGTAGTACAGTTATATTAACTGATGACGTTTCGAGCACAAACTATTGCTCATAATCATATCAAGTTGATATCCATTATGGTTTTCCAATGGTTCGCTAACCGATGATGTCAGCTCATGGTGAAATCCTCCAACTAACCAATCAAACAACAACAACGAAAATCCCTACAAAACCAAATACTTGAAAAAAGAAGAACGCCACTGACCTGACCAAGTACAGTATTAAATCTTGGCGTATGTAAATGCAATCGATTAAGCATTTTTTGTACTAATGGTAAAAAATACTTGAATTTCTGTCCCATACGATATAATAGACCAGTTAACACATCCATAGCTGGTACACGTAACTGATTGATAGCATTCAGACAAGCTTGACTGCCTAACGATGCTGTCGACTTCACCGATGAAGATGACGAGGAATGATGGTGATGATGTTGATGCAGAAGTTGTTGAAAACTTTGATGACATGATTCTAATGTTAACAGTAAACGACATACTGGATGAATTATTTGTCCAGCAAAATCACCCAGTTCAACACAATCTGTAAATCGTGCTAAACACTCTAGACAGGCTTTACGTAGATGTACACTGCCCACCTTACCAACAATTATATTTTGATTCAAACCACTTGATGCTGACAAACCACCATTAAGAGTATTCGGTGATGTAGATTGTACTCCGCCTAGAGTTGAATCATTTGTAGAGACATTAAGAGAATTAGCAGTGGCATCTGAAACACTACTAAAAATATTTGATAAATTAATGACATTTGAATCAATGTGCCCAGTTGATGAAACACCAGTTGTCGCCGATGTTGTTGTTGCTGCTCCTGTTGTCGACGTTGACGATGCTGAAGTATTATTATTTGATGCAGAATTCTCTGAAACACTATTCAACAATACAGATAGACTTGCTTCATTAGTAATATCGACGAGATTTGCAATTGACGGGACAAGAATATGCGCATAATCTTCAAGGGTATATCCAAACTCTGGAAGGATTTCTAATAGCTAATGATAGTTCAGAAGGGGATAGAGAGAAATAAAAGAACTAATTAGTATTGGTAGAGTAATGTATAAAGTCGATAAGAAAGCAGCCAGTAATAATAAGACTGGTAAAGAGGGGAGGTCGGGCTAGGCATGAGGTCAGCAGCGACACCAACCCGTAAAAATAAACAAGCACCACTGCCATAATTGATATAAGAATAGAACTTGTGCACGGTGTAATTCAATTGTGGGTAAGATTTATTTTGATAAAGTCTCACAGTGTTATACAGTAATATTTAATGATGACGTTTCGAGCACAATTTATTGCTGCTCACACTTATATCATGGTACTCACACAACTTTCTAACTTCGTTTATATAATTCTGTTATTTTTCATTGCTTGACTTGATGATTGGTAGTAGTATCTTCCATATTTCCCGTATGAGAGATGAGTCATTCTATTTCACGTGTTGGGTGTAGACTCGATGGACAAGGATTCAGTAATCAACTTCTCTGGTTCTCCACCTACCTATATTAATTCTTAGAATTTTAACCCTCTTCCACCCACCCTATTGTGTGGTTGGGTGTTAATGCATGCATGCAGTGCAATTGCTGAGTTTTCCTCTAAATTTCTTATCTTCGCGCAATCATCAATCATTCTAACCTTAGCTAAATTCTTATGGTCTGATAATCTGACTACTCTCAATCTACTTGTTTGACCTATGTAGTTGACTTAACTCACAGTCATTGCAAAGTGTTTTGTAAATTATATTGTTGTGTTTAATTGGGTCCAACTGGTCCTTTAGCCTACAGAGCTTGTCTCTGAGTGCGTTTGTAGGTTTGAATGCCACAAGCCTAATTCCTGTTTTATTAAGAATCCTATGTAGAGGGTCTCAAATTTCCCCTACTTATATGGTAAAACTACTGTAGATGCCTTATATTCTCTCTTATTTATGTTATCATTATTAGTTTCACCATTACTTTTATTTTGCTTTTCACCTTTTTTTATATTCCTAATGATTTTTATAGGATAGTTAGTTATTTAACACCAACGCCTCTTCTATCCGTTTCATTTGATCGTCTAGGGTTTTTGTTATGCTAATTAGTGCTATTGCTCGATTTGTTAGACAGACACTTAACTAAGCCTGCTTTCACAGAGAGATAATGGATGAGATGAATTAAAGTCTAAATATCTATTAGCTGAATGCGTTGACTTTTTATAAACGCCGCTAGTGTGCAGTTTACCTTCTTCTTTTCGTTTTGTTTTACAATCTAACATCATAGCTGATTCTCCTTGTTTATTTCCCGATTCAAATGTGAATTTTATTCCCTCTACTAATGAATTTATAAGTGCGAAGAAGCTAGAGATATATGTTCTGTTTTCAACACTGTGAGTGGAAGTGTCATCCACATATCTCCACCATATTTTTGGAGTAGGATTAAATGTATTAAGAGCAATATTTTCCCAGCTGTCCATAAAGATATCTGCTACGATAGGGGATATTGGTGATCCATCCCATTGCTACACCTTCTGTTTGTCTATATATTTTGCCCTGGAATTTAAAGATAGTAGATGTGAAGCATAACTGAATTCCTAAAATAATTTCCTCAATGGACAGCTCCATCCTATGAGTGAGTTCAGGATCTGCTAGTTAGTTCTTTTTTAACTGCTTCTAAGGCCATACTGATTGATTGGTATATTAGTTTAAAGACTAGTTATATCAAAACTAACCATTGTTTCATTATTCTCTAGTTGAATGCCATTTAGTTTATTTTTCATCTCATATGAATTAGTTAGTCTAGATTTTGAACGATTTCTAATGGGGCATAATATTAGAGCTAAGTGTTTTGATAATTCATAAGTAGGGGTATTCCTGAAATCTACTATTGGTCGTCGTATGGGGTAACCCGGCTTATGTATTTTAATAGTACCATATATTCTACTAGTGTGGTGAGAGCTGTCTGCAAGCCAAAATTGTAGACAACAATTTACGTCAATGTTCACGTCCCGATTCGAGGTCATGAGGAAAAACAATAACAAAGCTTAACCTTGAGAAAATCACCAACCAATCACAGCAGACTTAACGTGTGCAAATGTGATTCGCAGACATGTGGCTTAATTTTCTAAGAAGCAGTCACAAGTAGTACAGAATAACCTTCAGCAGGAAAACAGCCAATCAGAAGACGTTGCTTCTCTGCTAACAATAACGCTAATAATAATGTGCAAAAAAATCTATAAATATCTGTTGATTTTCTCAGTAAACGATCTGTTGCCTGGTCCTTGTCTTCTATCGTTACACTGGCACCACTGCTATCGATACTTAAAACCTCTAGTTTAAAGCCTATGTTCCACAGGCGGAACGTACAGGAATAAAAAAAATTCTAGCAATGAAGAAGCTTGAAATTCTATATTTCGCCTACTGGAAATGCAAAAATTTGGAATGGAATATAGGACATAGAAAGAGTATTTTTTGTTTTTGTTTCACTTACCTCAATTAAATTCAACTCATTCGATTCATGATGAAATGTTCTTAATATTGTTGGAATAAGACGTGTTAGGTAAGTACGAAATTCAGCACCCAAAACAGATGACATTGGACTAAGTAATGCAATACATGCACGTTGAACATTTGGAGCTATCCACCAATGTGTTATTAATAAATCAACAACTTCATGAGCAAATTCTTTTGTATGCAATCTAACAATAGTCATTACACTGCCCAATTGACGGATAAGAAATTCTTGTAACTTGAGATTGATAAATCAATGAATAAAATTTTAACACAAGTATTAGAACTATACGTGATAAATTGCAAAGAAATGATACAAAAGAAATAATTAAAAGTAACTGAAAACCAGCAGGGAGTACTGGACAGCTGTTTCGTCAGCCTAGTTTGGGAATCATCGGCAGTACGCGCGCCCACTGGGATCCGATTCAATGACCCATGGCTGAGTGGTATATGAGCTTGCCTGGTAACCGGAAGGTCCTAGGTTCGAACCCCTACAGTGGGTGCGCGTACTGCCGATAACTCCTGAACTAGGCTGACAAAAGAGCTGTCCAGTAATTCCAGTGATGGTTTTCAATGGTTCCCTAACTGATATTAATCCATGGCCATACTTGTTAAAATAAATTTAATCCTTAGAAACCAACTCTTGAAAATTAAGACTAATCTCAGGAAAGTATTTTAATGAAGACACACAATAATTACCTACTATCTCCGTGATTAAATCAATATAGGATGAGTGAAGTTGATGTAGTATGTTAGAATGCTTCAATAAGCACGTTTAGACAGTTGGGTAGTAGTCAAGTTACGGTAGGAGGCAAGAGAATTGGCAAAGGAATGTTTATTTGGAAGTTGGTATCTCCTATATAGCCAAATTACGTACAACTTATCTTCAAATTCACCATTTGTGTAATTATCTTCTGTGTTGTGCCTGCTACTTCTGCCCTTCCTTCATATAGTGTGTTTCTTTGTGGTTTCTTTCACATCCCCCATGTATCAACACAACGCTGTTATATCATTTGCTTTCTCTGACTGACTTCAAATATATATATCTCCCTGCAATTTGATGTTTTTTCTGTCGATGAACGTTCCTTTATATATACTACTGATAAATCTTATCACGCTACATTGACAGTAGTCTTAATAGATGCGGCTGATTGCCAGCTGTTGTTGAATAACACACACACTGAGGAATTTCATCAGGATGGAAAGAATGTGTCCAGTTTGTGTATACACATTGAAAAATGATAAACTCTTTGGTTTAGTGCTGTTATTTTTTGACTGCATTTAAACTGCTATTAAATTTCTACCCCCTCATTACCACTGCTTCAAATTGTAGCTGAATTCTACTCAACCCCGTCAATTATCTTGCGTCACTCAAATTACTCATTTAATTTTATCCTAGTTTCGACCCAATGAAAGCTTCCTACATTACATAATTTGTTATTTAAACAATTTAGAATTCTACTGACGCATCTCTGGAAATATTCCTTGTGTTGGTAAGACAATTTACTATATATGGATATATATGCGATTGTACAGCTTGAGAACGATATCGGCGAAAAGAGGAGAGTAACTCTCTTCACTGGACGCCTTTCCTTTTCTTTTATACAACTCAAATGGGGATTTTCAAGTAGCTAAAACTAAAAATATACATAACATAATAAAAATTTAAAAAAAGGGCCAGAACAATAATCCTGGAATAAGCTTACTCGTGCATCCCGTGTATTTTCTAAACAACGAAAATAATCTGGAATCAACTGACGCAGGTAATAGGCTGCACGTGGACCCAATAATTTCAATACATAGACTATTGTATGTACAATACTACCATATTGTGTATGAAGTGCTGGATCTCTTAGAGAATGAATTAAAGCTGACAGTGCACAAACAGAGAAGAAAACATCACGACTTTCCCAAGAGAGATTGATGACTAGCTCTGATTGAGTTATATCGACTAAAAAGAGGAAAGAATGAAATAGAAAGAAAGAAAAATAAGAACAGAATGAGATAATTTTAGATGTCTACACACACCTTTCAGACACGACTTACATGAACTGGTTAGTTAACACGGTTTCACTAGCATAGATGCCACTGGAGTTGAATACCTTGGACTGTGTATTTCCTCTGATCATAGTTCCTGGTCTTCCTACATCATGTTAGTTTCCAGAAAGATATTTCGTTTGATGTTCTATGTAAGGAAGGAAGTTAAGATGATCTGGCATCATTCCGTCTCCACTGTTTCCGTTTGTTAATTCTTGTATTCTACCTATACTTCTTTACTGTTTCCCCAAACTTAATCTTTCCCGTAAAGACTTTTTTATACTGTGAAGGGCAATAAAAACCGTCAGTAGGGCAAGTGGGGGTGTTGCTAAACTAACTCGTTAATACTGTTATAGATAGACACATGGACTCCTGCAAGCAATTAGCAAATATTATCCTGTCAAACTCTGAACATCCTCTCCAAACACAACTCTCTCTGCTTGCTACATCTCATCGGGTAGAACTAGAAGCAACTATAGGAGACTGTATGCTCGGACGACTAAGTAAAAAAAACTCTACAATATTATATTTATGTGATGAGAAAAGTGTAAGACAAGAAATTACCAAGTTACTGAGGAACTCTAAGTAAACGGCATTTTTTTTTCCTTCACGTTCCCCAGTGGAGGTTCTGGGTAAACGGCTTGATTCTGTTTATATATTCCCATTTTTAATATTTGAACAAGGCATAAAAGCGAACAAAATTTTGTTTTCAATTAGATCTTCTTCAAGATGTATCTGTACAGATGACTCCCTAGAAAATGAGTTAGGATACATCCAAAATACGCTGGTCCAAATGGGTTATTCTAGTAGATTTGTAAGGAGACACATGAACACCAGGTGAAATAAAGAGAAACTGACAACAGTTAAAAAGAAACAACTGTTCATGAAATTGCAATTTAATGGGGACGTGGCTAGCGAAGTCTTACATCTGAGATTATCGAGAGCAATAAAACGGACTTATACTGCCGCCACCCTTTGTTTGTCATTTTCCAGCCGACCAATTATGATTGCTCAAGTGAAAGACAAGCTACCTAGCTGTATCACTTCTATGTGTATCTATAAATTTAGTTGCTCCTGTGGAGAGAGCTATGTAGGGCGAACAACTAGACAGCTTAACAAACGCATTAATGAGCATCTTCCTTCATGGTTCGGAAAAGGCCAAATAAAATCTATAAGAAGTTCTATTTTGGCTCATTTGATTGATAGCGGTCACCAAGTGGACAAAAATAGTGCCTTCAAAGTTATCTATCGCATTCCATCGAGCCTTTCGAACGGAATTCGAACCCGTCTTTTACACATAGCCGAAGCTATGGGAATTAATTCGAGAGAACAATCCTAGTCTTTGCATACAAAAGAAGTTTGTTCTACCTTTGTCTCTCCCTTGGCCTAGGTGAATTCTAATCAAAACCCTCCCACCCTTTCTTATTTTCCATTTCCTTCGTACTTTTATGATATTTATTTAAACTCTGATTATCTGTCCACTTCACCTTTAGTATTACGTAACTTTTAAGATTTGACCTAATTTATTTGTTTATTGAATTGTCTGCATATACACACGTAGATATTACTACCTTCGTTATTCTTATCGCCAACTGCATAAACCTTATTATCAATATTTTGTTATCATTATAATCATCGTTATTAACTACGTTCAAAACATTTATCACTTATTATTATTATTATTTGATCCACAAAAACAGTCGTCATTGGTTAAATCTTTTATATATAAATGTATGTAAACTAGAGTAAAGCCTGAAGAAGATCTAATTGGAAACAATATTGTTCGCTTATATGTCTTGCTCTAATTGATTTTGTTCTCATTGTTACATTGTCATCAATATTTTCATTTGATTTAATTTTATATTCATTTCTTATTGAACAATATTATTCATGTAAATGCTCTATTTTATTAATTACCCCTGTAAAATGAGAAAATTAGATGCAATACTGTACTACTGCATGCTGAAAATTCCATATTTGTACTAAAAGTACTGTTTAGAATAAAGCTAATACTATTATTATATGCGTCGGTGGCACAGCAGTTAGGACTCTCGCCTACTATGCACATGGTCCAGGGTTCGACCCCCTGTTGATGCACACCTGATATCTATGGTCGGCCTGCTAAATTTGGGCTACCGATATCACCTGCTGAAAATTTCAAACTTGTACCGAAATACTGTGTGGAATCAAGCTATAATAAAATTTTTAAAAAATTTAAAGTTAACATTGCTGTGAGTGACCAATGAGACTGTTCAACTGAATTATGAAGCACAGAACTACAGGTATCAATACAGATTGCCAAACTTCAGAAAATTATACATAAAAATAGAGAGCAGTAGACACAGATGTACCGTTAAGAGAATAATTATGTGACGAATGCCAAGGCACATGACCCTACAAACTATTTTTGTTAGTTTTTTTTATTTTTGATTACAGCTTGTTGCCACACCGTATTTTCAGTACAAGTATGGAATTTTCAGCATGTGATATTGGTAGCCCAAATTTTGCAGGCCGACCATAGATATCGGGTGTGCGTCGGTAGGGGGTCGAACCACAGACCATGTGCATGGTCGGCGAGAGTCCTAACCACTGTGCCACCGACGCACTACTACTACTACTGTGGTGAGAGCTGTCTGATAGCCGAAATTGGTAGACACCAATTTACATCAACGTTTACGTCCCATTTCTTGGTCATGAGAAAAAAATCAAGAACAAAGACTAACTCAACAACCAATCACAGCAGACTTTGCGTGGGCGGATATGATTCACAGATATATGGTCTGACCTTCAAAGAAATGACCACAAAGAGATGACAGACTAACTTTCAGTGAGAAAATAACCAATCAGAAGACGCTGTTTCTCCGCTAATAGTAACGCTAATAATAACGTACATAAAAATCTATAAATATCAGTTGATTTTCTCAATATACGATCTGTTGCCTTGCCCTTGTCTTCTGTCGATCGATGTGAGTAGTCTCCGACACCACTAGCATTATCTAGTACTTCTTGCTAACCATATCGAAGTCATCTCGTTATAATTTGCCAATCACGAACTAATTTTCACATTGTAGATATGATTTCACGAGTAATAAGGACTTCTGGAATCTGAATGAAAACAAAGAATCACCACACATCTGGGGTGAGTGTGAATGACTTCAACATGCCTTGCTGATGAGTACAAATATAAGCGCTAAACCTAGGACCAGGGCTTGCTGCCGATTGCTTCCAACTATCTAATTCAGAAATCATTTTGTCTGCAGTTGTAAGTTAATATGTAAATATGCATAGATGTGTCGAAGCTTCGTAAGAACTCAGCTAGACAAAACAGGACTATCATGTGATGATGGCAGGCAATACTGTTCAATTACCCAAAGCTGATGTAGGTGGATGGGGGACTCGTTTCGAGAACCCTCACCGTCTAAGCCGGTAAGCTGCAACTACTACTCTACGACTTCAACACAAAATGAAATATACATGTGAGATGTTTACATCAAAAAGCTGAAAAAATACACACGTACGCATGCACACACTTACCGTCTTTACGTTCAGCAACTTCATGATGACTGACAGCGATTCCTGTATCACTGTATGTATCCACTTGACCGGAATATAGTTTAAATTTAAACGGATCCAAAGCACCAAGAACACCAAGAGCTCGTAATACCTAAAATTAATAATGAAAACAAGACATATATATATCGACACAGAAATAAGTCAGACAAGAAATACAGGATTTTAGCTCAGTTATTAGACTTTATTTTACCCTCGTAACTCAATCGCGCTTAACTTTTCTTTTCCGTCTGATGACCTAATCTTTCACAGGTAACCTCTACCCTTACGGTTCATTAAAAATTTTCCAGGGATTTGACTGAATAACATCAGTTAGGCAGTGATTGAGATCTAGGAGGTATCCTGTGAATCTGTTTCGTCCCTCCTTGTGACTCTTCATCAGCAGCATGCCCATCCAACCCATAACTTCACCAGTCATAGAATCCAGGACTTTTAAGTACTGAGACTAGCCCGTTGACCATCGAACTCACCAGTTTGGACAATTACGGAGGTCAGCTAAAATCAATGGGTAACCAGAATTTTCATCCATCTCAAAATGCTGATTAGGCTCTTCTGTGTTTCTTTATTGTTTTAATCATTAAAACTATATCAGATAAACACTAGATGAACTCGTGCATATATTTAATTAACTGTCAACAAAATGCTGTGCAATTCTTGAGGGAAATGAAGAAAAATGTAGGGGATTTGTTCTCTTTTCATATGCAACAACACTGTGTCATAAGATGCACTTCACATTATTACTTTATAAGTGAAGAAGAGGATATATTTTGAAAATTTTCTGTACATATTATCTGATATGAAGATTTATTATTATATATTATTACGCAACCCGTTAGTTATCGCCAACCTATGGTGAAACACGGTACCTTCACTTCATCGACTTCGAGAAGGTCTTCACAACAGAGAAGTAATTTGGGAATTTGCTTCAACACTTCTTCACTATCATTCAACAGCAGCTATATTGACAATGCCACATATTAAGTGATCCACAACGGAAAACTCAACGAGGCGTTCGAAGTGATTACAGGAGTAAGACATTTGAATAAAATCAATATAGGATAAGATATAAAGTACGTTAGGAAATAATAATATTAGTGCTATCACTCAAATACAACCATATTCACCCAGACATCTATAAAACATAAAATAATTGAGCAAAGAATATCCTTTTCGATAAATCCCTCTTCTGGCTCTGCAATTGTATATATATATATATATGTTTATATACATAGAATATTCCAAATTAGTAGTCAATAACAATATTAGTGTTTTTTAAATAATATCGATTTGTAAAGTATGATCAATGGAATTACCACAGTTCACTAAAGATGCTTAAATTATAATAATAACAAAGATCATTCAAACCTAGATGGCCAAGGTAATGATAATGTCTGAACTAGCTTCTTTTGGACACATGAATTAGACTTGTTAATATGGATCCCAACAGCTTCAGCAATATTCAAGTAGTCGAACTCTTAAGGCAAAATTGAAATTCGTTGGTATGCGGTAAATGACTCTGAGAGCATGGTTAACGTCAATCTTGTGTTGTGTATCCACAAGATGAGATAGAATAGCGCTGCGAACAGATTTTGTTTGACCTTTGCTTAACTAGGCAGGGTGATGCTCGGAAATTCGGCGAGAAACACGCCTAATTGTACGGCCTATGTAACTGGCTCCACAGGAGCAGTTAAACTGGTAGATACACATAGAAGAGGCGAAATTAGGCAGTTTGTCTTTTACTCCCGAACGCAAAATGGAGTGGTTTTGAAGACACAGCGTAATTCGGCAGCAAGGGAATGCTCTTTTTACCGCATTTCTAAGGCACTGTGTTAGTATCTCGCTGATGTTGCTGAAGCTGTTGGGATCCATATTAACAAGTCCAATTTATGTGTCCAAAAGAAGCTAGTTCAGACATTATCCTCACCTTGGCCATCTAGGTTCGAATGATCCTGATTTTTTGTGGAATTTTCGTAATTTTAGTTGATATTCTATTTGCTACTATAACTTTATTATTGTTATTATTATAATCTAAGCATCTTTAGTGAAGTGTGGTAATTCCGTTGATCTTACTCTACAAATCGATATTATTTAAAAAACCCTGATATCGTTATTGACTACTATTCTAGAATATTCTATGTATATAAACATGTATATATACAATTGCAGAGCCAGAAGAGGGATTTATCGAAAAGGATATTCTTTGCTCAATTATTGTGTGTTTTACAAATACAATAAGATTGGAAATAAGATTTTTTTAAACTTATTAGAACATTATAGTGTGAATTGAATAAATTATTAAATTAAACAGAATAAAATAATTTACAAAATAATTTGCAATGACTGTCGGTGAGGTCAACTACATAGGTAAAACTAGTAGATCGGGGTTAGTGAGATTTTCTATCAGAACATAAGAAGTTAGCTAAGATTAGAATGATTGATCCCACGAAGATGAGTAATTTAGGAAGAAATTGAACACTGCATGCATTAACACACAACCACACAATAGGATGGGTGAGGGTTAAAATTCTTAAAAGTAATATAAGTAGATGGAGATAGAGAGAGAGATTTGTTACTAAATGCTGGTTCATCAAGTCTACACCGAACACATGCAATAGGAATGACTCAATGCAAATACCACAAATATGGAAGATACTATTACCACCAGTCAATCAAATCAGAGGAGGATAATAAATAATCTTAAAATTCTATTTCAATTCACATACATTATAACATTCTAACAAGTTACTTATTTATTTTGACTATAAAAACACTCGTCTTATTTCCCATTTGATTGTATTTGATTGATAACACTCATATTATTATTTCTGAATGTACATTATCCTATATTGAGTTTTATTCAAATGTCTAATCATCAATTTCACTCATGTATATAAATGAAGGAAGAAAGTTGTGTGAGTGAGCAGTAATAATTTGTGCTTGAAACGTGTGGTCATCAGTTAATATTACTGTATAACATAACACTGCGTGATTTTATCAAAATAAAGTAAAATTTTATCCATAATGCGTAAATAGGAATTTGGAGAAAAAAGAAAGTGCTTACCTCTTGTCGAATACACTTGATTTCTTCACGTTTTAACATACCCAAAAGGATATTCAATAATTGAGGATAACGCTTATACGGTGTAACAACATAACCAGTATGCGAAACTAGTTTAGTTAACGTCCAGACAGCAATCTGTATATTCAAAGTAAGGAAGAAAAAAGGAAGAAGACACGACGATAAACATCAAAAAACAACATCAACAAGAAAGGAAGTATGTTACACAACCCGGTCCCTATTAGTTAAATTGATTAGTTTCAACAAGAACCACGAGTTAGGCTAGCAGGCTCAAAACATTGGCAATCCCCTATAGAGTGTGACCAATTAACACATTTCTGTTACAGTCCTACACATGAGGTTAAAGTAGTGAGTCTGAAGAAGAATAAGCTCTCGGTGGCAACTTCTCTGACATTATCAGTCGCGGTGAAGCATGTTTGACTACCGAAAAGGAGATATCAGTCTCTTCAAGAATGGAGATACACACACCTTGCTGATGAATATCGAACAAACACGTAACTTAGGTAGAGGCTTTCTGACGAATGCCTTCAACCATCTAACATCATTTCAGACTCACAATATATGTATCAGGTAGCAGTCAATTTACTACCTCAACAATACAAGTGAGTATATCGGGTAAATCTTAATAATGAGTTCAGCTCAGTGAGTGGAAATCAGAAACCCAAGTAAAAGTGTTATGACGCAACGAAAATACATATCACAATTATCAGAGTATGATTAGTATTGTTCCCCTGGGTTCCGAGTGGAACATAGGGCTAGCTTCAACAACACATCTCCACTTTCTTCTATTTTTTGATGTCTTCTTCACCTGCCTCCACGACTGCCTATAGTCTCACATCTCCTCCTCGCCACACCATCTCCTCTATGTTACCCTCCGACGACCCACTCATCGTTTATCAATCGGATTCTACTCGAGATATGGCCTGCACTGCGCGCAATGTCATTCGACGGCCTCCTCAGTGGCGTATGCCTGATCCATCTCCATTTTTTCCTACAGTTGATCTTCAATATAAAGCCAGTAAAGGCAGTTATTGGTAAATGTCTGCTGTAGACTGTTGGATATGCTTTTCGTGATGAGCCCACCAACTTTTTGACCCATATAGAAGAACTGACTACCTGACTAACTTGACATTGGTGTTGAAAATCCGAATCTTCTTCTTTATGCTGGCTGAGTGGGAAAAGAAGAATATTTCTAAACTGATTCAGACTGATGAAGGTGTATCTTGTCTGTTCCGATTCTGTCTGGCTGGCTTTGACATCTTAATTCGTTCCGCCTGTCATTGTCGGGTCCCACTGGCTGAATGGCATACAACCTTTCCTTGAAACCAGACGATTCTTGGTTCAATCCCCTGTGGTGGGAGCGTACTGATGATGAAATAACTATCCAGTACTCTAGTGCTGGTTATCAATCGTTCTCTAACGGATATCAATCCATGGTCTAACCAGAGATAAATTCAATCGCTACAAACTTACTATTATTATTATTTCCTTTAATTCCTAGAGGAACATAGGGCTTCAGCCGTGCGTCTCCATTGCGTTCGGTTCTCTGCTAGAGTTTTCACCTGGCTCCAAGTCTGCCCACACGCCTTCATCTCCTCTTCACATGACCTCCTCCAAGTCACCCTCGTACTGACGACCAACTCTCCACTTCCCTTTCGGGTTCCACTCGAGCAATGGCTTGTCTAGTGATGTCACTTGATGGTTTCCTCAGAGTATGGCCAATCCATCTCCATTTCTTAATGCTTATTTGTTGCACAATCGGTTCCTGGTTGGTTTGCTCATTGCCAGAGATCTCTGTTGCTGATCTTTTCTGACCAGCCATCTGATCTTGAGTATTGACAACTGTTAATGAAGGTCTGTAGTTTGTTTGAGATGCTCTTTATGACGCGCAGTGCAAGTCTCTGATCCGTATAGTAGCACTGACTGACTTCACATTGGAGTTGAAAATCCGGATCTTATTTTTAATGCTGAGTGTTGTTGACCTCCACACAGACTTGAGAGTGATGAAATCTTGTCTTGCTTTCGAGATCCTCTCTGCTTTGATATCCTCATCAGTTCCGCCTGTAGTTGAAACGATGCTTCCCAGGTAGGTAAAGGCGGTTGTTTCTTTCAGGTTCCTTCCATTTATGCTGATTGTTGTCAGTTGTTGCTGTTGGTGGTGTTGCCCAGGAATTTTCATCACCTCTGTTTTATCTATGTTCACCTGAAGTCCTATCTTTGATGCTTCTTCAATCGCCAACTTGTTGCTTTTCATTTGCATGTCTTCCAATTTCTGGAAAATCAGATATATATATCATCGGCGAAGTCCAGATCCTCCAAGTTTTTTGTGTGAGTCCATTTTATGCGTGTCTCCTCGTTGTCCGGCCGGTTGTCTGTCTGTTGCATTATCCAATCTACTGCAATCAGGAAAATCATTGGCGATAATAGGCGGCCAGCCAGCTTGTCTTACTCCTGTCTTCACTTCGAAGGATTCGGTAAGTTTCCAGTCAACGATAGAAGGGAAAAGTTGTCACTACTGTCTAAAACCCCAATATGAAGATATATGTATAATGAATAATCATACAAATAAACTTACTGATCGTTTCAGAAAACACGATGTATCCTGCATCATATAAGCTAAGACTGGTATAAATTCATCCATAAATGTATAGATAGAACGAGGCGCAACAGCAGCTAATCGACCCAGGGTTGTGAATAAAGCAATAATCACAGGTGTTGGTTCTGTCCATTGTGCAGTTGATGAATTCTCATACATTCTACTACTACTAGAAGAAGAAGATATATTGAAGTCATTCCAAGGTTGAGCACCACCCGACGAAGAATAATACTGATGATCATAACCAGTGATTTTTGAAGTTATTAAAGGCATTACATTCGGAGGAAAATATGTCAGCGGGAGAAAACCACCAGGAGCGAAATTATAGTAGTTATTATTATTAAGATTGTTGTTCATGTTCATGTTATTATTGAAATAGACATCTTGATTGAAACCAAAATTCAAATTTCCAAAACGTTCAGAGATTGCAGCTAATTCATGCTACAGTTTTGAGAAAAATAATAATAATAGTGATAAGCAATTTGTAGGCAGTGGTAAAAAAAGAACTTTGCCATCTCTTCAAAATGAAAAATAAGACAATAGAATCGAAATAATTTGAAAAATTCTAAGTTTAATCAAGAACAACTGAAAACCAGGAAGTACTGTACACCTGTTTCGTACTAACTCGGGATTCTTCAACAATGTGCACACGCCTATGACACACCCTAAGGATAGCAACAGATGTTCAGCAGTCTCTGGTAGCAGCAATCATCGAATATTTGGACCTGACTAAAGACAGGGAGGTCGTGAAGTGGTAGAGTGTGTTGACCACCTCACTTATTTGGAAGTTGCATCGGCCAACACTAGCGGGTTGATCGCTGACGAAATCTCAGCACGGATACAGAAGAGCCTTCTGTATTTGACAACTTAATCCATCTCTGACCTAGCAGACGTGATATCCAGTTATCAATCAAAGAACGTGTAATTTGTAGCAGTTCTCTCTTTCCACCTTTCTATCTGTGAGACGTGGAGACTGAAATTGGAAGGTATGAAAAAGTTATCTATGAAGGTGAAGCATTGGTCGACTGCTAGTTAGGGAGGGGAAATCAATCAAGGAGATTGTGTAGTTACATCGATTGAGATGGTCAGGACATGTGTTACTCATACATGGCTAGCCATCGATCGTCTTCCTCGATGACGGGCAATGGTTAACTGACTGACACAGGATGGATGAGGTCGGAAAAGAGTTAGGTAGTGGTGGTCAAATAGAAACATGGCATCATCATTCAATGAAATCGACAACAGTCAGTTTGCGCCAGCCAAATACGGAGGTGTAGACTGCCTGACTCTCTGATTGGGGTCTTCGAAAATGGTGAAAGCCAATGGCGACTAGAGACAATTGGTGATATAGGTCAAAATTGTTCTCAATGGCTGGCGCAGTCATATTCACTCTCTGTGATTTATCATATCCAATAAAATTCTATTGTTCTTCCATATTACTATTCTTTTTGTCTCATATTTCTGTTCATTATCTCTATTTACTCGCTTCTCTTACTTCGTGTGCTGCACATCTTGTGCAAAGTTCTACGTTGAAACCAGTCAGTCAGCCGCTGCTTTCCAGTGGTTCTCTAAAACTGAAGTCAGATGCTCGTGATCAAGCTTGAAACTATTTAAATCGCTGCAAACCAACAAACTTCAGTAAAGTTTTGAAAAAAAATATACCCACCATAGGTGCATTTGATTTAAATTCATAATTTGTAAACATTCCTGTTCCCAGTGCATCTTTTGAATCCATATTCAAGGCTCCACTGGCAGTAGTACTGTGTTTAGTTGCAGCAATTACAGCTCCAGCGGCGGTTGCGGCAGCAGCTGCCGCTCCTGTCGCTATAGCAACTGCATTGACAGCAGCCAAAGCTGGACCAACTTGATTCATGCCACCAGTATGACTGACAGGACCACGTCGTGCTGAAGCACTAGTCCGCTGTGATGGATTATTATTAATATTATTTGGTAGGAAATTTAACCCACCGACACCACCACCACCAGAAGCTGCAACTGCTATAGCCACTGCATTCGCTGCAGCTGCTGCAGCACTAGCAGCTATCTGTGTAGTTAAAATTACATTCTGCATTAAATGTGTACTGGCTGGAACACATCCAGATGGCAGAAGAGATGAAGATGAGTCAGCATCTGTGGAGTAATGAAAAAGTATTCGAATAAAAAAACAAAACAAGAATAATATTATTCACATAACAACTTATCATCGATACATACCTATTGTATGAGACAGCTTATGATACTAAAAACCAGTTGCTTCCCCACCCCCACCCCCAAGTTGAAGTGAGTGGAGTGTGTGAGCGCTGGTGCTAGCCAAAGTTGGTAGACAGTAATTCACGTCAATGTTTATGTCCCCAATATTGGTGGTGAGAAAATGAGAACAAAGGCTTTGCATAGGCGGATACAGTTAACACATGGATGATCTGACACAGCCACAAAGAGATGCAAGGTGAACTTTCTGTGAGAACAACAATCAAAAGACTGTATTTTCTACTAACAATAATCTACAATAATGTACATTAAAATCTCTAAATATGTGTTGGTTTTCCTTAATAAACGATCTGTTGCCTGGCCCTTGTCTTACGTTGTTACAGAGGAGGAACACATTGTCAACGTAGAGTGCTTGTCGAGTGCTTGAGCCAATGAATCCCATCTTAACAAACATTGAAAAGTAGGACTAACACTTAGAACTTTGTTTTATTAGTGATAACATCACTCTCTGAGGATAGAGTTTCATCCGGTCGGTGAGTCCAGAAAAGGACGAAACTCATTTTTCCTGGTATACAATTCTAGCCATTATCAACTGATTAACATCACTGATTTGTTGTATTTCAATTATTATCTGCTCATGTGCAACGTGAAGTCATTGACTGATTCTCGAAAAGATGTTGAAAAACAACGGTTACCCTCAGAGGTTTTATTAACAATTATGGAAAATGTGAAGGCTTTAATGCAAAACATAACAGTGGGAAAAAAGCCTATTTTCATTCAACTTGACTTTGCAGGTGAAAATATTACAGGAATTATCAATGTGTCAATAGCCAGAGCCTATCCTGCAGCTATGTTGGTTCCCGTTTATCGGACAACATGCTCTTTGGTGCAATCAAAAGTCGATAGATATCCTTCTCATGTTAACTTCAACTGTGTATACAAATTTACATGTATCTGCAGGAGCAGTTACATTGAAAGAACAGACAGAACAAGGGCACACACAAACACCCGATTTTCTGAACATGTACCAGAAAGCCTACGTCACCAGCGAAGAACAAATGCTTTCAACAGTGTCATTACCAGGCATTTCCTTGACACAGGTTATGAGGTGGACTTTGCAAGATCGTTCAAAATTATCAATAGGCAAAGAGTTCAATTCTCCTCAAGTTTGCTGAAGCAATCTCCATCAAACGCCTGAAACGCGATTGATGTGTGTGTTCAGAAAGAAGTAGTTATCAGTTTTTCCTTGCCCTGCATTGTAACTAGATGTTTTCATTCTCTGTTTCATTTGATTACGTAACGCCACAGACTCTGTTGTGTTTGAATATTATTATTAACATTCTATGCATATATTGATTTTTTTGCTTAAAAATGAACTCTGTGTATGTGAGTTAAGATTCTTTCTGTACACAAACTTATTAATGTCTTGGGTTGTAAGCAGCTGATGAGAAGCCAACGAAATAAACAAAGGATGGTACCATCTTGTATTCTGCACAAACCACCACTGTTGTTGTTCTTGCTTTATTCAAATATCAGTAACTATTGTAAATAGAGCATACATGTAACTAGCACACATATTAAACACGAACTATTCAATCAACTTTAGTTGCCATGGTAGTCAGAAGGGTAGAAAAATTCAAATTGATTGAAGCAGAGGTGGGGGGGGCGGCAATTAACTTCTGTTAATACATCATAAGTTAAAATACCACTGGTCCTAATGGGCTTCTACCGATGAGACAGTATGTGACCTGGTACAACAGACAACCATATATATGATTTTTGAGTCGTCTAGTGGACAACACTTTGGTGTTTGTAACAGCGAGTGCTGGGTTCAAGTGTATTATTACTATTCCCTTAGGTTCCAAGTGAAACGTAGGGCTTCAACAACAATTCTCCACTTTCTTCTATTCTCTGTTGTCCTCCTTAGGGAGCTGAACCAACGATTTCCCATAATCCCTCATCTCCTCCGCGCCACATGATCTCCATGTCACCATCGGACGACCCCCTCGCCTTTCCCAATTAGGATTCCACTCTAGCAAGGGTCTGCGTTCCGCGCGACGTCATTCGATGGTCTCTTCAGTGTGTCCTCTATCCATGTTCACTTTCTCCTATATGTTATGGCGTTGGTTTGCAGGTATTTCATTGATTTCAGGATTTCATAATAAACTGACATAGGTTAGAGGAGCACTTGGAGAAGCAACAGAGAGTACTGGACAGCCAGCTAGCTATTTCATCTTAGTTTGGGACTCAATCTTTATCAGTTCGCACTTACTCACCACTAAAGTTCGAAATCAGGACCTTCCAGTCACAAGGCTAGCGAGTTCATAGACCAATGAGCCACTGGGGAGCAACCCATTCAATGACTAGTGCATGAATTGCTACTTCTGTTAATTCACGATATTAAAGAGCTACTGGCACCAGCCAATAACATCGCTGGCGAGTATTTGTCCTCACACTCGACTAAACTGGTCACGACTCCCTACTAGAACCCAGGTAACTACCTACCTGAATAGTGCAAGTCTACGAGCTCGTTTTGTAAACAGAAGGTCCTTGGTTCAAACCTTAGTGGTGGATGCGTACTGTGAAGAGTCCTAAAATAGGCTGACGAAACAGCTGGCTGTCCAGTACTCCCAGCTGGTTTTCCAATGGTCCTATATATTTGTTAAGCAATCGGCTCTTGGCTGGTTTATTCCCAGCCACAGTTTCTTCTTGCTAATTCTTTCTGACTGGCCTGTCAACCATTTGATATTCGATATAGAGGCAGCGAAGCGGTCATCTGGTGATAAACGTCTGCAGGAGACTGTTGGAAATACTTTTCGTGACACCCCCGCCAACTTTCCGCCCCGTATAGAAGAAGCAACCGACTGACTGACTTCACATTGGCGTTGAAAATCAGAATCTTATTCATTATGCTGAGTGCAGATTTCCTAACTGGTTTCAGATTGATGAAGGCGTACCTTGCCTTCCGGGTTCCGACTGGCTTTGACATCTTCATCCAATGCGACCTAGCCAGATAAGTGAAGGAAGTAACCTCTGTCAAATCTCTCCCGTTGATGGTGATTGGAGCTGGTTGTTGTTGTTGTTGATGATGTTACTGTTCGTCGGTTATCTTCATCACCTCCATCTCTTCTATGCTGACCTGCAGTCCTGTCTTCGCCACCTGTTTGCGTCCTCTGTCAGTTTGTTGGCGTTTGCCCGCCTGTAAGTCTCCGAGTTTGTGTGACATTTAGTATAATTCATCCATGTGAGAAATCCAGATCTTCTACAGTCTTCTTATCAGTTCAGAGTATTTCTGTGTTCTCATTCCTTGTGCACAGTCTGACACACAATTCAGTCCACCATAATTAGGAATATCATCGGCGATAATAGGCAGCCAGCCTTGTCTTACTTCTGTATTCACTTCAACAACTTCGCAGAGTTTTCCACTATGGATCACTTGACACGTGGCATTGGATTCAAGTATAAGAGTAGTGGGGAACACCATCACACTCACTGGAATGGATGTACAGGGTAAATCCATCTGTCAAGTTCCTAAAAATAGGAAAGGACCTACTGCCTAGCACCACTATAAACGAAATAACTCAAATTACTTAATAAATACATGAATAGCTATAATAATATTTTAATAATACAACACAACTCACCATTACCACAAGCAAGAGCAGAATTCTGTAATCTAGAGAAATTAGCTACTGCTAAACTGGCTTGCAGCGATGCTGGTAATGTTTGACGTATACGTGGCAATAGAATATGGATCAATGGTTCAGCATAAGGAATAAAAAATCTTGGCGCTGAAGCAATTAAACAAGCTAACAATAAGGCTGATTGTTCTTTATTCCGAGTTGATCCACTGTGGGAAAGATCGTTCAATGTCTGAAATTTAGTTAAACAAAAAAAACAACACAGGCCAGTTCAACATGGAGATAACAATTATGGCTATAACAATAAAAACATTTGGATAAAGAACAGATAATATTTATTCCTGAAACAATTAGTTATCTGAAGCAAATAAAAGACAGATTCAGCGAAGAAAATTTTCTTTATCACGAAATCATCTTCAGAGGCTGTACAATCGTATTTATACTTACAAAAATATATAGTGGTCTATTATTGAGTAACAGGGGGTGACATTATTGATATAATTACGCAGAAGTGGCTTTAGAAGTGAAAATTAAAAGTTGTAAATCACGTGGTACTCAACGGAACAAAGATAGAAATTTGATAAGGTTAAAATTGGTATTGAGTGAGAATAAAGGTATTTGAGTGTCAATTTAACAAGTGTGAAGAGGGTGTGAAAATGTACAAAAGGAACATATGAGGCTGATAATGGTGAATTAATTATTAAAGCAAAAGCTAACTAAAAGTGAAATTAAAATGAAAAGAAAAAATCAAAATATATTTTATTTACAAGGAACGATTAGTGAAGAGGTTAAGACCAAGGTAGAATAAGAGACTGGACAAACTTTTTCTGTATACAGAGTTCAGGGTTGTATTGATGAATTGCCAACGCCTCTGCCATACACAAAAGCCGAAACCTGACGCCCTTTGTACCATTTGGCTTCACTTTGTAGATAATGTTGAAATACGACTCTGGTGGAGCTACGTGGCCTGAGTTCACCAAATGCTCGAGAATTGAGCTAGTAATTGTCTTACATTGTCCCTTTGCTAACCATGCCGGATAATGTTCAGAGATGCGTTTGGAAAGGGTGCGCTTTGTGCGGCCAATATAACTAGCTCCACACGAGCAAGTGAATTTATAAACACACATTGAGGTGGCCCAAAGCGGCAGTTATATCAATTATGTCACCCCCTGTTACTGTATAATAGACCACTATATGTTTTTGTAAGTATAAATACGATTGTACAGGCTCTGAAGATGATTTCGTCGATGAAGACAATTTTCTTCGCTGAATCTGTCTTTTATTTTCTTCATGACTCAATGGGTATTTTCGGTGATTATCTGAAACAGTTTTCATGAGTAGGTATTACGAAACTGACCAGGTTGGAGTAGGCAAGATTGGACTCGAAGCCAGGACCCAAATGACTGACATCCAAAGTCTTTAAGTCAATGAGCCACATCTCCACCCTTAGAAGTAAAAAGACAGTTTTCAGAAAAAAGTATACAATGATGCACCGGGATAGTGAACACATATGCTTAGCTTTTAATCTGAATGTCCCTGGTTCAATTGATTCGATTCCTGGTGGTGTCTTCAGAAGTTTTCGGGGCAAAAGAGTCTCCAATGTTTGTTTATTTTTTTATGGTTTTCTCACCGTTTATCAGCTTGTGAGGAAATCTCTGCATTGAGACTATTTAAATCTTTACAAATTCATGAGGTTTTTCTGGAATGTTTCAATTCCAGAGCATTCCAGAACACATCACGTAATTCGTTACACAGTGAACGCGAACATGTAGTGCTTAATATCGATTCACTGCGGACACATAGAGATTTTTCGAAGACATCAGCTTGAAGGTAAAGGTAATTCAATTCACATAAGAATTGGAAAGTCAAGAAGCAACGGAAGGGGGCTTCTAATGTCAGATTATGATGTAAAAAGGAAAGAGGAAACCTACACATTCAAACAGATATTTAGATTTCAGATCATCCCACCCTATGTCAGTAAAAACAAGATTGGAGAAATGTTTAAGTAACAGGGTACAATAACTAAGTTGTACCAAGGGAAATCTAAGACAGCAAGTGAGGCACATAAGGGAAGCTTTGAAACTTAATAATTGCCCTGATAAATTAATCAGGGAGTATGAAGGAAAATGTAAAAATAAAATTAATACTAGTCGTAGTTATGGTGATAATAATAATAATGATAGTAATGACAACATATACGTCAAACATGCACAGAATAATGACAACACCAGCAATAGGGGGTTTATATCGCCATCAGTAGTACTTCCGGACAAAGTAGAAGCTTCAGAGATGGAGAATTCTTAACAATGCAAGAAGCAATAAACGTGGCTGGCATTCAAACCCACAAACTCAATTAGCGTCAAGCTTTGTCGGTTAAAGGATCAATCCTGTGGAGCCTTTAAAACAAAACAATTTAGTTTATCTAATACCCTACCTGCGCTCATTGTCAGGTCAAATATACATAGGTCAAAGTAGTAGGACGGGTTCAGTCAGACTAGTGGAGCACAAAAACCTAGTGGCAAAATCTAGATTAGCTGACCCGAATAAGATAGGAAATCTAGAGAATAATTCAGATGTAGCACTACACTACATGGAATTACACACAACCATACAATAGGATCGGATAAGATGAGATCTAATACAACTAACAGGGTGGAGGGAGAGATTGATAATGGAAGCTTCATTTATTGAATCAACTGCAAACACGTGTAACAGGAATGACTCAACACCTGTCCACCCAGATATCTGTAAAATTCTACTACCACCCCTACGACGATGAATAGGAAAGAATAGAGAAAACTATAAAACGAATGTTTCGAAGTTGTGTCATTACAATTGATGGAATGATTATGAACAATAAATTGCGTTCTGAACTTTGTCATCCAGTAAATAATACTGTTTCACTGTGTGATATAACTAATAAACAAATCAATACGGAATTACATACTACCACCATAGTGCCCAAGTTCTATACATGGATTAATTCAAAAAGTACAGTTGGCAAAGAGGAAGAGAGGTTAATTACTGACTCCTTTGTTCATTGTATCAGCACCCAATAGATACATAACAGGAATGATGCAACATTAATCCCCCGAATGTAGGGGAAATTCTACTACCGCAAACGATGAAATGATTGGACTGCGGATGGAAATTCACGAACTCATATGACTAAGTTGGTATTGTAGTGAGTGCTACTGATAAGATTTATCAGTAGTATGTATATATAGTTGCATAAAAACATCAAATGGCAGGGAGATAGATTTGATGTCAGTCAGAGAGAGCAAATGATTCAGCATTGCGCAGATACACGGCAGACGTGAAAGGAACCACAAAAGAAACACAATATGAAGGAGGTAGAAGTAGCACAACAGGGAAGATCTGTGCAAAAATGGTGCGTTGAAGATTAGGTATACAAAATTTCACTATATAGAGATACTAAATCCCAAATAAGCATTTCTTAACCAAGTCTCTCATCTTCTACCGTTACAGTATGACTATGAACAAGGATATTGTTCTTGAAACGCCAATCAGAATCACTGTATGTGTGTGTGTCACGCCATGTCAAACAAACCACAGTGCCAAAAGTTCTGCGCTTACCTCGCACCATTGTCGACTAAGTGTCTCCTTCAGCATCGAAAATCAGAATACCTAAACTGTGATGAATAAATAAATTCAAAAAGAGAGAGAGGGGGACGAAATACCCTCCAAGAACTTACATGCAACACGACTTTGCGTAGTTTAGGTTGAACACATGCAGGATTAATATCTGCTAACCGGCCAAGACGTTGCATTACTAAACAACGTATATCAAATACTTCATCATATAATGCCAAGAAGAGATAATTTAAATGATTCGATTGAGCTAAATGCGGATCGAATCGTCGATCGAATGACTGAAATACACAACGTCGTACATCAGGATCTAAAGTATAAAAGATATATGTATATACATATTTTAAATAGATGTTCTGTACACACTAAAACGTGTTTACAAAAATAATATCGAAATATTGATTAGAAAAATGAAGAAATCGACACATCAGTTAGGCCTTATTCTTACACATTCAGTTCCTCAGGGATAACATCAGCGAGATATTAACACACCACACCTTAGGAATGCGGTAAAACGAAGAGCATTCGCTGTTGTTGAATTAAACTGTGTCTTCAAAACCACACCCCTATTTTGCGTTCGGGAGTAAAAAAGATAAACTGGCTAATTTCCCCCTTCTATGTGTCTACCAATTTAACTGCTCCTGTGGAGTGAGCCAGTTACTTCTATAGGCCGTACAATTAGGCGTGTTTATCATCGGATTTCCGAACACCATCCTGCATGGTGGTTGGTTAAGTAAGGGATAAACAAAGTCGACTCATAGTTCTACACTGTCTCATCTCGTAGATACACAACACAAGATTGATGTCAACGAGGCTGCTTTCAAAGTTATCTACCGCATACCTACTAACCTTAACTTCACCTTAAAAGTTCGCCTATTACAAATTGCTGTGGCCGTTAGGATCCACATTAAGAAGCCTAATTTATGTTTCCAAAAGAAGCTAGTTCAGACATTGTCCTTCCCTTGGCCATCCAGGTTCGAATGATCCTCAATTTTTATGGAAATTCCCTTAATTTTAGTTGATATTCTATTTGCTACCACATTTTAATGCTTATTATTATAATTTATGCATCTTTAATGAACTGTAATTCCATTAATGTTGCTTAACAAATCGATATTATTTAAAAAACACTAATATTGTTATTGACTACTATTCTAGAATATTCTGTGTATATAAACATATATATAATTGTGATTAGATAGTCAAATTGTTGGCCTGGTAAACTGAAGGTTTTTGGGTTCGATGCTTGGTAAGGCCATAGATAAGCACTGTTGAGGAATTCAGGATGGGAGGAAATAAATGTCTAGAGATTGCTCCTTGGTTTTCAACGCCGTACCAGCTGATGGTAGTTAGTGACGCAATCTTTATGGAGATATGATTTTCTTTTATTGTCTGTTAAAACTATCGGGTACAAAGGTGGAAACCGAGAAAAGATAATAGAAAAACACTGCTCTTATGCTCAAAATGAAAGGTTGGTGGCGACGTCTCAAATTCAATAACCCCATTATTTTTGATTGGACACTAGTGTAAGGTATGTAGTTCTTTCATTTGGTGCAGACTGAATTCTATCAATTAAGTTTGCAGTGTGGCTCGTCATCACGGTGCACTTATAAATTGTTGGTATTAGATGGTTGGAGGCAATCAGCAGGAAGCCTTGGGCACCACCTAGGTTTCGTGCCAGTTGCCACTTGTCGTCAACAAGGTGGCGTATCTGCAACCTTGGAGGAACTCTTGCCCTCCTGAGATTCAAACCCGCGTTACATAGTGCTGCTGCCGATTGTCTCCAACCATCTAATATCAACAATTCGCAGTGCATTGTGATGGTGAGCAACCTAGTGGCATGGTGACCACATTGCATACTTGACTGATAGAATTCAATCTGCAACAAAGATAGGACTAGACACATTACACTAGTAACTGACTAGTGTTCAATCACAAAAATATCCAATACAGTTCTACAACAGGTCAATCGCGAGTCTGAATAGCTGCTTAGTGGTAACGCCTTTGACAGCAGGCGGCACTGATTGACGCGGGTTCGAATCTCAGGAGGGACACGAGTTCCTTCAAGGTTGCAGATACACATCGGTGATTGGTGAGTGCCAACTAGGACGAAACCTAGTTCTTTCAAGGCTTCCTGACGACTTCCTACAACTACCTACCGTCTAATACTATCGTCACAATACTGCGAGAAGTGAAAGTTTTAGAAAAAGAAATCTTTGAGACTTGTGCGGATTGAACAGTGATAATAGTTGATATTTTAAATCTATTCCATCAGTTAGTTAAAGATGAGACACCATAATATATCATACGACCTTACTATATTCAATTCCACAAGCAATAGTATAGGCGGTAGCAAAGACATAAGGACAGCTAAAGATAACACTGGGAAAAATTTAAAACGGATACGTTTAATTTCAGAAAGTCTGAGGGAAAAACTCACATCGACGTAACAGAAGTGCTTGAAACGCGAGCCCCTTCACCATTATATATATATATATATGGTCAAATGCCTTAATATTTCACTCATCAAGCTACGAGTCACACACTTAATACATAGCAGGATTTTTTCTGAAAAGTGTAAGCGTGTTTTACCAACAATCTACTAGTTTGATCATGTGATTACCGGCAGTTAGCATCTTACAAAACAGGTAATACTTGAAAATAAGGTGTTTAGACCCAAGTGCCACGAAACAGATACTTCATGTACCAGGGGTTTTGAGCGCTAAACACTTATTCTCTAAAAGCAAGTGACGTTACCACCACCCAATAGGATCAGCTGAAGTAGGTGATGCAAGACTCAATCCCTACACCCAATGGCTGAGAACCGACTGCTCAACCTTAATGAGCCATGTCTCCACAATAAAATAAGGAATACTATTAGACTGACTGACTGACTGATTGGTTTCAACGTAGAACTTGGCACAGATGTGCACCACTTCCACTTGCCACACTCCCTCCTTGTAGCACACAAAGCATGAGAAGAGAGTATACAGAGATTCAAAACAGAGAAAGATAACAGAAATATGAGGCAAAAATAATAATAATACTATCGAAGAATAATAGAATTTTATTGGATATGACAAATCGAAGAGTGAGTGCATCTGAGTCATATCCCTAATTGTCTCTAGTCGCCATTGGTTCTTACCATCTCGAAGACCCCAACCAGACAGTCAAGCAGTCTACACCTCCGTATGTGGCTGACGCAAACTAACTGTTGTGGATTTCATTGAATGATGAGGCCATGTTTCTATTTGACCACCACTAGCTAACTCTTTTCCAACCTCATCAATCCTGTGTCATTCAGTTAACACTGCCTGTCCAGGACCGTGATGGCTAGGGATGCGTAACACATATCCTACCCCTCTCAGTCGGTGTAACTTCACAACCACCTCGTCGATTGATTTCCCCCCTCCACCCTACACCGATGACTAACCTCAATATTGCTCACCTTATTATACCACCACCTAATCACACGGGAGAGAGGACGCAGACACCTATGATCAAAGACAGCCAGCAGTCAGGCTTTTCATATCTTCCACTACCAGCGACCATATCTCACTCGCAGCCATAACGGAGGAGAGAGCGAAATGGTGAAAAGCACATACGCCCTTTCATCGACAACCAACCGGATATCAAGTCTACTATGCCAGAAATGGCGTAAGTTGGCGTATGACAAACGAACCTTCTGTACCCATACTTGGATTTCTTCAGCGATATATTATAGTATTATTATTAGTGATGATAGTAATGACAATGATAATAATAATAATAGTAATTTTACCTGGATCGCTAGTTCCAACAGTTAGTAATTTACTTAAAACATCCGCCACGGTATTCAAAGCAGGTCGAGCATACCATTGTTGCATTTCAGTTGACTATACCAAAAAAATAAAAAGACAAAAAACATTGAAATTAGAAAAGAAGAAGGAAAAAGTGTTTATCTATACGGACCTTAAAAAAAACACGACCGATAGCTGCTACAACTTAACGTTGTGGTTGGGTTTGCGCATATCACAATGACCGGATGAAACTAATGTTCCTGGAGGTCCTACCATATCATAAATTTGACTTAGATAGAGATTGGACTGAAGACAGTTCCTATCAGGGTGTAAATCACCAACATTATACAGAGGATTTGAGGGCAAAATCGTACTGCTTGAGGATACGGGGATGCGACAGCAGTAAAATCTTTACCTCAGATGGCCAGCCAGCAAGCCCAAATAAGCTGAGTAACGGTCTTAAATAGTTGTCCCCTGGACTCTGTGGTCACACATCAACAATGCCAATTCTGTATCAGATAACCCTTCACCCTGTGGACAGCCAGGATGTAATGACTACGTACACACTTCCAAAGGTACACAAAACAAGTCAGATTGTATCACAATAGCATTGCATTGAACTACTAATACAATATTAGCTTTAAAATACAGGTCTAAATATCATTACACATCAATGTGCAATCACTTCTGATATTTGATAATTAAACGAGATTACCATATGAAAGGTGTAAAGTATTTCACACACTGAAGTGAAGTCAGCGCTGAATAAATGTTATCTTGAAGGAGGGGCAAACCACTCACCCAGGTGTCAGAGAACGCCATAACCAGAAACAAAACCACATCCACTTGAGCTACAAAATTCATCTCCATTATTTCAAAAGTTTAAAAAACCACTAACTAAATTTCCAGCCGACCAATTATGATTGCTCAAGTGAAAGACAAGCTACCTAGCTGTATCACTTCGATGTGTATCTATAAATTTAGTTGCTCCTGTGGAGAGAGCTGGCTATATACGGCGAACAATTAGACAGCTTAACAAACGCATTAATGAGCATCTTCCTTCATGGTTCGGAAAAGGCCAAATAAAATCTATAAGAAGTTCTATTTTGGCTCATTTGATTGATAGCGGTCACCAAGTGGACAAAAATAGTGCCTTCAAAGTTATCTATCGCATTCCATCGAGCCTTTCGAACGGAATTCGAACCCGTCTTTTACACATAGCCGAAGCTATGGGAATTAATTCGAAAGAACAATCCTAGTCTTTGCATACAAAAGAAGTTTGTTCTACCTTTGTCTCTCCCTTGGCCTAGGTGAATTCTATTCAAAACCCTCCCACCCCTTCTTATTTTCCATCTCCTTCGTACTTTTATGATATTTATTGAAACTCTGATTATCTGTCCACTTCACCTACCTTTAGTATTACGTAACTTTTAAGATTTGACCTAATTTATTTTTTTATTGAATTGTCTATATATACACACGTAGATATTACTACCTTCGTTATTCTTATCGCCAACTGCATAAACCTTATTATCAATATTTTGTTATCATTATAATCATCGTTATTAACCACGTTCAAAACATTTATCACATTATTATTATTTGATCCACAAAATCACCGTCATTGGTTAAAGTTTTTATATATAAATCTATGTAAATTAGAGTAAAGCCTGAAGAAGGGATCTAATTGAAAACAACAATATTGTTCGCCTATTATATGTCTTGTTCTAATATTAAAAATGGGAATATTTAAAGATTTGAAATCAATTAACTAACCTTCAACCATGGAATCATTAGATGAGCACAGGTTTTAACAGCTTCCAATCGGATCTCTTTCACTTCACAAGTACTTACAGATATGAAATTATCACAGATATGTCGAACAAAATGAGCCAGAGTATGACCTAGATAGACCACCACAATATCATAGAGATAAAGAAAAAACAAAAAGACTTTAGGTATATGTACACAAATATGAATCATCGCTTTATACAATGCCATTATTTGGTTGGTTGGTTGAAGGGGTCTAGCAGGAGAATCCAGTAATACACACCTTTCGTCTTTTTCAGAACTAGTCAACTGAATGTACCTGAAGCTTCCATGAGTGATGGTGTCCGCTTTCATTGTGACTGGAACTCATCAGCTATCATTTCAAATACCAAAAGCATTATCCACCAGGCCACTGGCCACACAAGAGAGCAACACATTCTTGTTCAACGGGTACCAGTTACTGCTAGCCACTACCAATCAAGTAAACATCGCTATAGCTTCGCTGTCCGTACTAGAAACCGACATGTCAACCTGGAATCGGACATTTCAGGCCGATAAAGAATCAATCAACAGGATATTCAAAAATAAATTCAACAAGTATACTCATTCTTTTGCGTCAATTCTCTAACTGATGTCAGTTCATGATGGAATCCTCCAATCAATCAAACAAAATCCCTACAAAAATCAATACTTGAAAATTGATCTGATGCTCACTAGCGACTGGCCCTATTCAGGTAGGGAGTTACCTGGGGTTCTAGTGGGAAGCCGTGACAAGTAGGGTACAGCAGGCAGCAGCTCATCGAAGAAGACATTGCAAAGTGGTCGTGCAGTGGTCATGAATTGGCAGAAGTAGGAATTCATGGACTGGCCATTGAATTGGTCGGGTCCCTGTGGCTTAATGGTCTACGAGCTCGCCTTGTACCCAGAAGGTCCTGGGTTCGAACCCCCTGTCGGTGGATGCGTACTGATGAAGAGTTCCAAACTAGGCTGACGAAACAGCTAGTTGATCCTCTAACTGATGTTAGCTCATGATGAAGTCCCCCGAATAAGTCAGTTTTCGTTTGTCAAAAGAAAAGGTATACACTTCTATATTCTCAAACAAGACTATAATATGCTATTATCATACTCAAAACGTATGGACATATACATATTCTGGTGTCACAATAATCCCCATATCTGAACTCAGTTCCCTGAAAAGAAGTTTTATACACCAGGTGATAAGGACACATTTGGTGTGTGTCTAAAGAGATGAGGATACTACTCCCCACCCAGTTGATCAGGATGAAGTAGGTGAATCTGGACTCGAACCCAGAAATCACTAGCCGAAAGTCAATTGCTTAAACTAATACACACTGTCACCAAAACAGTTCTATCAAAACTGCATTCATTCACTTTCAAGAAAGTGAATATGTGTATTTGTATCATTGAATCATCAATTCGAAAGATTATTAATTTCGAAGTGTAACTTGCATCATTAATTAATAAGCATTGCTTGGAATTCTATCAATAAAGAATATTCTTTAGAAAAGACTTATAAGTGAAAAATTCCAAATAGTCAGAAAAATATCGGTTCATTTTCTATTCACCGTTGATTGATTTTCATTCTCAATAAAAGTGTTTCGTCTTTGTTGACATGTCGACTTTTAGCAAGGATGCTTAGACGATTTCTAAGGATTAAGATGGTGTTATTTTGGTGGATGGTGACTAGTAATGGAATCCAGGATGAGCACTTCGTCCTATTCAGTACCTGCGATCCCTTGAACCCATTGACCATTTCAAACAAACAAAAAGATTTCATTATTCACTAGGCCACCTAGGCCAAGATAGTCAAAAAAAACCCAGTTATGACTCAAGTTTCCAAAAAAACTAAATGTAATATAACCTTATACACTGTAACTGTGACTCGACCGATAACTGCTACACCTTGACATGGTGGTCGGGCTTGCACATCGTAATGACCCAACAAGCTACACTGGCCGAAACTATTGTTCCTGCAGGTTGTATCATGCTAGGAAGATTGTTAGGATAGCGATTAGACTAAAAGCAGTTACCCACATAGTGTATGATAATTTTTTACACTATGCTGGGGGTCTGTGGGCGAAGTCATACTGCTGGGGAAAAGAGCGTTTCCCTCAGATGACCAGCATGCTAGCTAAGCTTTAAAGGGGGTTAGAAAAGGTTGACCCCAATAATTGCACATCCCAACTTACCCTACGGTGGTCCGTAGCCGGCGGTAGGTTACTAATACGGAACCAAACCAAAAAATCAGTTCAGGCAGGCCGTGTATGGCCAGCCGGCCTCCAACATTGTCCCCTGGGCTCTATGGTCACACAACACTAACCCTCTTTCTGTTTCGGGTACCTCGAGTCGGTAAACGGCGCCACGGTAACTTCAACAACTGAACAACTTTGTGTAATTCAATCAATACAATCAATCAAGGATGTAATAGGTGTTGACAGAAGCATTCGAACCAACTCCCTACGAGAGGAGTTACAGGACTCAACTGATAAACAGGTCACCATCTTACTGCAACCATAACAAGTAATGTGCTCATGTGGTCAGATGAATGAATGCCATGGCAACTGCCTGTTTATCATCACGATGTGTCTAGTTAAGTCTCTACCCCTTTCAATCGCAATGATACATAGTTTCAACAGCCTACTACTACTGTGACGTGTGCTACTGATAAGATTTATCAGTAGTATATAAAGAAAGGAAGTTCGTAACACCTACGGCCTGGAACTATAATTTATATAAAGAAACGTTCATCGGCATAAAAAAACACATTAAATAGCAGGGATATAGAATTGACGTCAATCAGAGAAAGCAAATGATACAGCATTGCAGAGATACATGGGAGACGTGAAAAAGAAACACGATATGAAGGAGGGCCAGAGGTAGCAGGCACAACACGGAAGATCTGTGCACAAATGGTGCGTTGAAGATAAGGTGTACATAATTTCCAAATAAACATTCCTTTACCAAGTCTTTCGTCTCTTACCGTTACACTACTACTAATGATGTAGTGAGTGATGGTTGAAGGTCGAATAAAAGTCTAAATCACTGAAGGATTCAGGCTAGCAGTCACAGAATTGGGGGTCTTTCATAACCCAGGCTACACAGTTACAATGTGAGGGCTGATCGTACCCATTTGCCCAGGGTGTGAAGTAGGTGGAGTGGGCGTGGAACCCACTGACTGAAAGTCTAATGCTTAAGCCAGTAGTGAGCTACATCTCCACAGCTAGGGAATTATTACTTTGGCACCCTACCACAGCCGCCATCTGTCTTCGGGTACCTGAAACAGAAAGAGGGTTAGTACTGCGTGACTGCAGAGCCCAAGGGGACAACTGCTTGAGGCCGGTCAGTCACACACAGCCTATATGAACTGGTTTCTTGGTTTGGTTCCGTATTAGCAAAATTACCGCCGGTTTTCGGATGGACCACCGCAGGGTAAGTCGGGATGTACAATTTTTCGGGTCGACCTTTTCCAACCCCATTTCACCAGAGTGGAAAGACAGCATAGCTGGCCGGCATGCTGGTCATCTGAGGGAAACACTTTACTGCTGTTACATCCCTGTTCCCCAGCAGTATGACTTCGCCCACAGACCCCCAGCATAGTGTAAAAAAATACATACACTATGTGGGTAATGCTTTTAGTCTAATCGCTATCCTAACAATCTTCTTAGCATGATACAACCTGCAGGAACAATAGTTTCGGCCAGTGTAGCTTGTTGGGTCATTACGATGTGCAAGCCCGACCACCAGGTGTCAAGGTAGCAGCTATCGGTCGGGCAGCCGTCATCTACGAGACCCAGACGACCCACTTACCACCCAAATGTTATCCACATGAAAAAACCAACCACCAAGTGTTCAGACAAAAAACCAACCAAACCATCATTTCACTTTGAAATTACAAAATAGGTACACATAAATTTTCGTATGATTAAATTATGATAAAAAAAGTTAATGCCTACCTTCAAAATTGAAACTGCTCAGTGTTTTTAGCGCTAATGCTACAACAGCAACATCAGTAGATGATTCACCAGAGGCTGATGATCCACCCGGGACAGCAATATTACCAAACTCTGTAGCTGTTGTATTCAATCCTGTAATGATATTACCTGTTGACTTTGTATTATGACTTTTCGTGGATGAACCAAAGATGAAACGTGTTGCACTTGACAAAGGAAATAGGCTTGTACTAGCACTTAGACCGCTACTACCCCCACCGCCACCCCACACCACCACCACCCACAACTCCAGCACCAATAACACCGATGCCACCTGTACTGCTACCAGTAACTGTTGTACACGGGTTTAAACTAGACAAATTTGTTCCAGTACTCACTGTAGATGTATTTGACACACCGATAAGACTCATTAAATTTGGAAAGAAGGATCCAATAGTATCGCTGCCACCAGTGCCGATATTTGTGATAAACGAGTGAAGATGATTAAAACTACCGCCAGTGCTTTCCATTAAAACCAGACTTATGTTAGCTAGAAGACAATCCTATAATATAATCGAGATAAAAAAAGGACAAAAAACAACAATAATGCATAGGACTTGGAGTAACTAACTACTGATTAACTGGTTTCAATATAGGAATTTGTACAGATGTCCAGCAGTTCGAGTTGTTACACTCCCTCCTTGTAGCACACCAAGCAAGAGAAGACAGTAAACACAGATTCAAAACAGAGATATGTGGCGAAATTATTATTATTGTTTCCTTTAATTCCTAGAGGAACATAGGGCTTCAGCCGTGTGTCTCCATTGCGTTCGGTTCTCTGCTAGAGTTTTCACCTGGCTCCAAGTCTGCCCACATGCTTTCATCTCCTCTTCACATGACCTCCTCCAAGTCACCCTTGCATGACGACCAACTCGCCGCTTCCCTTTCGGGTTCCACTCGAGCTATGGCTTGTCTAGTGATGTCACTTGATGGTTTCCTCAGAGTATGGCCAATCCATCTCCATTTCTTCCTGCCTATTTGTTTCACAATTGGTTCCTGGTTGGTTCGCTCATTGCCAGAGATCTCTGTTGCTGATCTTTTCTGGCCATCTGATCTTGAGTAGTATTGAGCGAAGACAACTGTTAATGAAGGTGTAGGTCTGTGGCGAAAACAATAGTAATATGGAAGAACAATAGAGTTTTATTGGATATGATAAATCACACAGAGTGAATGCTACTGCCCCAACAGTTGAGAACAATTTTGAGCTACATCACCAATTGTCTCCAGCCTCCATTAGTTTTTACCATCCTGAGGACCCCAACCAGTCATTCAGGCAGTCTACACCTCCCTATGTGGCTAGCTTGAGCTAACTTATGGATTTCATTGACTAATGAGGCCATGTTTTCGTTTGACCACCACTAGCTAACTCTTTTCCAACCTCATCCATCCTATGTCAGTCAGCTAACATTGCCCGTCATCGAGGAAGGCGATCGATGGCTCAGTGGTATGCGTAACACATGTCCTAACCATCTCTCTCTCAGCTGATGTAACTTCACAACCTCCTCGTCGACTGATTTCCCCTCCTTACCTACCTAGCACTCGATCACCGATGCCTAACCTCAATATTACCCACACTATTATACCACCACCTAACACACATGGGAGATAGAACTCAGACACCAATGATCAAAGACAGCCAGCAGCCATGCTTTTCATATCTTCCACTTCCGGTGGCCATGTCTCAGCTGCAGCCATAAAGGAGGATAGAGCGAAGTGCTGGTGGCCAATACACACGTTCTTTGGTCGATAACCAGCCGGATATCACGTTAACATAAGAGATGGAATATGTTGGCATGTGCCTAACAAGCCTGCTGTATACATGCTGAGATTTCGTCAGCGACCAACCCACTGGTGTAGGCTGATGCAACTTCCCCAGAAATAAGTGAAGCGATCAACACGCTCCACCAACCACTTTACTCCCCAATCTTTAAGCTAGGAGTGAGTCGATGTAACTCAGTTCTGTAGCAAGCATCATTTTACATTTGACAGCAGGAGCGAATCGCTCACATGCCAAACATTTGAAGATTTCTGCTCCTCAAAGTGTTCAGAAGACTCTGCTCTATTTTGTCAGCGTCTTCACCTAGACGGACTACTGCCGACGTCATCAGTGATGAGTAAAGGTGAAGTGAAAAAATCACAGTTACTATGACAGGATTACCAACTAACCCAAAAGGTGGATGTGGCTAACCAGATCATCAAATCCCTACAATCATTAGAAGAAATGATGATTGCTATGTCTTTCTCCATGTATGGAAGACTGGAAGATATGAAGTCTGTGATTGTTTGATCTGAGCCAGAGGTGTAGTCTACGTGTGGTTAGGATCCTCGAAACTCTAAAAGTCAATGGCTTGAGATAATTCGTGATATTGGCTCAATAACGCAATGATGCCTTCACTCTTTGTAATTTCTTCTATCCATCAAAACTTTCAAATTTTCCCAAAGAATTATACTTTCTCCTGCATATTACCACTCACTATCATTTTAAATTTTCTCTCTACATGTGTACCACCACACAGAGAATGTAGCAACTTGAACTGTTCCATTTCTGTACAAAATTATACACTGAAGCTTGGTTAATCAATATTAGATGGTCTGGTAAACAGGTGGATGCTATACAGCCCCACATAATAATTTCAATCCTATGGCTTTTGATTTGAAAGCCTGTTGAGATCATTGCTCTTCGTACCTCTTAAAAAAATACCCATGTACACAAATGAAAAGTTTCTTGAATGCCTCCCCCGCATTAAGTAGATCCTTCAATACCAAATGCATATAATTGGTATATACTACTAGATAGTTGGAGGCAATCGGCCACAGAAAGCCTTGCCGGGACCTAGGTTTCGTGCTAGTTGGCACTCACCAGTCAGCAAGGCGTATCTGCAACCGCCTTGAAGGAACTCATGTCCCTTCTGAGATTCGAACCCGCGTCACCCAGTGCCGCCTGCAGTCAGAGACGTTACCACTGAGCAGCTATTCGGGCTCGCGATTGACCTCCTGTAGGACTACTACTGATTGATATAAGCAGACGGAAGCCACTCAATGCCAATCACCGAACGGTCATCTCACTCATAATATCAGTACACTGCTGGAGTGAGCTCGACTCCAAGAGGACGAGAAATGAGAGTCCAATGTGCCCAGATCATTTTAGTATGACTAGCAAGCACTGCTGTGATGGTCTGGTGGTGGTGGTTGCCAACCTCTCATGTCAATCAGCAGGATATACCGTCATGCTACTTCTTTTACTGTTTTGATCGATATGTATGATCCTGATCAGATCATATATTGTGATCTGAAAAATTTTGATTGTTTTTGGTTTTTCAACTACTATTTATCATTATTATTCATTTAAACACACAAAAAGCTTGCTACAATATGGCAACAAGATGCTGCGCCACACAATAATAATAAAACAACATATGAGAGAGGGGATAAAGTACTTCATCTGGAGGGAGGAAAGCAGTCATACTTAACAAGCTCGGACAGCATTCATCAATTATCGTCGGGAAAGGAAGGAAGAAGGAAATTGCAGCATGTTCGCGCCATCGGTGACTGCGCTTCTTGCCCGTATCCGATAACGTTTCGAGCTATCTCTCGGACTACAACCAGCGAGTCGTGACGCACCAACTGATGCTAATCTAGCACAAATATCCTTCATCCCACGACGCCACACGTCATGGACTGACCACCTCTCCGCTTTTTTCATCCCGACCTGTACGGAAGCCTCTGGGATGACATCCGCAGCACATGTCCAAGCCACTGAAGCCGGTGTTTCCAGATGACGATACTCAATGAATGGTAATCTCCACTGTGTCCAAACATACGCGGCTGAACGTCAGAATTACTCATGAGATGTTGCCATCGAGCACAAACAATCCTACGGAGACAGAGATGATCGAATACGCAGAGCCACCGCACATCCTCAGCTCGGAGAGGTCAGGTTTCACAGGCGGAGAGCAAAACAGCCCGCACTGAAGCATTGTATACCCGACCTTTGATAGCCAGACTAACGTCGCAACAGCGCCAGAGGTGGCTCAAGTCAACGTATGCCACCCTAGCCTTCATGATACGTTTGGAAATCTCATCCGTCGTCACGTCTCCACCAACACTCACACAACTACCCAGATACACGAACTTGCAAGAATGAGTACAGGAACAGGCTCCTGCCAATCTTGTATCAGTACTTTGCACTTAGACAGAGAGCAAAGCACATACCAACTACTACTACTACTACAACTAATAGCAATGTTGTCATATATTTCAGTTCAATAATCGAATCACAACACATACAAGAAACCAGCACACTCGTCAACAGACTCTTGCATGTGTGTGTGTGTTTGTCAGTTAGGGTGATAGATAAGTAAACGTGTAAATCAATGGTAAGTTAGTTACTAGTAGCACTTGAATATTTTCTAGTGATTCAATTGATTAATAAATCTCAGCAAAATTAACAAATTCATGACAGACAGGCCCTATAGTAATATCTCCAACAGAACTGTTCACATAATATTGAAGTTATTTAACTACCTACCTATGCACACTGTTATGCAACACAACACAACACAGTTATCATCGATCAAGCCTCGAAAAAACCAAAACACACACCAGTGTATATATAACCATTAGAAGAAGTTAGAAGTAAAGTTCAAAAAGGATGAAACGAGGTTGTTGTTGTTGTTTTTCTTTTCAAAAAAAATAATAATAACTACCTGAATTTCTTTTCGCATTCTTGGTATATGCGTAGCGATCACTTTGAATGTAGCAATAAGAGGTTGATTTAAACCAGACGCTACAATTGCATCTAATACTTGAGTAACTGATTCACTGATCAAAGGACCAAGAGATTTAGTCAACAGACTAACAGAGAGAATAGCTGAAGTTTCCAAGGCTGGAGAACGTTTCCTAAAGTAGAGTAAATACAACATAACCCAAAGTGTATATTTACTTACTTAAAGAACACATAAAGCAAGTTAATACGATATTTATGAATTAGTAAGTATTGACAAGGGTTGGGTAATATGAAAGATTGGTTGAAGGATTTCATCATGAGCTGACATCAGTTAGAGAACCATTGGAAAACCATCTGGGAGTACTGGACAGCCAGCTGTTTCTTCAGCCTAGTTTGGGACTGACTCTTCATCAGTACGCAACCACCGACAGGGTTCGAAGCCATGACCTTTTGGTTACAAGGCTAGCGAGGTTGTAGACCCCATGCAATGACCCGTGAATTCTAACTTCCGCCAATTCATGACATAGCGCACGACTGGCTCTATTCAGGCAGGTAGTTACCTGGGCTTCTATTGGGGAGCCGCCACCGACAGGGTACAGCAGGTTGAAGGTGAGGCAGTAACTCATCGAAGAAGACATTGCGAAGTGGTCGTGCTATGTCATGAATTGGGAGAAGTTAGAATTCATGAACTGGCCATTAAATTGGTTGGGTCCCAGTGGCTTAACGGTCTACGGCTGGCTAGTCTTGTAGCCAGAAGGTTTTTGGTTGGAAACCTGTCGCTGGGCGCGTACTGCTTAGGCGGATTCCCACACTAGGCTGATGAAACAGCTAGCTGCCCAGTATTCCCAACTGGTTTTCCAATGGTTCTCTAACTGATGTCAGCTCATGATGAAATCTTTCAACCAATCAAACAACATGCCTACAAAACCAATACTTGATAATATGTCATAGGTAGAAAGAGTAAACAAAGGGTTGGTTACGAAAAAGATGTTGCTAAGACGTCATACAAACGTTGAAAAAAGCCTTATTAACAAAGTAGCAGAACTTGGAATTATACTCTAAGTGGGAGGAAGAGGTGGAGAGGTTTCTTCTGTGTAAGTAGTAATCCGGATAGAAAACCCAGATTTGTGTACACAGAAGAAACCTCTCCACCTCTTCCTTCTACCTTGGATATAATTCCAAGTTCTGCTACTTTGTTAATAAGGTTTTTTTCAACGTTTGTATGACGTCTTAGCAACATCTTTTTCGTAACCAACCCTTTGTTTACTCTTTCTACCTATGACATAATTTATTTTGGACACTTGTCTCCCTACTCTTTCATTAACATCCTTTCTTTATGGGTTGTCTTTCATAATATGCATCCCTTGAAAATACTCACCAATCTTCAGCCCCCCCATAGTTACAATTTGATTCCTCATCACATTTATGAATTACACTCGTATGCAAACCAGTAGGTAAATGAAACAGTTAAAAAGGTATAAAATGCAGAAAAAAATAGTGAATAAAACGGAAAAAGACTGCATGCACTAGGGATATGAAAAGCTTGCTGTACTTATCGTGGAAGTACGCAGTGGTGCGATTATACCAACCCGATTGTCCACAGCATTGGATGTTGATAATTTTGAAACCAGTCACACACAGCATGTTTGAAATCGTGTCTTTATGAAAACTTTAGGCAGCCTGCAAAACCGGATGTACAGTTTTCAGGTCAATCATTTCTAACTCACCCGTCCCCCCTCCTCCGTAATAATAAGACACGATCGTGACACTCGTAATCTCCACTTACCAATGACTGGAGTTTGGAATTAGTAAAGCTTTCTTTTGTGGAAGCTGTTCAGTAAGTAGCAAAGCTTGAAGCACTCAAACACGATTGTGTATTAACAGGTGATTTCCATGCTCAGGTATGGAAGCTGTACCAATCGGAAAAGCATGTTGGGAATGTCTACAGGATCCTATATATATATATATATATATATATATATATATATATATATATATATATTAGTGGTCACGATGATAACCACTCTGTACAAATTATCTACGAAAGATTGAAGCTCCTCCTGGAATACTTGCGTGGACTATGACATGCATGTACTCCATGCATGTATATATTCACACCTGAACTAACCTCTTTAAGATTCTATAGATCGTAGCCAAATGAAGACCAAAAGAATCTCGACAAAAACAAACTCAATACAATCAGAGACAGTTTATAAACCTAGGCGATGAGAACCGTTGGTGTTCATTCGAGATACACAGTGTCGTAGTATCCTCCCCCACCACCCATACCCCCTCTTATTACAGACTCACTGATGGATGGATCGATGGATTCAATGAGTGAAGAATTGTCTTGCTAGCAGAAGATCCCTCTTTTTAAATACACAGAAAATGCAGAAATTCTTAACAATTTGAGAGCAATCAACATCTAAGTATGTTCGGCGTACAGACTACTCATGGTCATCACAGTGTTTCAGGTTTGCAATACAAAATTATTTAATTCAATTTAGATTTCCCCGTCGATTGTGATTGCATCGAAGTGCTCGGTCTCAGATTGACATGTCGGCTCCTTGTACAGATGCTTCGACAATGTCTGGTCATGTAACTTGAAGTCAACTGGTGGATGGTGATTAGCAGTGAAATCCACCAGGATGCGCACTTCGTCCTATTTGGGAGAGTTTAAAACTGGAGGCACTGGGTTTGAGCCCCGACGGGAACACCATTACTCACTCATTGGGGAATACAGGTACATCCGGATGACGAGTCCAAAATAGGACGAAATGCGTGTTATCCTAGATTCCACTGCTAGTTTTTGTTTTATTCCTTCACGTTCCCAGTGGAACATAGGGCTTCAAACTGGAGGCCTGAAGTTTCGGTAGCAATGGTGTTTATTTTTACAGGATAGGGTTGCTAGCCTCATGTGCCCAACCTTTCCTCTTTACCAGCTTTTATTTCTGGCTCAGCGAGGTAAAGGAGTGCGTCTGTGGCCGGGAATCGAACCCCGGACCATATGCATGATCGGTGAGCGTCCTAACCGCCGTGCCACCAACGCACCCACTGGTAGATACCATCCACCAATTGATTGCCATTCAAAGATTCACATAATCAATTAGCACTCACAGTGAAGTGAGGAAGCGCCACGAAGGAAACACAGTTACTCTTTCTAAGCATCTCAAATCAATACATAACAATATGAGTGAGTAGGAAGGTCAAGATAAAAATTTACAAAAAAACAACATGAAATAATCACAATACACTTACGTAATACAACAGACATACTTATTTGAAATATCTTTTTGTGTTGGTAAATATGAACGTATAGACTGGAACAATTGTGTTATATAATTCGATGTAGCAAATTCACTGCCCATGAAATAACAGATAAGAGCTAAATTTAATAAAATCATTGGTTTCTCTTTTTCTTTACGAAGACATTGAAACATCCAATCCATGACAGCTTGTTGACGTCTGTAAACACCAAAACAAGAAACAAAAACATAAACGGAAGTTAGAATTCATGTAGAGGCCATTGGATCGGGTCCCAGTGGCTTAATGGTTTACGAGCTCGCTAGTCTTGTAACCGGAATGTCACGGGTTCAAACCGGCTGCGGTTTGAAGAACAGAAGTGGTTAGTGGAGTGTGTTGCCCAGTTCACTTATTTGGACGGGAGAGGAGAAGTTGCATCAGCCAACACCAGCAGGTTGATCGATCGCTGACGAAATCTCAGCATGGATACAGAAGGCTCGTTTCGCATATGTCAACATACGCCATCTCTGGCTTAGTAGATGTGATATCCGGCTGGCTGGTTATCAAGCAAAGGACGTGTGTACTGCTCAGCAGCACTTCGCTCTGTCCTCCTTTATGGCTGTGACTGAGACATGGCGGTTGAGAGTGGAAGACGTGAAAAGCGTGGCTAGCTGTCTTTTTTGATCATAGGTGTCTGCGTCCTCTCTCCCATGTGTGTTAGGTGGTGGTGGTATAATAGGGTGAGAAATATTGAGGTAATGCATCTGTCGAGTGCTAGGTAACGAAAGAAATTCAATCTATGAGGTAGTGAAGCTACACCGATTGAGATGGTTAAGACATGTGCTACGCATCCCTAGCCATCACTTTCCTCGACAGGCAGTGTTAACTGAATGACACAGGATGGATGAGGTTGAAAAATAGCTAGCTAGTGGTGATCAAACCACAACTTGGCATCGATCAATGAAATCCATAGCAGTTAGTTTGGGCCACATATAGAGATGTAGACTGCCTGGCTGATTTGGGTCCTCGGAATGGTAAAAACCAACGGCTGGAGACAACCGGTAATATTGCTCAAAATCGTTCTCAATGGCTGTCGCAGATGCATTCGCTCTATTATTCTTCCATATTAACATTCAAATTTGCCTCATATTTCTGTGCATTATCTCCCTTTTGAATATTTCTATACTCTCTTCTCTCCCTTTATGTGCTACAAGGAGGGAGTGTGGCAACTCGAATTGCTGCACATCTGTGCAAAGTTCCACGATTGAAACTAGTCAGTCAGTATTCACTAACTAGCTAACTCTTGCAATCACTGTGTAATCACTGTTTCAGTTTTATTTCTCTTACAGGTTCGAATGATTGTTTTGTACAACGAAGTGAATAAATAATAAACACACTAACGCACAGACTTACTCCGAATCTAGAAATTCACTAGGTTTCAGTGCAATTAAACGAGGAATTAATTTGTACAGTAGGAACATGATTTGATGATTACGAGAACTAGTCCACGACAATACTGAAGCCCAAATCTGAAAAAGATAAAAAATCAATAAATCAATAAATAATGGCAAAAAAGATCCCAATCGATACATTCTCTGTATTCATATTTACATACTGTTATAAGTTAGACATCAGTAAGAATAGATTTTGTTTAACTATCTGACTAATTGAGACTGATCGCAGACCTCTGTGCAGAGAAATACACCAGATCAATTTTCCACACAAAGGTAGAAAAAAATTCTAAGGAACTATAATGTACAACAACAGTGCGTCGGTGGCATAGCAGTTAGGACGCTCGCCGACCATGCACATGGTCCGGGATTCGATCCCCTCCGACGCACTCCTTTACCTCGCTAAGCCAGAAATAATGCTGGTGAAGAGGAAAGGTTGGGCATGAGGCTAGCAACCCCATCCTGTAAAATAAACACTGCTGCAGAAACTTCAAGCCACCAGCTTGAAGCCCTATGTTCAACTGGGGAACGTGAAGGAAAAAAACAATAATGAACAACAACAATAAGCATAGGAAGAATAGTGAGAATTTGATGGACCTGCGGCATTAAAAACGATTCTAGCCCATATCACCAATAGTCCTCAGCCGTTAGTTCTTAACACCTCAAAGACACCCCAACCTAGATTTTCTCTACACCTCTCTACGTGTGTCACAATATTACTGCTCAGCATATTATACCAATTGGCAGAACAATAATTAATTAAAGTTGAAATAATAGCTTAAGACATATGTGTAAGATAGCAAATATCAGAGCTATTCCAAATGATTTATTCATACTTCTGATTTCTGATTAGATCAGATTTAACTGTGATCAAATTCATTTTGGTAGTCGAGCTTCTCGAATTACTACTGGCCTAAATACTATCGTTATTACCCTACTTAAAACTACTCCTTTAATGATGGCTAGTAGCGAAACCCAAGATACGTGTTTCGTCTTACTCAGGACTCGTCAACTGGATGCACCTGCATCACTAATGCATGAGTGATAGTATTCCACTTGATGAGATTTGAACCCAGCACACATTGGTTCAAGCGTCAAAGTGTAATATTCACAACGTCACTGGACTACTGTGGTGAGAGCAAGCTGCTAGCCAATTGGTAGACATTGATCTACGCTGATTGGTGGAAATTAATCTAGGCTGATTCAACAACCGATCACAGCTGACCTAGACGTGGACAAATATGATTCGCAGACAAGTGGCTCGCATTTCCGAGAAATATCGAAAACGAGAAAGCAGAAGACTGCGTTTTGTTTGCAATCAACCAATCAGAAGACCGCCTTCTTTCTGCGGGCAGAGCCTTATTAATGTACGTAAAATACATATAAATACCTGTTGGTTTTCGTAATAAAACTGATCTGTTGCCTGGCCCTTGTCTTCTGTTGTTACACTACTACAAGAATACACTCTTGTTATCAGTTGTAAATGTTCTTATTGTTGGAATGATGATTTCTGAATTATTCCACTGATTGGTATTATCACAGCGAAATGCTCAAGTCTACTTAAAATGGTTCAGTATGACCCTTTTTTTACACAATTAGTATACCAAAGTCTTACTAAACTATAGACTATTTTGTGATGATATAATGAAGTCAGATTCAGAGAAATTATGAGAGTGAGAGAGAGAGAGAGAACTGTTATTCTACTTGTCTTATATTATGATGACGATAAGGAGAATCTCCAAGTACCCCAACTCTAAATTACTCGTTGGACTCCCTGAGAGATGATCTTGCACTAGGGGAAAAAAACTAATTATAATGTGTATAGACAAGATTGTGATAGACATTTGAGGGAGAATCAAAGTTCTCTTGGCATATACAGTTCAAACCTGCTAGTCGATTAGTTTAGCTAATGACTAAAAAACTTGACCAATCAAGTCACAATGTCACCAGTGTACTCAACATGCCAATGGTATGAACTTTGAACTGTAAACTTTACTAACAAAAATTCCCTCCGCTGCTACTATCAACGGAGCTACGCTAGGAACGGTGTGACGACCCAAGTTATCTCCTACTGATACCGTCGCCACAGTCATATCAGTAGAAGTCCGGTTAAGCTGCCGGTCAGCCTCGGTTTCCTTATCATTTTGAGCGGGCAAAGTTTGGTTTCGACCGCGTTGGTACACTCACCGGGGCCGCGGTATGCCTCTGGGTGAGAGTGGGATGCACATTTTTTGGGGCCGACCTTTTCTAACCCCCCTTTCCGAGAAAGGCAGCATGGGGCGCGCCCAGAACCGTGTACCACGGCCTGAACTCATGCTGGTCGCCCGAGGAGAACACCTTACTGCCGCCACATCCCCTACTGCCCCGGCAATACGACTACTTCCTCGGACCAATGATTTACACCCGTTCATATATCTTAAAATGGCACCTCGGGGGGTGTAGCCTTGGGCCATTTTCCAAAAGTACGAAACCGTACCCGTTCATGTCGAACTGGTTAAATTTCCTAACCTCGCTACCATGTGCTTTGTATCCCTATTGGATGAGAGAGAGAACTATAACTAATCTTACCTTACTATTCCGTTACCATGATGTATCGGTGAGGCGGAGAAGTGATGATACCTGCTGTCAAGCGATCGTCAAGTTTCAGCTCCCCGTTGCCGATAACATCGTGGATGAAATAAACGAGCATGTTCACCCTAAGAAACGCTAAAATAGGAGGATAACTGCTGAACTTAAAGAAGCCATAGCTCCGCAACCGTAAGTCATACAGGGACGAGACAGGTGCCAATCGATTCGTCTCGTCGAGAGGAATCCAATGGTATATAAATCAGAGGGTAAAAGCTATTCCTAAGAAAAATACGAGGATTTTCCTGCCTAGCAGTCTCTGCCCCCTGCTGCCCTATGGTTGGTAATGCCCCCTAGCTACATACACAACGGCATACAACCTGAGGTCGCGGAGCTAAAAATGTCAAGAGAACAGCCAGCGGCATGAACTCTAGGCCTAGAAACAGGTTTCCCCTGTAGCCTTTGAAAAAATTCCCTATTCGGCTGAGGAGAAGCTATAAGGTGCGATACCGGTACCAATGGGTAGATCTCGTCGAGAGCTATCCATTGATATATAGCTTCCCTAAGTCCTAGCCTCCCTAAGAAAATTTAGGCAGCATAGTCCCTAAGGGCACTAGCCCACCCTATTCGGCTGAGGAGAAGTTATAAAGTTCAAAACCAATGACAAAGGATAGGTCGCTGTGAGAGCCATCGATTGATATATAACTTCATCTAAGTCCTAGCCTCCCTGGAAAAATTTTGGCAGCATAACCCCAGAGGGCGCAAGCCCAGATATCAAAGATCCTCAGGAAGGCTGAGGAGAGGCTACAAGGGTCGAAACCAATGTCAAAGGATAGATCTCGTCGAGAGCTATCGATTGATATATAGCTTTCCTATGCCAGAGCATCCCTGAACAAACTATGACCGTATGGTCCCTAAATGCCCCAGCATAGTAAACATGAAGCTAAAACCTAGCCTAAACATGAAAACTACTAATAAAAATAATATAAAAATAAAATAAACTTACCAAATAATTCCATTGATGAGGATTGGAAGCCATCATAGGCCTCCGAGTGACAGGGGCTGGTCGTAGGAAACCAGCCATCCGTCCCACGCCATGCCACAAATTCAGCTGCGCCTTCGCGCGCATCATCAATTAAAACAAAATGCCTAACTACGCCTGATAAACAAAAGCTTAATTCTCATTGGCTAAAAATACCCTGTATATTGCTATACAAAGGCAAAATGGGGAGAACCTGTAAAACTTTACAAAATCCATATCCCGCAACCGTAAGTCCTACAGGGACGAGACAGGTACCAATCGATTCGTCTCGTCGAGAGGAATCCAATGGTATATAAATCAGAGGGTAAAAGCTATTCCAGAACAATAGGCTGGCGAATGGACTTGGTAGGAAATGCCTTAGCGCAACTGCCATGTGTATTTACGGTCATATCAGATACGCCTTGCTGATGAGTGGCAATAAAGACGAAACCTACACCCAGAACTTATTGTTAATCCCCTCCAGTTATCTAAATAACTTTATAAATAATGACAATGATGGTTGCGCACCTGTCAATTAAACAGAATAAGAGGAAGAAAACACGAAAAAATCACATACCTTATCAATATTTTCTAATAGAAGAAGACGACAAATTTCTGATGAAAAATTACTAAAATGTTGCCAACCATATTGTTGTTGTTGTTGATGGTGGTGATGGTGATTCTGGTGTTGGTGTTGATGTTGGGCCTGTTGGTACTGTTGTTGTTGTGATTGTTGCTGCTGCTGTTGCTGTTCCTGTTTTATACCATCACGTAAACCAAGTAATTCAAGTGCTATATTTGGTAATTGTTCTGAATCGGAGGCATAAAATGGACTACCAGGTAAAACACCAATAGCTACTAGAATAGATGATGCATTTGCAATAGGCCAACGAGCAGTTAACACAGTACGTAAGGCTTGATTTGCTTCACTTTGATTGATCGTAAGAAATTCAAATAATGGCTAGTTTAAAGAATAAATAAATAAATAAAATCAGATTTTGGCTGTACATAATGATAGTGTGGCGTGTGCTACTGATAAGATTTATCAGTAGTATATATAAAGAAACATGCATCGGCAGAAAAAAAACATCAAATAGCAGGGAGAGATAGATTTGACGTCAGTCAGAGAAAGCAAACGAATAGTGCGTTGCGGAGAAACATGGAAGACGTGAAAAGGAACCACAAAGAAACACAATATGAAGGAGGGCCAGAAGTAGCAGGCACAACACGGAAGATCTGTGCACAAATGGTGAGTTGAAGATAAGGTATACATAATTTCGCTATATTTATAGAGATACTAAATCCCAAATAAGCATTCCTTTACCAGGTCTCTTGCCTTCTACCGTTACAGTAGTAACAACAACTAAAGTAAAAAACCCATAATTAAATGCAGAAATGTTAAAGTACGAAAGCTTTGTGTATAACAATATGTATGATTGTGCATTTTGCGACGAATCACACATCTTTGACGAGATAGCCATTGTGTTGCTCATAATGCAGTGGATCTACACTAAGAATCGAAGCTATGACCTACTGTAGTTAATATCAAATGCCTGCATAAATGATTCAAGGATTAATTATTTCAAATACCTTCCACTACTACTACTGCCCTGACCAGCCTTCAGTGGAGACTATAAATTCATAAATTTGTATTAGTATTATCTTTCTTAATTTGTCTGTCTGACATTCAGTGTTTATTGTTCTGTTGATGCTGTTGAACTGTAATCCACTGATATTAATATTATTATTGATTCGGTGTTAGTTAAAAACAACATTAATGTTGTTAATAACAGTAATTCATTCACTATTGTATATATATATATATATATATATATATATATATATATAACTGTAGAACCTGATGGTGAAATTGAAAAGAATATTCTTTATTCAGTAACCAATCTTTTGAAAAATTTGAAGATATACGAAACCAGAATCAGACGGATTAGACCAAAGGTATTATGAGTGATTTGTTGTTGCTAGCAAGCCAGATCAATATGATCTAAACATACTGGACGACTGTTTTGCTCGTTTCTGTCCCGGGTAAGCTCATTATTGGCGTGTTCAGTTTGACACAGCTCACCTACACCCACACACACACTCTGATAGGTCACCTCAAAGTCATTTGTGCGCTCTCATCAGCTCAGATCACTAGTCTTCTTTAACTTCATGTTCAACTTAGAAATGGTATATGTTCTCAGAATGATGAATAACAGGTTCGTCTCTAAAGAAAACACCATAGTCAGTGACTAACGCTACTGTTAATCACTTTGCTACCTAAGAGATTCTATCAAAAAGGGTTATCAAATTGCAGGATATATATATATATAAACTACTAACTTTTCTAGTACTGGTTGGCAGAGATTTCATTGATTTCAGGATTTCATCATCAGCTGACATCGGTTAGAGGATCATTGAAAAACCAGCTGGTAGTACTCGACAGCCAACTGTTTAATCAGCCTAGTTTGGGACTCCTCAGCAGTACGCAGCCACTGACTGGGGTTCGAACCCACGATCTTCTGGTTACAAGGCTAGTGAGCTCGTAGATCATTAAGCCAATAGGACCCGACCGATTCAATGGCCAGTACATGAATTCCAACTCCTGCCCTTTGTTTATCAGTGATCGTCTTCGTCAAAAGATAATAATCAATTCTCTTTTGATATGAATGCATGCACAGACACAACTACAGACACCAAGTCGGCTGGAAAAAGGTACAAATCTTACACAAAGGAAACACGAAAACTTTTAGTAATATCCCAGAACCCTATTTTTTTTCTTCACGTTCCCCAGTGGAACATAGGACTTCAAGCTAGTGGCTTGAAGTTTCTGTAGCAGTGTTAATTTTACAGGATGGGGTTGCTAGTCTCATACCCAACCTTTCCTCTTTACCAGCATTATTTCTGGCTTAGCGAGGTAAGGAGGTGAGTCGGCCGGCGATCGAACCCCGGACCACGTGCATGGTCGGCGAGCGTCCTAACCGCTATGCCACCGACCCTATTAACTCAGATAAATATCTCCAATCGACAGACACGCTAATATATAACTGAGATTTATTAAGCAGTAAAACACATAAATCATATGTGTACATAAGTTCAAATATTACAGGTTATTAAAATCATCAACACCAATAAAAAATGTTAATTAATTCCTTTCTGACTGACTGGTTTCAACATAGAATTTTGCACGGATGTGCAGCAGTTTGAGTTGCCACACTTCACTCAAAACACAAAGCCAGAGAAGAATAAAGTAAAGAGAAATGCAAAATAGAGACAGAAAACAGAGACATGAGACACAAAGAACAGTAATATCGAAGAACAATGTAGTTTGATTGGATATTATAAGTCGCAAGTAGTGGATACATCTGCGCCAGCCATTGAGAACGATTTTGAGCCATATCACCGATTGTTTCAAGCCTTCATTGGTGTTTACCATCCCCAGGGCCCCAACCAGGAAGTCTATACCTTCTCACGTGGCTGTCTGAAACTAACTGCTGTGGATTTCATTGACTGATGAAGCCATGTTTTGGTTTGGCCACCACTGGCTCTTTTCCGACCTAATCCTATATGACCTAACATTGCCCATAATCGAGGAAGGCGATGGCTAGGCATGTGTAACACATGTCCTAACCATCTCAGTCAATGTAACTTCACAGCCTCGTCGATTGATTTCCCCCTTCTTACCAAGCACTCGACAGATACCTCACCCTATTATACCATTTCACATTTCAAGTTTATCAGGAGAGATGGATTATCACTTCATACCAAACTGTCTCGAAAGACAACGAAATCTTCGCATTTCGACCATCCAGCTTAGAGAACACAATTAATGAAAACAAAACACGTAGATCAGCGAAGAGTCTCTTTTCAGAGAATTCATTTTCTTAGCTGTACAATCGTAAATATGTGTTATTTTTTATGTATGTGTGCATTAAGTTTGTCAAACAAAAATACAATTGGTTATGCTTATTTTAACTAAATAGGTGAAGATTAGTAACTAGAGTTACGTAATACAAAATCGGTCAAGAAAATTGGGTGTTAATGAAATTAGTGTAGTAATAAAGATGATGAGTTGTCACAAACAGTTGTTAAAAAGAAGTTATGTAATAATATGAATAGTTTGATGAGTGAGTTTTACTCAGGATGCACATAGGACCAAAGTAGAGAATACGAGATTACGTAAGAGTTCTAAATGAATACAAGAATTATAAGCAATTAAAGAAACAGGCAAACAAACAAAATTAAGTCATTAAAAATCAACAAAGTTGTTACCATTACAGTAGAAGTGGTCGAGTAATTCTCTTTTGTATGCACAACTCCGATTTTTCTACGTGAATGGCCAGAGCTTCAGCAATACAAAGAAGACGAAACCGTATTGCCTTTGGTAGGGTTATTTTTGACTTTGTAGATTAAAGCAGGAGGTGTTTGTTGAGATGGAATGATCAGTGTTAACCAGGTGTTCAATTATCGCACTCCACATAGCACCACTAGTACCTTTTCGCAACTATGCTGGATAGTGTTCTTGAATCCTCTTGGACAGGGTGCCTGTCGAACGACCGATGTACCTGGCTCCACAGCAGCAGGTGAACTGATCTATGCACATAGAAGTGGTCAGATGTGGGATCTTGTCCTTGAGGCTTCTGCAGGTAAGTGGGCGCGACTGGAGAACACTATTCTTAGCGTTGCTGCAAAGACTGTTCTTCTCAGAGATGATGTGATCCTTCTCTTGAGAATATCGCTTGTTAAATCTCCCTTGAAATCCAAGTTCATGTAGAGTTTCTTTTTAGGCGCAAGTGAAGTTTCATTACTCCAAATTCTTGGTTTTTTAATCTTTTTGTCAATGAATCTTATTGGTTATCCATTTTGGATGAAGATTTCTCTCAAAATATCTAATTCTGTTTCTAGAACATCGGAACTACAGATGCGTCGGATGCTGGTAGCAAGTGATTTAATTAAATTCCAGCTATAGAAGCTTGTTAGTTGACCATTCCAAGTAGCTTTTCCATGGATAGATCTTCTTAGGCTCCCATCAGTTCTTCTTGTTAGTTTTACATCAAGAATGGGAATTTTTGATTCGTTTTCCATTTCAAGAGTGAATTTTATTGCTGGATGGCAACAGTTAAATGTCTTCAGCAAGATTTATGTTGTTGTCACAAATAATGAATATGTCGTCTACGTATATTTTATACAGTTGTAAATTGTCAATGCTTGTTTTTGTTTTGTTTTCATTAATGCCTGGATGGGGATTATCCATGAATTAGAACACAATTACATATACCAATAATATCATCCTCCTAGCTAAGCTAAAAATCTCCTACACTATATAAACAACACAGTAGCCCATAAGACCGATAAGGAAGATTACCTCTTTTTTTCTCTTATCAGATCGATTTAACAAGATAATGTTACAGGATTGGACTACACCGACTCCTAGATTAGAAATAGGAAGTGAAGTGGTAGAGCACGTTGACCACTTCACTTACTTGGGAAGTACCATCAGCCAGTGCCAACGGGTTGATCTCTGACGAAATCTCAGCACGAATACAGAGGGCTAGTTTCGCATACTCCAGTTTACGCCATCTCTGGCGTAGACGTGATATCTGACTATCGACCAAAGGACGTGTGTACTGCTCAACAGTCCGCTCCGTCCTCCTTTATGGCTGTGAGACCTGGCCATTGAGAGTGGAAGACATGAAAAGATTAGCTGTCTTTGATCATGGGTGTCTGCGTTCTATCTCCCGTGTGTATTAAGTGGTATAATAGGGTGAGCAATATTGAGGTTAGGCGTCGAGTGCTAGGTAAGGAGGCGAAATCAATCGACATGGCTGTGAAGCTACATTGACTGAGATGGTTAGGACATGTGTTACGCATGCCTAGCCATCGCCTTTCTCGCCCGACGGGCAATGTTAGCTGACATAGGGTCAGGCTGGAAAAGAACTAGCTAGCGGTGATCAGACGAAAACATGGCTTCATCAGTCAATGAAATCCAGAACAGTAAGTTTAAGCCACCTAGGAAGATGTAGACTTCCTAGTTGGAGTCCTCGGGACGGTAAAAACCAATGACTGCTGCAGACAATTGGTGATATGGCTGAAAATCGTTCTCAATGGCTAGCGCAGATGCATCCACTCCTTGTGACTTATGATTTCCAATGAAACTGTATTGTTCTTCGTTATTACTATTCCTTTGTCTCACACGTCTGTTTACTGTCTCTAATATGCATTTCTCCTACTTTCTTCTCTTGCTTTGTGTGCTGCAAGGAGGGAGTGTGGCGACTTGAACTGCCGCACATATGTGCAAAGTTCTATGTCAAAAAGAGACAAACAGACAGATTTAACAAGCAGTGTGAGAAAATGTATTATCAGAAAGCATAATTTAGAATGCTGTACACATAAAATGTGCTACATAGAAACAAATTAAATATGGATAAGATAGATAATTTTCTTACTAATCCACACATTTGATCCAACTCCATTAACAGTTTGCCATATTGTGGTTGTACACAGACAAGTAATTCTTGCAGTAACAGTAGGTTACCATGTGTCCAATCGTCACGATTTAATTTCTTTAGACTAGCAATCTATTAAAAATATAAAAAGTGAAATTTAAAAAATTTCCTCTTAAAAATTATAATAATACTTTCATAATATATTTATCTACGACTGAAAAAAAACAAAAGTGAGCGGGTGAGTGAGTGACACGGATGAGTTGTTACGAATATGGTAGAATTGTAATTAAAAAGTATACACGAATGTAATTTCAGAGGAAGATTGATATAAGTATAAAAATTGGGCACTGTGGTGGTAGAGTATAACTCCATTATGGATAAGATTTTATTTTGATAAAATCACACAGTGTTAAACAGTAATATTAACAGATGACCATGTTGCGAGCACAAATTATTACTGTTCATAATCTCATATCAAGTCACTCACTCACATACAACTTTCTTGCTTCATTTATATACATGAGTGAAATTGATGATTACACATTTGAATAAAAATCAGTATAGGATAATGCACATTCAGAAATAATAATATTAGTGTTATCAATCAAGTACCATCAGATGGGAAATAAGACGAGTGTTTTCATAGTAAAATAATAAGTAACTTGTTAGAATGTTATGATGTATATGAATTGAAATAGAATTTTAAGATTATTTATTATCCTCCTCTGATTTGACTGACTGGTGGTAATAATATCTTCCATATCTCTGGTATTTGCATTGAGTCATTCCTATTGCATGTGTTGGGTGTAGACTCGATGAACCAGGATTCAGTAATCAACCTTCCTCTCCACCTACCTAGATTACTTCTTAGAATTTTAACCCTGTCCCACACCCCTATTGTGTGGTTTTGTGTTAGTGCATGCATACAGTGCAAATGCTGAGCTTTTTTCTAAATTATCTTCTCGGGATCAACCATTCTTACCTTAGCTAAATTCTTATGTTCCGACAATCTGACTACCCCTGACCTACTAGTTTGACCTACGTAGTTGACCTCACAGTCATTGCAGGGTATTTTGTAAATTATATTATTTTGTTTAATTGGGTCCACCGGGTCCTTTAGCCTACAGAGCCTGTCTCAGAATGAGTTTGTAAGTTTGAATGCCACCCTAATTCATGCTTTATTGAGAATCCTACGTAGGAGCGTCTCAGATATCCCCTCTTTATATGGTATAACAGTAGATGACTTATATTCTCTCTTATTTATGTTATCATTACTAGTTTCACAATTATTTTTATTTTGCTTTTAGCCTTTTCTGATCTTCCTAATGAATTTTACAGGAGAGATAGTTATTTGATACCAACGCTTCTTCTATCTGTTTTATTTCATCATTTAGATCTTTTTTGTGCTACTTAGTGCTACTGCTCGGTTTGTTAGACACTTAACTAAGCCTGCCTTAACAGTTAACGGTGTGTGTGCAATCCACTTTCTTCTATTCGTTTTATTTTACAATCTAGCATAGCTAATTCTCCTTGTTCATTTTCCGATTCAAATGTAAATTTCAGAGGAAGATATTCAAAATACTCTTACTGTAACCATTTATAGTGTAGTGGGAGGCGTTAGAATTTAGAGTACACGCTTCCACCCCCTAGCTCAGGTCTTTTTACCTGGATGTGCATTAACTTGATTTAATGATAGCCTCTACATTGACGTGGTGGTGGTTGGGTTCTCAATGTTGCGATAACCAAGTGAGCTACATTGTGAAGCTGACCGAATGTTCCTACAGGTCCAGTTATGCCTTAGAAATACAGTTTGGATAGTCGTCAGACCAAAAGAAGTTGCCATTATATTGGGGATCCTGGTGTTGTTGTTGTTGTTGTAATACGGCTGACGAATACGAGTATGATAGCAGTGAAGGGTTTCTCTCAGAAGACCAACAAGCTTGTGTGTTTTATCTTTTCGCTCTAAGGAGGAGTGGTTTTGAAGAAGACTGACCCAATTAATCCTACATCACAACTTACCATGCAGGGGTCTGTAGCTAGAAGTAGGGTCTTCATACGGACACAGCTTCAAAAACGCTATGTGCTGTGGCCTAAAGCATCTGCCCCATGGGCTATATGGTATTTTAAGAATTTTATCTGGTGAATTAAGTTAGGATTGAGTCCCAGTGAGAACATCATCACTATAATAAGGTGGAGACAAAAGTTGAAATGTATGTCTTAAATTCCACCGCCAAACCAATATCCAGTCAATGAATACCTAAACGATTCTCAAGGCTTTTCACAGAGACGTATGTTATGTATTAATAAGGAGCTCACAACTTCGTGATATAGTATCATTAGTTTTCACACAAAAACTGTGTGGCTCATAATCTGGTACATGAAAGATCTATATCCAGGATAGCTGAGCTCAAACAATACCATAACCCTTATATTGCTTGTGCCGCTTTATGACCATATTGCTCACTACTGGCTGAAAGCTCGCACACAATACCTGTACCTGTACCTACTTCATAGATCAGTGGTACATGAAAAATCTGTTCTGCGGCCAAATGACTTCTAACCAACTAAACGCAGCAGCAGCAACAGCAGCAGGATTCGAACCAGAAGCCGCCGAATTACTAGTACAACGCCCTACCAGATCAGCAAACAACACTACCCCCAACCGCTAATCATGTCAATCATTTCATTACCATCACCACGGATAATGCTCAACTATCATCTGAATATGGATGGAATGTTACCTAAGGTTGAACGACTGGGTCGTATTATCATCATTCACACAATAATTGTGTAGCCTAACGAAATACTGAATTTCAAATAACCCTATAATGTAGCGAAAATATTCATTCAGACATCTAGAAAAAACAAAATAATTGAGCAAAGAATATCCTTTCCGATAATTTCCTCTTCTGACTCTATAAGGAAATCTCTGCAAAAAACTGAGGATCATTCGAACCTAGATGGCCAGGGTAAGGACAATGTCTACAATAGCTTCTTTTGAACACATAAATGAGGCCTCTTAGTATGGATCCCAACGACCTCAGCAATATTTAGTAAACGTGTGGTGAGAGCTGTCTGCTAACCAAAATTAGTAGACAGCAATTGACGTCAATGTTTATGTCCCATATCTTGGTCATCAGAAGAAAACAAAGCCAAAAACTAACTCAACAACCAGCCACAACAGACTTTGCGTAGGCGGATACGATTCACAGATATATGGTCTAACCTTCAAGGAAACGGCCACAAAGAGATGACAGTCTAACTTTCATCAATCAGAAGACGCTGTTTCTCTGCTAATAATAACGAATAATAATGTACATAAAAATATATAAATATCTCTTGATTTCCTCGATACAGGATCTGTTGTCTGGCCCTTGTCTTCTGTCGTTACAAACGAACTCTTAAGGCGAAGATTTGTTGGTATGTGGTAAATGATTTGTAAATGCCTCGTTGACATCAATCTTGTGTTCTGTATCCACAAGATGAGATAGAATAGAGCCACGAATGGATTTTGTTTGGCCTTTACTTAACCACTATGCAGGATGATGTTCGGAAATCCGATGAGAAACACGCCTAATTGTACGGTCTATGTAACTAACTGGCTCACTCCACAGGAGCAGTCAAATTGGTAGATACACAACATAGAAGAGGCGAAATTAGACAGTTTATCTTTTTTACTCCCGAACGCAAAATAGGGGTGTGGTTTTGAAGACACAGAGTAATTCAACAGCAGCGAATGCTCTTCGTTTTACCGCATTCCTAAGGTGTTGTGTGTTAATATATCTCGCTGATGTTATCCCCGATGTTAACCCTACACAACGTGTGAAACGAATCAAAGATGGGAGGAATTATTAAGGCTTACTTTAGTTTATGCATTTTGTAACACTTACACACATTACACTTACAACATGGCTATATAAGCAAATTAATGAAATGAAAAAAAAGAAAAAACAAACACCAGCTTACATGACTTGATTGTTCTTGTTGCATTAATGTAATCGCCTCATTTTGTGTACGTAAAGCTTCAATTAAACAATCACGATACCAGATAAATGGTGATGAAGTTGGACTTGTATCGTGAATTGCATAATCAAAATTATGAAAATTCACAGGATTGCTCATATAACTTTGACTGGTTTTATGACGTACAGTACTCCCACTACCAAGATTGAAAACAGACGATGATGTACCACTACCAGAACCTCCTCCAACGCCGCCCACGCCGCCACCACCACCATTCTCAAGATTTGTAAAACTTCCCGGTGATTCACCCATACGATTATAATCTATGCCAAGAGAGGTTCTGTAACGTCGTTGTTCACGTTTAGCAGTTAAAATGAATGCACAACGTAATGCAGTGCTGGCCAACTCTCGTGTAATTGCCTATAGAAAAAAATGTACAAATAAATTTCAAAACTGAATATTTACAAAATATTTTTTTGGTTTTCCTTAAAGATAAATGATGATTTTGTATCTTAAGGAATTGTCCTAACCTATAATAGAGACTAGTTAATTTTCCCAACACTTCAGTAGATTGATTTCATTTCTCTCAAGTCTGTGCGGAGGTCAACAGCACTCAGCATGAAAATGAAAATAAGATCTGGATTTTCAACTCCAATGTGAAGTCAGTGCTACTAACTATACGGATCAGAGACTTGGCGCCACGCCGCGTCACGAAGGGCACTTCGAACAAACTACACAACCTTCATCAACAGCTGTCTTCGCTCAATACTCAAAATCAGATGGCTGGCCAGAAAAGATCAGCAACAGAGGGATTTTTGGGAACGAACCAACCCAGCAGGAACCGACTGTGCAACATATATGCAGGAAGAAATGGGAGTAGATCAAGTAAGTGTCATCACACGCTAGAAGATCGCTCGAGTGGAACCCGGCCGAATAGGAAGCGGTGAGTCAGTTGGTCGTCATTGCGAGGATGACTTGGAGGAGGTCATGCGAAGAGGAGGTGAAAGAGTGTGGGCAGACGTGGAGCCAGGTGAAAACGTTGGCAGAGAACCGAACACAATGCAGACGTGCAGCTGAAGCTCTATGTTCCTCTAGGAACTAAAGGAAACAATAATAATCGGTATATTGAAATAATAATAACGATAGGAAATCAAAATACCTCACAGAATCATGCGACTATTCTATCAATTCGCCAACCAAAGGATTTTAGAGAAAATCAAAAACATTCAAGTAGATGACAATGAAATAATGGTTTCCTTCGATGTCACAGCATGATATACTTCAATTAGTCCAAAACTAGCAAGAGAAACTATGCAACAACTACTCTATTGTGACGAAAACACAGAAACGTAATGTTCAGCTTGGATGGAACTCATAGAATTATGTCTTACAACATACTTCCAATTCAATAATCAAATATACGAACAGATAAAAGGAACACCAATGGGATCATCGCCCATATCAGGATTAATAGCTGAAGCCGTCATGCAAAGATTAGAATTAATAGCCCTACCTATAATTAAACCAAAACTCTGGGGATGTTACGTTGATGATACATTTGTAATAATTAAAAGAAATGATTTGGAATATACCCACAAATTAATAAACAACATATTTGAAGATATCAAATTCTCCACAAGAGAAGAAGAATTAGATAACAAAATCCCACTTTTAGATGTCTTAATCAGGAGAACCAACACAAGAAATTTAGAAACACAAGTATATAGAAAATCAACGCATACAGACCAAATACTCAACTATAGTAGTAATAACCCAATTGCCCACAAAAGAAACTGCGGGCAGACATTGTTTAAAAGAGTTCAAACACACTGTAGCACTCCAAGGTTTGTTGAATAGGATGAAAGAAAAATACCTACTAACCGTCTTCAAAAAGAATGGATATCCTCACAATTTCATCAAAAAGTGTTCAAAATCGAATCAAACACCAACAAGAAACCATCATCAAAGACGACAAGAAAATTCATCCCACCATATAGAAAAAAAATAAGTCTGAAATAACAGCTGGGATATTAAAACCGTTTGAAATAGATATAGCACACAACAGTCAAACCGGCACAATCACTTCATTCGATATTGTGCAAACCGAAAGATCCAACAGAAAAAGAAGATAAAATTAATACCATTTACAAAATAAATTGTATGAACTGTAACAGACATTACATCTGGTCAAAGTGGGCGTCCCCTTCGAATCAGAATCCAAGAACACAAATTAGCTGTAAAAAGACATGATATACATATTCTTTCATATCAATGCATGTAGATAATTATGGACACCAATTTGACTGGGATAATGTCAAATTTTAAAAAGAAGAAACACTAAAAGTGCCAGAAAATTCCTAGAAACCTGCATAAAATATCAGTCAATAATGATCAATACAGATATAAATCGACTACTAGTCACGAAGATGGTGGTTGCCAAGGGACACAATTCTATCATTCATGGAAAATTTAAATCAGTTCATTTTATGCTAAAACTTGCGCTGAAGATGTTGTCCAAAAGGACGACGAAAGCTTCGCAATTAAACCAACCAGCTCTTCAGAGAACACAACTAGTTACTTCAGTATATTATATATTTTAGATAGGGTTTACTGGCCTAAGCACTTGATATTCAACCAATTAGTCCCAGGTTCGAATCCCACTACTCTATTTACCTTGACCTATGCAAATAGATAGTACTATCACCTTATAGAGCTTGATATACATTGACACATGAACAATATAATAGAATCATAGTGGAACAGCTGATTCGATAATATAGCCCCCACTGGTATATTTCGACGACAATGCATAACAGTACAAAACAGAAATAAGACTGACACATTATTGAGAAAAAAGACTTCACAGACTTCAGAATGGATTTCTATTAATCCAATTAAACTATACCATCTATTTGATCAAATACTATGCAATAAACTGTAAGGTCAAGTATATAGGTCAAACCAAACAAGTTGAGTGGAATCAATTACATTAAATTATTTACCTGAGGTAGTGAATGGTCGTATGTAAGACTTTAAATATTTTTTTGATTGGACACTAGTCAGTAACTAGTGTAATGTGTTTCTGGTCCTCCTATGTGTTTGGTGCAGACTGAATTCTATCAGTCAAGTTTGCAATGTGTCCACCATGCCACTAGGTGGCTCGCCATCACAGTGCACTGTGAATTGTTGGTATTAGGTAGTTGGAGGCAATCGGCCACAGGAAGCCAAAGACAGGACTAAACACATTACACTAATTACTGACTAGTGTCCAATCACAAAAATATCCAATACAGTCCTAGAGGAGGTCAATCGCGAGCCCAAATAGCTGCTCAGTGGTAACATCTCTGACACTGGGTGCTGACGCGGGTTAGAATCTCAGAAGCAACAAGAGTTCCTTCAGGGTGGTTGCAGATACGCCTTGGTGACTGGTGAGTACCAACTAGCTCGAAACCTAGTTCTTCCAAGGCTTCCTGTGGCCGATTGCCTCCAACCACCGAATACCAACAAAACTCCAAATAGCTTATTGCCATCTGTCTATCAGCCAGTGCTAAACGATGTGTGGTGTGTGGTGGAATTCTTACAAGCATGATAACATAATACCCGCTTATTAATCTAGTTATAAAGTAGAATTTAAGGCGTGACAGAATTACTTACTTTTGAAGTACATAGTTTAAGATAAAATTTTATCATAGTTTCTACTATAAACCTGTAATATATTAATGTTAGATGGTTGGAGGCAATCGATAGGAGCTCCAGGACCTAGGTTTCATGCTTATTGATACTCATTAGCAAGATTTATCAGCCCCCATCCCCTCTGAGATTCGAACTCGCATCTCTCACTGAGCCGTTAGGTGTAGTGTTAATCAATAAAAGAAGTTGTGAAACTGAATCAACTGAAATGACTAGGACACATTACTGATAGAATTCAGTTAGCGTCAGTACTAAAGCCTAGATACATAACACATTTGTTAGACCCCAGTAACCAATGATATCATACATGCAACAAGACAGCATGAGTAATTACCACATCATATATAGCGCTGATTAATATGAGTAATTAGGATCAACTCACACCAGGTAAAATTGTAAGTTCAAGTAACTTCAGGTTTTAAACTTAATCACTACTAACTTACGCATATCAGTAGCATATATTATGTTATGAGTGAAAGATAATTCGCAAAACCAAAAAAAGAATACTTACAGGCAGAGAATATTCAAATAGATATAATTTAAAAAAGACATGAAAGTTTTGTAGTAAACAGTTAAAAGAAGCACAAAAACTCACATTTTTATCCCGAAGAGCAGACAGGATGGCTGAGATAAATGAACCCATGTGTTGACAAAAACTTGTTGGAGTGTTTAGAATAAATTCTCTTAAGGTTAATATCTAGAAATAAAACATTATTTTTTTATAGAAAATGGAAAATATAACTGTCTTGTGAACAGTATTTTATGCTTTAAAGTTCAAGTCAATGTCATTACTATTGTAACAACAGAAGACAAGGGCCAGGCAACAGAACGTTTATCACGGAAAAGCAACACGTATTTATAGATTTTGATGTACATTATTGTAGGTTAATGTTAGTGGAAAATACAGTCTGTTGATTGGTTGTTTCTCACACAAAGTTAACCTTGCATCTCTTGTGGCTGTGTCAGTTTATTTATATGTTAACTGTATCGCCGTCCATCTTGACCTTGACCTCAATTACTGTCAACCGATTGGCTAGTAGACAGCTCTCACCACACTATTATTAACATTATTTATGATAGTAAACTGTTTAATGTTACTTTGTATTTGCTTCAGGGGGGGGGTTAGCATGTCTTCACTCTATAAGAAAAAATGTAGTTCATTGGGGGCTTAAGTAATTCACTTTCAACCAGTAGATCCTGGTTTCGAATACTGTCCCATCAACTTTAGTTTTGCTATCTGAGGAGTAACACCAGCCCTTACAATGTGTAACGCATAGAGTGGTTCAAAAAAATCTTTTCCGGGTAGTTGAGTCTCAACTTTGTCTACCAGATTGGTTGATTTTGTTCTTTTTGGTTGCGATAATCTCTGATTTGAGATTCTCAGCAATGTATGTGTAAGAGTTTACAGAAGTAACGTCAGTTAGTGCAATTCACCAGGAACGATTAGTCACTACTGTTAACTAATTCTATTATAAACTCACGAACAGTTGCAAATTTGTTTGGTTTTTGCCTTTCATGAACTGACTTGTTAGCCAGAAAGGAAAGTTAGTCAAGAGCACGCAGACGCCATAGTCCATTTTAAGTGAAGATTCTAACATAATGTAGTCTTTCAATTGAATTTTAGATTTCCCGTCGATTGATTGCACAGAAGTGCTCGGTCTCAGGTTGACGTGTCGGCTTCTTGTGCCAATGCTTCGACGATGTCTGGGCAAGTAATTAGAAGTTAATTAGTGGATGGTGACTAGCAGTGGAATCCAGGATGCGCATTTGGGACTCATCAGCTGGGTGTACCTGCATTCCGTAGTGAGTGATGATGTTCCCAACGAGACTCGAACCCAGTGCCCATAGTTTCAAACGCCAAAGCGGGTTATCCACTAGACCACTTGGGCCACGACAGCCACCTCTTGTGCAACGAGTCATATTAATTATTTAATTCAACTATGGGCACTGGGTTAGAGAGCCTCGGTGGGAACATCACCACTCACTGCGGAATGCAGGTACATCCAACTGACGGGTCTCAAACAGGAAGAAATGCGCATCCTGGATTCCACTGCTAGTCACCGTCCACCAATTAACTTCTAATGCAGTCTTTATTACATCTTGTGCAAAGACCTGAACATGCTTCTAGCCCCTGTAAAATATACGACGATGCTACAAAACTGGTCTGAACTCTGTCTCTCTCTCCAAGTTCGAGGATAAAAGATGAAGTGGCCGAAGGCATTGACTACTACCCTTATTTAAGAATTCTAGTTAGCATTCATATACTATCAGTGCCAGCAACGATACAGGCGTACAAATAACGAATGTATCTTTCGCATGTGCGTTGAGATTTAGACAATTGGAAGAGGCACACTTTTCTAAAAAAAACAGTGATAAACTCAACCAATTTGACCACTCCTAAAACTGAGTGCAGGTAAAGACTAATCTTATAGCATCATCATTACATTTCATCATATGAACGAAGCAGATAAAAAACAAACTCAAATTTCAGCTCAGAAATACAATAAACTCGTATAATTCAAAAAAAAACTTTCCATCTTGATTATTTAGCCTGTAGGAAGACGCTGAGACTGCATAATGCATTTCCGTCTATTTGTAGAATATTAATGCTTCTTGGTGGAACTAAATAGTAACTAATAGTAAGCGAAACAATTGTATTGTGTAACGAATATCATCCATATTTTGAGATTTGTCGTTTGTTTCCGAATTGGTAAGGAACTCTAAGAAATTCCAAATGTGCTGCATGTCTGTTTTCGACATAGAACTTTGCACATATGTGCGGCAGTTCAAGTCGCCACACTCCATGTAGCACACAAAGCAAGAGAAGAAAGTAGAAGAAATGCAAAATAGAGACAGTAGACAGAGGTGTGGAACAAAGGTATAGTAATAACGAAGAACAAAACAGTTTCATCGGAAATCATAAGTCACAAGGAGTGGATGCATCTGCGCTAGCCATTGAGAACGATGAGTTTGAGCCATGTCACCAATTGTTTCCAACCATTGGTTTTTACCGTCCCGAGGACCCCAACCATGGAGTCTACACCTTCCTACATGGCTTAGACTAACTGTTGTAGATTTCATTGACTGGTACCATGTTTTCGTTTGACCGCCGCTAGCTCTTTTCCAGTCTGACCCTATATCAGCTAGCATTGCCCGTCGGGCGAGGAAGGCGATGACTAGGCATACGTAACACATGTCCTAACCATCTCAGTCGATGTAATTTCACAGCGTCGTCGATTGATTTCCCTTCCTTACCTAGCACTCGACGCCTAACCTCAATATTGCTCACCTTATTATACCACTTAATACACATGGGAGATAAAACGCAGGCACTTATGATCAAAGACAGCTAATCTTTTCATATCTTCCACTCTCAATGGCCATGTGTCACAGCCATAAAGGCGGACGGAGCGGACTGTTGAGCAGTACACCCGCCCTTTGGACGATAGCCGGATATCACTTCTACGCCAGAGACGGCGTAAACTGGTATGTGAAGTGTGGCGATATGAGCTGCTGCACTTTTGTGCAAAGTTCTCTGTTGAAACTCAGTTAGTCAGTTAAGTGAAACGTTTATTGTGTTAGTTATCACCATAAAGTGGAGAAACAACTCTTCAGGATGATAAGTGATACAGAAAAAATATATTTGAACGAAAAATAAATGAAAAATAAGAAAATTAATAGAACCTACTGCAAAGTGTTTTAATGCATCACAGCTATCTTTTGACAATATATCACAGGCATACTCAATTTGTTCTTCAATGAAATCGTATGGAAAGACTAAGCCCAACTGACCAATAAGTCTGGCCTCTAAAGCTGTTAATTGAAGATCATTAGTAACTGATTGAGTAAGCAGTAGTTTAACAAAACGCTGACAATGATTGTGAACACTCATAAAGTCCACTTCGGCCAAACAACCTTAATAAGAAAAAAGAATGAAAAAAAACAACAGAGATTTTATGTTTAAGAATATTGAGTAAAACTAAAAATCAGAAACCAGTGCTAAGGTTCATTATATATAATGTATCCTTTTATTGTAATTAATGTGTAAATTTCGATGAAATTCAAGGAAATTACTCTCACAGCCCAAAAGCGTTCCTTTAGGTTTTCGGGTGGTGAGGTCTCGGAAACTTACGTCGCTAAGACCACTATTCCTAAGTCGAATGAATGCGGAGATGTATTAGTTCTATATGAACGCGCGTATTCTTAGGAATAACATATGAAAGACTACAACCTGATATTATTGCAATTACTGAAATGTTGTTGTTAATGGGTATGGAACTCACTGCACTCATACCGGGCATATGTGCACTAGAGCAGACATCAGTAGATCGGAAAGTTAGTGGTGTTCTATACATCCGGGACGACATAGGAATTAGGTCAGAGGTCTCAGAAGTGCACGATAGCGGCGCTTGTAAGGCAGCAAGTTGTAACATTAACTTGAATACGGGTACTGCATTAATCGACGTTATTCACAGAACCGAGGTAATGCACTTAGGCCAGAGGTATTACACGCCTTACTCCTTGGGAGACAACTGCCCGATATTAAGAGACGAAAGGACTTGAGAATTATTGTCAGCTATGACTTAAAAACAACTGGATATTGTAATGCAGTTACAGTTAAGACTTTTCAAATGCTACGGGTACCCTAAAGGGCTTTCAAACGTTTTGAAGAGTTTGTATTTAAAGTACTCTACGCAATATATATCAAGCCTGATCTAGAATACCGTATGGAAGCAGTCAGTCCATGCTTCGAGAAAGAGGTATGGGTCTTGTAAGAAGTACAAAGGGTAGGAACTAAATTAGTCTCATCACGGACGAATAAAATACGAGTGGAATTTAGATTCTCATGCAGAGTGGTGAACGACTGGAATTCGAATTCCAGCGGAGCTGAGTGGGAATTATTACCCGACCAAATAGTAACAGCTCCGCTGGCGAACCCTTCTGAAAATAATTTGTATTTCTGCGGAAATATATATTTCAGGGATCAACACAGAACAAAACAGCCTATAGTCCTTTATTATCTGGATATAAATCAAATTTTCGCTAATAAACATATATATCCAGGGAAAGACATTTCTATTCATTTTGAAAGCTCAAAAATAAGGATTTATCCACATTTGATAGCAGTACACATACCCATAGCAATAACAGCTCCCTTTTTTTCATGTACATCACCGCTCGAAAATATGTTGATAAATTCGTTACATAAGATATCCAAACATATGACATAGTTTTTATTTGAGACTTCTTTCAGCTCGCTGCTAACCACTTTACACAACTCAGTAACAGTTTTCAATCGGTCCTCCTCGTTACGAGACTTAATCCCCTGAACAAACTGAGTTACTAATGTACTCAGATTAGCATTCATATTTTTTTCTAATACGAGCCAAAGGTCACAAGGTCAAGGTCTAAGTTTCAATATCCAGATTTCGTATTATTAAAAGCTGCAGATTGTTATCACGTTATAATCCTTCTGCTTGCGGTGAAGATACTCTTTTGCCTCAAGTGAATTAACGAGAAGATCTGAAACAGTATGCCCCTCTATAGAGCTTTATGAATTCACACTTCTATGGGAGAAATAAACTTTCAGAAGCAGACTATTTTTCCGTGATTAATAAACGTATTGTTGACATCCTCACTATTGTTCAGTCCTGGGGCGAAAAAATAATTGGGATAAGTTGACACCCAAGTCGCAGCATAAGACACGGAGTTCCTAGATTAGTTGAACTCTCGTCTACCGACATAGTAGTTAGAGTATATTTTATTTATTTATTTTCTTTTCTTATAGCTTGATGGAAGTATGGAATTTTCAGCATGTGATGTCGGTAGCCCAATTTTTGCAGGCCGACCATCGATATCGGGTGTGTCGGCTATATGCATAGTCGGTGAGAGTCCTAACCGCTGGTCTGGGCTCCCCTTCCTATTGACTCAGGGCGCTTTGTGGAAAGAAAGAGATCCGAATTGTTACAACTACTGTAAAGCTAGTTCTTCTATACGATCTAGAGACTTGCACTGCGTACCACCAGCAGACTGCCTTCACTCGATTCTGAAGACGGACACTTGGAAAGGACAAGCAGCAAGTAACTGTAACTGGGGGTGCGTGAAGAGCTTATCACACAATAGATATGCAGCAGGAAACTGAAATGTGTTCAGTGTACTCTGAGAAGACAGCTGAGTAATGTAACACTCTAAGCCTTTGAGTAAAACTTCAGTTAGAAGGAGCAGTTGGGCGTCCGAGTGTGATATGGCTTAGATCACGAGAAAAGGAGGTAAGACAATGGTGGTGCTGAATAAAGAAGGCAGTAGAGAAGGTAAGGAAATGGCGGTATAATGGTGAAACCCCGAGTTTCAGTCGAAAGGTAATGAAAATCTAATAATAAACTCACGAATTTCTCAACCACTGTAACGTTTCAAGGAAGCAGGCGAAGGAGCTAAGTCATGATCACAAGTTATTTCCTACTGTTTCAGCAAGACTTACACATAATAAAAAGTAATGGTCCATACGTCATTATTCATTTTATCTTGCAAAGGCTCTAAACAGCTGAAAGTTCGTTGGGTCCTGTGTTCCACATGACTGTCATAGAATTGCATGAAACTTTTAGAGAGCATAATGAGGATATATGACAAGTATGCATCCTGCTTTCTGTTCAGTAAGTGCAGCACAACATATGTTGGCCACTCCCTTTAAAAAATTTCCTTTTAATTTGTTATTTGTTAGAATATAACTTCTATTAAACCATGCTACTGCTCTGGGTAAGGCAGCCGAAACGTTATTACATAATTTTTAAGGTGTCAATGTCCCAGTTTAAACCCACTCTTAACTCCGCGAATCACAGTACATTCTTACAAGATTTACCAGTCTCCCTGTAGCCTGTCCGATTAGTCAATATTTCTAACCGCTTGGTTTTTGTAGTCACTCCCATGTTTAATTGAATAACCAGTGTCGTATAAAATATATTTATTTTGTGTGCTTGCTTCTAGGTTGTAAGGCTAAGGTTCATGACCTTCGGTAAACTACATGGCACGCCCCACCAGAAGAGATGAGAAATTATGATCAGTCATACGGCCAAATAAAAAGAACCGCAGGCAACAGAGTGATATGAGGATGTGCTGCTGAAGCCTTATGTTCCACCGGGCACCCAGGAAAAAGAATACTTCGAATCCCATATAAATCTCTTTCACGACCCTTATCAATTCAGATGAACGTACTCGAGTTAAGTATGCTGTCATCTATACAGGTAAAGAACTGTGAATGTGGTAGTAATGACACCTTTTCTCCACTGAGTTTGTGATCAGCTAGTAATGAAACCCATGAGAATTTCGCTAATTATCAAGATTAGACTTCAAGAGTTAACAGAAGTTTTTAAACAGGATTTTAATATCAAAATAAACCAAAAATATTTATGCTTCATGCTAGGAGAACGTATGTAGAAAAAAGAATGGTAACCAGAAGCTTTAGGTGGATGAGAACTAAGACCGATGGAACTACTACAGCTGCAGTAGCAACTTTTTCAATGAGATCAGGCTATTTCCCCAGCTAATGTGGTTACTGCATGCGATGATATCTTTGGAGTGGTTGGCATGTTAGCCAGTGATATCTGCCATGAGGGACATTCTAAGAGCAAGTAAATGTAGGCTTATCTTTGTTACTGACTCTGGATGGGCAAACAGTCTTGTATATCTGCAGAATTTTTACAGCGCTGATATAATGATCTCTCCGTTAGCATAATTGAAATAAGTCATTCTACAGGCTATTATTAACTCCTGACCAGCTTCGTTATAGTTGTGTGATAAACGCCCAGATATCGTACATAATGGTCACTCAGGACGTTTTCGTCTTATAACACTGTCATTTATACATATGTGAGTGTTTCGCAAAAAAACAGTTTAGAGGCTGAGGGTGATGACGTTAACGGATGGTATGATTAATACAAACGCAAGATCTAATCCCCACGACTCCTATAGTATTCGTTCCGCGTAGACAGAAGACAGAGCAAAACACCAAAATAGATCGTCCAAATTACGAAATATGCTTGGGATCAGATCATAGTGTGAAGATGATGGCTAGAGTTCGTGCATGAATGAAATAACGCAACATGATAGCGTGCCAAATAGCGGGGTGATTCACCGTAAGCCTTCATCCAAACTAGTCGACTTAAACAGTAAGGGCCAGCAAGCGATGTTCATTGATGAAAGCTGTGGATACTGATTTTGGCGAATTAATAACCACTACAACAGCTACGTTTTTAAACTGCCGAATCAACAACGGAAGAACGAATAAAGGTTACATGAGCAATGAAGGCAGACTTTAACAGACAATTACAAACAGTAATGTACAAAATCCCAAATGGTGACATCAAAATCTTCGTGGGTGACATGAGTGCCAAATCGTGAGCAGATAATACAGGAAGAGAACTCACAGTGAGTCCAGAGGCTGTCGGAGATATGAATGAGAACGGAGGACACTTCACAGAATTCTGCGCTTTCAGTGATCTAGTGACTGGAGGCAGCGTATACAAACACAAGGATAAACGCAAAGCAACATGGGTTTCATATTAGTTTGTTTATTAGATGTATCACACAGTGAAACAGTTATTTACTGGATGAGGTTTCGAACAAAATTTATTGTTCATAATCATATCAATTTCGCCTGACGGACACACTACAATCCAGATAGATTCCATCTCAATGTCACTCAAGGAAGTGGAGACGCAGCCTGCTGGAAGCAAAGTCGAAAATGGGAGCAAATTTGGGCTCAGACCATCATCTGCTTCAAGGAACCTTCAGGGTGAAGCTGAAATCCATGAAAACAAATGGAGACAGACCACAATTCAAGTTCAAAATTCAGAAACTTAGCAGAAGGCCAAAACTACAAAAGATGCCTACAGATGTCAGAGCAAAGTCGGACACACTACCTGGCATCACTGAGGAAACCTGTGTGGAAAAACATTGGAACTAACTCTCTGAAGGTGATATTCAACGAAAAGTGTACAACTGTTCTAGGAAGAAAGAAGAGACAAGACAAGGAATGGATGTCAACGGACATCTGCCTAGAAGCTGATACTCAGGATTAAATGGCCAGAAAGAATTTATAACAAGAAACTCTCCAGTGTAACAAATCAACCAAGGACCAATCGCTCGACAAATACATTGGAGAAAATAGAGATGGATTGGGCACACGCCACTGAGGAGACCATCGAATGGCATCGCGAGGTAGCCAGGCCGTTTCTTGAGTATAATCTGAATTGGAAGCGATGACTGGGTCGTCGGTGTGAGAGTGATATGGAGCAGATCGTGCGAGGAAGAGATGAGGTTGTTTGAGCAATTGTTGACCCAGCTGAAGAGGACGGCAGGAAACAGAACAAGGTGGAGGTGTGTTATTGGAGTCCTATGTTCCACTCGCAACCCAAGGGAACAATAATAATGTAATAAAGTGAACGAATTATTTACTGATTGCTTTCAAGGGAGATTTTGCCAGGAACTGTCACTCAACATAATGCATTTAAAACGAGAAAGAACTAGACAGCTGTATTCTCCTAGCTTGAGACTCATTCAGTGATGTGATACCACAAGGGAGTGAATAGAAGACATTCAGATTACAAGGAGAATTCCCTGACCATCTAGTGAATGAGCCGGAATTCAATAGCATATGAATTCTAACTTGCCTAAGGTACAACAGAACTGTAATTGAAACACAGATCATTAGCCATTCTTTATGACGCTGGTTACTGAACATATATGGCCTCCAACTATCTAATATCAACAATTCAAAGTGCATCATTATGACGAGACATCTAGAATGGTGGCCATACTGAAAACTTCACTGACAGAATTCAGTCTGCGCCAAACAAAAGCCTAGACACATCACACTAGTTACTAAATTTCAGACGAAATTTAAATCAACTCAAGTGTTTTGCACTTACGTTTGTTTTTTGAACTCGATGGTGAATATAGATACAATTATTGTATTGACTTTTGAAATTTATTCATTGTAAAGGAGATTTGCTAATCTTTTAAGTCCTATTTTTAAAGAATCAGCACTAAAATTTCCCATTCATTGAAGGCTTCTAAAGATATTCAGTTTCCACTAGACGAATACACTACAAAGATGGAAAATAAGAAACCTTAGAAGAGAACTGGATAATTGTCCATAACTTTCTAATGAAATCAACTACAAGGCACAAACCACAAATGAGTTTTAAATTGAATTGCATTTCATGTAAGTAGACCTGGAATATCTTAGGGGCAACGTCTGTAAGTGGCTAAGCTGACCTACAGATAGGCCTTAAATGTCAGCACTTACTAAACTTCCCTTCCTTGGTTAACTACAAAAGCTTGGGCCGAATAAATGCCCGTAAATATGGTGAA